CCATTTGGTCGTTTTCTGTCAAGATGTATTTCTCATGGCTCTTTTTGTAAAAGCTTTGAGACGACATTTGTTGTGAATTGTTGTCATATTAATAAACTGAATTGAATTGAACAGGTGTTCCTAATAAAGTGGTCAGTTCAGTCAAAGACATTCCAGTTGATTCTGGTTATAATGCAGTTAACTGCAGATTAGAATATCAGTTGGTCAACAGTTACCTGAGGAAGAAACCCAGTTTGTTGTATTGAATAACTGACTATGCTAAACTCCCTCATGCTGAGGAAGCATGTGGCAACAGTGGAGAGGAATGAGAGGAGACCTCCAACAGAACCAGAACCGGCTTCTGTTTTTCCTCCGGCTGCTCTGACCAGCTGAGGGTTTAAATATCAATGATCCAAACACAGTTCATGTTTTCTATAGTGAGTGGCAGAAGTCCAGGTTGGTTCTGTGGGATTTATTTGCATTGGAACTGAAAACTAAGATGTTCTTTCAGGAAGGCATCTGGTTTTGGAGTGATGGCTCCAAGTTTGTGTTTCATCACTGGGGCTTTCATGAGCCAAACCAAGCCGTTTCAAGCGAAGACTGCATGGAGATCAACTTTGATGGTATTTATTTCTGGGAAATCAAAATCTGTAGTTTGATCATTTTGTTTAAATGTATGTTTTTATAAGGTCTTTATATCCAGTGGCTTCGTGGGTGGGAGTTTGTCCTGTAATTGGTGGGTTCCTGGTTCGAAACCCTGCTCTCTTCGTCTCTTTACAGAACGAGATCATGTGAATGATGAAAGCTGTAACAAGGAGCTTCCCTACATCTGTGCCAGTGTCCCATAACTTTTCTCTTCTAATGTCTAATAATCTGAAATGTATCCATAATATATGGCTTTCCTGCTGCCGATGTCACTTTCATTTGGATGTCAAGCCTTGATAACATCACTGTTGGAAGAACCTGATTTCACTTCATTTTATCACTTAAATAAACGTTTATTTCTCTGAAATTTGATTGTTTGATTTTTCCAGCATTTAATATCTGTTCATTTAAGCAGCCACATTGTAAAATCAACTGGTGCTTTTTACTAAACAGAAGTTAGTTTTGTTCTAATTTCAGCAAAATGATAAGAGTAACTTTATAAATTGAATTGAATAGATCTAGTTTGATTTTCTAACTCATTTACTGTAAGTACACAGATGCTTATAATTTATTTTAGTTTTCAGACATGTGACCCGGATGCTTCTGTAAACCAGTTCAGATGTCGGTCAGGAAGTGGATTTCTCCTGTTCAAATCAGAGCAAAATTGATCACAACAGAAGCTGACGAGGCTGGACCAAATGAGGCATCTCAAAAAAACTGCGTGTATTTAGGATGGGATCCGTATTATCTCGGTACAAGACTTGTCTTATAACCTGGAGGATTTCCCCGCATGGAGGCGATCCACATAACGAACCACCTGGACCTGCAGGCCTCATATTGGACCACGAGTCAGAAGAACGTTTCCAAAAGCCTGGAGAATAAAATCATTTAGTTTCAGGTTGGGTCAAATTCAGGATCAAAGGAAGCTTTAAATGGCCGTCGACTCGTTTCTGCTGGGAGACTAAGCTTTGTGCTATTTTAAGTAATTAGTCCATGATAATGATGCTAGCAGTAACGAGAAGCTAACATGTTGTTTCTATGAGGATCTCCTGCTAAATCATTTATTTAGCTTCTGTAAACCAGTTCATGCTGGAGTTGCAGTTGGTTTTGAGTCGCTGTGGGATGTCTCCAGAGATTCAGGTTGCAGATCCTGATCTAGCAGATGGAAAATGTGATCCTATGCCAATACAGCACCCAGAAGTAGAGCATCACAATTTTTAATTCACTGTTACAGTAAAATTATGAAGGTTAAAAATATTCACCACTGAATATCAATAGGACATTTATCAAGTATAATTTCTTTGGACTTCCCTGTTGGCCCCGTCTGGACCCAGCCGTGTGCTGCAGGTCCATGTCTGGTGCCTTTTTGGTTAGCATGGTTTTTCTTCATTGATAGGAAGTCAGGTTATCCAAACTGGTAAACAACATTAACAAAATAATTCAGTAAATTACCACTGAACAATGTATTCATAAAATATATAAAGATTTCTAAATAAAACACACAGAACATCTTCTGTGTTGGAGAGAAGGTACCATCACATGGAGCCTGTGGAGGTGGCAGCATCTGGAAGGACCTGATGCTGTAGTAGGATTTCCATGCGAAGGTGGAGACATCAGGCAGCATACAGGCGGTTTGTGAAGGACTTTGGGTTCTGGCCACAGAGCATTGTTTGGACAATCCAGGACAGATTTCCAGGTCCTCATGGACAATGCAGAAGTTTTATTTCCAGCAGAGTATATCTGTAGTGCTGTGTGCTTTTAAAAATGTTAATGCTTTCTGTCATCATATAAATATTTTGCTTATTCAAAACCCACTCACTGTCATTTTCAGGTATTACACCAAATAAAAAAATAAACATAAAGCCCCCAAAAATATGGCTCTAGTAGACCGGGCCCTAATTGTAAATGGCAGGTGACATTACAATTACCTTCAAATGAAATCATAGAGCCAAAACAAAAATGAAACAAATTATACCCAAAATTTGAGCACATTAGAGACAGGTCTTTCTGGGATGCTTGTTTTTGTTTGAAGACTCACGGATCGTACCAGACCTTTTTTGTCTGGGAAAGTTTCCAACCCAGAAGCCCAGACACCGGTGGATCCACAGGATCCATTACAATAACTATGATTCTAAGAACAAAATTTCTCCTCTTTTGGTTCCATTTGTCTCACTCTTGATGTAATGGAAGGTACTCTTGAAGCCATCTTTTCCAGAACAAATCAGCAAGGTATTGGATTTGTGGCCATCTCTTCTTCACATCCAGATCATCCTTGTTAAATGATCGGGTGATTAAACTGGCTTCCCTTTCACCAGATGAATGTGTTTAGGAGTGAGTGGGTCCAGATCAGTGGATCATTTGAGAGAGGGGTCGACCAATCAATACAGCCTCAGCCTCGCACAAAATGGTCTGCAATCCATCATCACCGTAACACAGAGGTAAGACCCTTTCTCACCATCCGAATGACACGCTCCCAGACTCCACCTTTGCAAAGTGTCAATGCCTAAAGATAAAGCCACTTCCAAATGAGCAACTCTGCTTGCAAAGCAGGTAAAAAAGACACCATGATGCTTGAAGAAGCTTTGTTCTCTTTTCACCTCCAAAACACCAAAACAATCCACTGCTACATGAGTAAAAGGAGGGAGATCTGGGAAGACTTTCCTTTGTGTTGTCTGCAGAAACTGCATTATGATGTAATTTTTCTCAGAACTGAGAAGGCATTTGTTATCCAAAATCTTTTTTGCAGAATTGACAGCGTATAATTTCTGCCGCTGTGACCAACTTGCTAATGCGTGTCTTAAGATGAGTGTGAAGACGTGTTGTTCTGGTAAAGCTGACTTACTCAAGTGGCCTCCAACTCTCAAAAGTCTGTCCTATAGATGTGGATCTAGTTTGCAAATAGAGCTTTGTCTTGGTACAGCTTTCCCTACTGATAGGGCAGCAATCTCTTCTGCCAACTATGAAAATAATGGAAATTTCAGCATCCAAAAGATCGTCAATCGACAAGGTTTGATTTGTTGCTGTTTTGCCATCATATGTTATTCTTCTACACTCGTTTTACGAGTATCCAACTTTTTTATTTTGTTTCAACTGCAAAATAACCTTTTTTAATTTAATAAACCATGCAACTGCCACTTTATGTTTTACTCCAATCTGACAAATTTACAAGGTGCTGATCTGTAGCAATACGAGAGACCCGAGTGATTACATTCACTGACATCCTTTTAAACTCAACATCTTCAGCAGCAATTGTGGCTTCCACATCATCGGAAGGCCAACCCTTTTCTGGTCCAAGCAGAAACTTTGAGCCTTCAATCCAACTTTCTCCTTTCAGGAAGTCACCTTCATTCCTCTGGAGTCACAGCCTGCAGGATTGTCTTTAGTATTAAGACTTCTACTGTGAAAGGTGATAGATCTTTGATGGTTGACACACAATTTGCCACAAATATGCAGAAATGTTTGTCTCGTTTTTTATGTACTTGAGCACTAAAGTGCTGTCTGTTCAAAAAACTATTTGATCCAATTATGGCTCCAATTCTGTTTGCAGCATCTGATGAGGAATGGTTATCAGTTTCACGGGAGTTACTCTTGCTTTTCCCAACAAGAAGGAAGCTTCTTGTTGCCGTCATCATTTTCAATGGATCTTGCAACTTGAAAAGAAACCAAATCCTTGAGATCTTCCATTGGCCACCATTGTAAGAAATGAATACAAAAAAGAACACTGCACACCAAACAAAAAAATAGAACATGCAGAGCAAATGAACCAAAAAATAGCTAAATGAAACATGCAAGCAAATGACAAATCAAACCTACATGCAAAACAAAAACAACTACAGTGTGCCAATAAACATGCCAAAAAATTATAAGAAGGACTCAACGTGAGCGGTTGAACACTGACCTGAATAAAAAAAAATTATTAATTGGGTAAATGACAAACATTCAGTTTTGGTGCACGTTCCAGGAAACAGAGGGAGGCGGTGAAGCCACAAACAATTCACTGGCAGGAACCACAACAACTCAGGATCTCGGTCAAGAACCCCACACCTATGACCACACGCACTCTCAGAGAGGGGAGCGAGACCACCAACCCAACCGCAGTCCTGAAAACAATTGATCGACATCTGAGGAAAGAACAGGATAATGGAAGTCCATACCATGCCATCTCAACAACTCAAGACAAATGTGTGTGAGGGTGCACATGACACACCTAGCTTTACAGGCCACATTGGTGCTGCCTTTAAAGGTGAACCTGCATGAACATACCACACATCCATGGGAGGCAGTGCATGGAAGGCAGTGCATTGGAGGCAGTGCATTGGCTTGGTTTCAAGTGTTTTATTTGAAGGCAGTCAACAGACTGAATCCAACAGAGTCAGGAAAAGCAGAGCAACATCTCACAGATACGTCCTTTTTTAATCCACTTCTGTCATCAGAGAGTACATTCCATACAAGAACACAGTTCTGGACAGAGAAGCAGAAGTGGCAACATCAGCCGGTTTGGTCCGGTTCTAATCACTTCTTACGGTACGTAACTCTTCACGCTATCAGGAAAACGTCCTTGGCCGAATCCTGGAAGATTCTGCAACAACTTGAACACGTTGTAAAAAAGTGACAAAAGCGAGAACAGACAGTGACTTACTCCAAAATGTCCACTTCACAGACAAACAAAGTGAAGGTATATAAAGTCTGTGTTTCCATCTCTGAGACATCCTGTGACCAGAAACTGCTGCTGGAACAGACTCTTCAACTAACCATCAGAACAAGGTAACATTTAAAGTCCTACTGCTCATGGTGATGTTTTATGTCTTGGTTGAGTTGATCTGTGATGCTAATTATGAACTTTCCTAACCATTCTTTCTACAGATGGCTGCCGGTCTTCTCTTCTCTCTGCTTCTTGGTCTGACCTTTGGACTCTGGGATGGAGCTGATGTAAGTATGGAGAAGGACTTAAGACAATGACTGGTATGTCCCTGTTGGGAGCTTTGGCTGACTGACGTAGATCAGATGGAGCAATCTGAGCCATCACTTGGTTGATGAGAAAACTTTGTTTTGTTGGGAATTTTGTCCTAAAACTTTGTTTTCCATCCACAGGCATGTCAACTGAAAGGTATGTGATTCTTTTATTGTTGGAGTTTCTAACACCTAAAAGACAATTATATTGTGAGAAGTTCTTTGAAAAGATAGGAAACTTTTGCTTTCTTGGGTCATCCTTTCAGCAAAATTACAGGCCTTAATTTCTGTAATGTAATTAATAAATAGTTTATTTAGTACATATTGTATAGAAACATCCCATCCCACAAGGCGGATAGACAACAAGTTTTTACTGAAGGCAAATTATTTTCTGAATAAAATAATCAGAAACAATAAATGTGTCATTTCAGAGGCTTTTCATGTGAAAATATTTTCCAATAACTGTCATCTCTTAAATCATTTTGTTAAAGTGCAGTATTTTTACTTCATTATTTATTTAATTCAACATTGATTATACTTTTTTAACAGTTATTAACTGACATATTTCCTATTTTCATAACCTGTAATTTTGGTCATTTTTTCTTACATTTCATATTGTTTGATGCAGCTGAACCTCTGGACTGTTTTGGTGTGAACATGATGCTGATTATTAGATTTATGTATTTACCTTCTGTCTTCATATTTCTCAGCTATTACAGAGGTTGACTGCCCTCCTGGTTGGACTTGGTTTGAACGTCGCTGTTATATATTTGTGAAGGTTAAAAAGTCCTGGGCTGAAGCAGAGGTACAACAGATGTGATGATCTCAGCAGATTTCCTCAATTCAAAGGAAATGTAAATTTATTGATATAAAGACAATAAGATTCACCAACAATAAGGTTCCAGAAACTGATTTCCATTAAACAAATAGATCCATAATTTCTAAAGGTTGATATTCAGCTGCACCAACTGTCTCACTGCACAGAGGAAAGTTTAAACCAGTGTTGCCTTTTTCAGAACGACTGCCTCTCAATGAATGGAAACCTGGCCTCATTCCACTCTTCAAATGACTACTACTTCCTCAAACACCTTGTCTACAGGACAACTGGCAAAGATACAAGAAGTTGGATTGGAGGTCATAGTGCATTGATTGTGAGAATTTAAAAACATACAAATATCTCCATTTGGTCGTTTTCTGTCAAGATGTATTTCTCATGGCTCTTTTTGTAAAAGCTTTGAGACGACATTTGTTGTGAATTGTTGTCATATTAATAAACTGAATTGAATTGAACAGGTGTTCCTAATAAAGTGGTCAGTTCAGTCAAAGACATTCCAGTTGATTCTGGTTATAATGCAGTTAACTGCAGATTAGAATATCATTTGGTCAACAGTTACCTGAGGAAGAAACCCAGTTTGTTGTATTGAATAACTGACTATGCTAAACTCCCTCATGCTGAGGAAGCATGTGGCAACAGTGGAGAGGAATAGAGGAGACCTCCAACAGAACCAGAACCGGCTTCTGTTTTTCCTCCGGCTGCTCTGACAGCTGAGGGTTTAAATATCAATGATCCAAACACAGTTCATGTTTTCTATAGTGAGTGGCAGAAGTCCAGGTTGGTTCTGTGAGATTTATTTGCATTGGAACTGAAAACTAAGATGTTCTTTCAGGAAGGCATCTGGTTTTGGAGTGATGGCTCCAAGTTTGTGTTTAATTCCTGGACCCGAAATAACACATCGGATGGGAAAAGATGCATGGACATCAACATAGCAGGTATTTGTTACTGGAGACACACAACCTGTAATTTAATCATTTTGTTTAAATGCATGTTTTTATCATATCTTTGTATCTGGTGTCTTAGTAAGTAGGAGTTTGTCCTGTAATTGGTGGGTTCCTGGTTCGAACCCCCACTCCATTCATGTCCGTTGTGTCCTTGGGCAAGACTCGTCATCTGCCTGCATGCTTTCTGAAACCAATCAAATCATGTCAAAGTCTTTGTCAAAGGTTTGCAGTCAGGATTTGTCCCTTTGTCTTTTTACAGGACAGACACTTTTGTCTGGTGCTGACTGTTACACGACGCTTCCCTACATCTGTGCCAGAGACCCATGACTTTTCTCTTCTGATGCCAAATAATCTGAACTGTATGTCTGTCCTACTGGTGATGTCAAGCCTCAATGACGTCAGGGCAGGAAGAACCTGATTTCACTTCATAAAGGATTTCACTGAAATAAATGTTTTCTTTCTCTGAAATCTAATTGATTGATTTTATTCTTTTATTTAAAATATGTCAACATTGCATTTAAGCAGCAACTTCTAAACTTAGTGGGAATAGATCTAAATCTCAGCTATATCTTTATTCTGAGAAAATCAGAAGTCAGTGCAGCTACACTGATAAACACTTGAACATTTCTCTTTGGCCTGCCAAATAAAATCAACGTTAAAGTAATGTAGCAGCATAGAAACGTGAATATTTATATCTAAATATTTTTCAGGTGGAATAAATTACAGTCGGATGAAGTGGGCCGGGATAAAAGTATGTCAATAGCAATTTATTTAAATAGCTCTATATATGTATTTAAAATTAAAGGTAGAATAATAAGAGTAATATTAAGTAAAATAATTTATAAAGCATTATAACAGAAGAGTTCCAGTATCAGACCTCAATTAAATGCCTGGGAATCAAAATGAGGTTTAAGAAGCGATTTGAAATGATCCGGCTGTGGGCAGATCTAATCTGGAAAGGCAGATTATTCCAGAGATTAGAGGAGAAAGCCCGATCTCCTTCCTCTGGAATCGGCTCCGTGGGATTTTCAGTAGCTGCTGATTGTTGCATCTTAAAGTTCTGGACACAGAATGAAGTTTCAAAAGATCCTGAAGATAAGGAGGAGCTAACCCATTTAAACTTTATAAATTGTTAAAAGAATCTTAAAATCTCTTCCGTATGAAACAGGCAGTCAGTGTAAGGAAGCCACTATGGGCCTTATATGGTCATGCTTCCTGGTTCTGGATCACTGGGTGACACTGGATGAGGGATTCATCCAGGCCTCTATATAATGAATTACAATAATCCACTGAAGATGTGATGAAGGCATGGATAATTCCTTCAAGATCCTAAAAAAGAGATTTCATCTTTGATAAAATCCACAAGTGATAAAAACTTGATTTAATGATGGAACTAAAGATAAAACCAAGATTCCTGGCAGAAGTTGGACAAAACGAAGCGAAAGGACCAAATATCGAGTCTGGATTTTTATCCAGTTTGGATCAAATTATATGACTTGAGTTTTACTGTAATTGAGGTGAAGAAAGTTTTGGTCCAAGTTCAGCTAAACATCCATCAATGCCTGTGAGATTTATTTTCACCACTGAAACCCAATTGCACGATTTTATAATTGTTAGCCGATTTTTAAAACCTGAGAGACAACAATAACATAATTTAAGATAATAATTTTAAGATTATTACTTGGAATGTTAAGGGTCTAAATTACCCCATTAAAAGAAAAAAACCCCTCAATATATGAAAACTTAGGAATGGTTTTCCTTCGCCACTGATCTGCTGTATCGTTTAAATGTGATGTGTTTTAAAATGTGGGTGGGGCAACTTTTCTATCCAACTTTCCAGGGTAAAGTGAGAGGAGTCGTAATACTTAATAAAAATGTATCATTTGCACCATCAGCAGTTGTTGCGGATGCCAATCGCCTGCAGCGAGTCTTACCCAGCGTTAAATCCTCGATCAGACAGGGTTTGTTTGAAAGCAGACACTCTTCTTAGAATATAAGTCGTTTACTGAATATAATGCAGATCCCTTGTCAAAATAATTCTGAATGTGTTCTTTGCATGGACGCAGAGAAGGCATTCAACAGTGGAGGGGATCTATATGTTTGAAACTTTGGAGAGATTTGGTTTTGGCAGGCCATCTATATCTTGGGTCAAGTTACTGTACTTCTCTCCATCAGTTATTTCAGACGAATAACTTTTACCGCAGGAACCAACAGGGGTTCCCATTAGCCCAAACAACTCTATTAAAGGTATTACCAGGGGCAAGGTTGAGCATGAGCTCTCTCTCTATCCTGATAACCTTTTGTTATACATATTGTAGCCAGAACTGAACATCCCTCACATTTCAACAGTCCTCACTCAATGTGGAGAAATCTCTGGGTATAAAGTGAACATGCACAAGAGTGTTTCTGCCTCTGAACCAAGTACCCTAGATTATGTCAGAAGTGTTACACCTTTTAAGATAGCTATTCATAGCTTTGTCTGTCTAGGTATTACAATAACAAAGACTTTTGATGACCTCTATAAAAATAACTTTAATAATTGCTTTCTGAGACCAACAATTACTTAAAGAAGTGGTCAGCACTCCCTCTCTCTCTCCCTGGAGTCAGGGAGCACTGCCTGCTTTAGTGTCTCCCTGTTGTTGTTCCAGTTTCTTACTTTAAAAAATTAGATTTGGCCTTTTTGACTTACATTTGGAATGACCAAAAGTCTCGTTTTAAAGACTGCCTGCAAGAATCAAAGCAAGATGGAGGCCAGGCTCTTCCCAATATCCGACATTATTTCTGGGCCTGTAATTTGGGTTGATTGTCCTTTTGGGTGCACTACAGCTGCAATGATGGTGGTCCCATTTGGGTGGAGATGTGGCCCCATGTGCCCCTTTATCTCTGCCAGCTGTGACGGTGCAGCCTTACCCTTACCTCTAAATCGTACTTCCTCTAACCGTATAGTCTATAACTTCCTGGCAATCTACTCACAATTTAGGAAACACTTTGACCTTCGTCAGATGAGTCTTTCCAGTCTAATTGCGTTTGATTAACCTTTTCCTCCTTCATTGCAGGATGCTACTTTGGTGTGTGGCAAAGTAAAGGTCTTCATATTGAAAACAAGTTTGCTTCTTTTAAACAACTGTCTAAAGAAGCAAACTTTGAATTGCCTTCCTGACACTTCCTTTGATATTTACAGGTTAGACATTTTATTACCTCATACGTCAAGATTCCAGGCAAGTCTCCAGATAACCTAATATAATTAGGTTACAATTGATAAGTTGATGTTTCTTGACCCAACAAGGAGTAAAAAAATTACTTAATTGATAAAACTGATCTCACATTTAGATTCCTGATCCTTTGTCACAAATAAACAGTCCTGGGAGCAGGATCTTCAAATTACGATTAGTGAGGCAGTTTGGGCTGATAGTTTGAGGAGAATCCACTCATCTTCAATATGCGTGGAATATAAATTAAGCAAACATTGTTGCTTCACCATCTCCTCGGAACATCTGACATTTACCACCTGAATCTGGGAATCTCCATCCTCTACCTCAAACGTAGTGTTTTATTTGAAGGCAGTCAACAGACTGAATCCAACAGAGTCAGGAAAAGCAGAGCAACATCTCACAGATACGTCCTTTTTTAATCCACTTCTGTCATCAGAGAGTACATTCCATACAAGAACACAGTTCTGGACAGAGAAGCAGAAGTGGCAACATCAGCCGGTTTGGTCGGTTCTAATAACTTCTTACGGTACGTAACTCTTCACACTATCAGGAAAAACGTCCTTGGCCGAATCCTGGAAGATTCTGCAACAACTTGAACACGTTGTAAAAAAGTGACAAAAGCGAGAACAGACAGTGACTTACTCCAAAATGTCCACTTCACAGACAAACAAAGTGAAGGTATATAAAGTCTGTGTTTCCATCTCTGAGACATCCTGTGACCAGAAACTGCTGCTGGAACAGACTCTTCAACTAACCATCAGAACAAGGTAACATTTAAAGTCCTACTGCTCATGGTGATGTTTTATGTCTTGGTTGAGTTGATCTGTGATGCTAATTATGAACTTTCCTAACCATTCTTTCTACAGATGGCTGCCGGTCTTCTCTTCTCTCTGCTTCTTGGTCTGAGCTTTGGACTCTGGGATGGAGCTGATGTAAGTATGGAGAAGGACTTAAGACAATGACTGGTATGTCCCTGTTGGGAGCTTTGGCTGACTGACGTAGATCAGATGGAGCAATCTGAGCCATCACTTGGTTGATGAGAAAACTTTGTTTTGTTGGGAATTTTGTCCTAAAACTTTGGGTTTTTCATCCACAGGCCGGATGTGAAGTGAGAGGTATGTGATTCTTTTATTGAGTTTCTAACACCTAAAAGATAATTTATTGTGAGAAGTTCTTTGACAAGATAGGAAACTTTTGGTTTCTTGGGTCATCCTTTCAGCAAAATTACAGGCCTTAATTTCTGTATGAAGGACTGTATGTGTTTGGTGTGACATGATGCTGATTGTTGGATGGATGTATTAACCTTCTCCATTCATATTTCCCAGCTAACACACCACTTGACTGCCCTGCAGGCTGGAAATGGTACAAAGGTCGATGTTTTTTGTTTGTGGAAGATCCAACTAGATGGATAATGGCAGAGGTACAATAGATGTGATGATCACAGCAGATTTCCTACATTAAAATAAATTTATTGATATAAAGACAATAAGATTCACCAACAATAAGGTTACAGAAACTGATTTCCATTAAACAAATAGATCCATAATTTCTAAAGGTTGATATTCAGTTGCACCAACTGTCTCACTGCACAGAGGAAAGTTTAAACCAGTGTTGCCTTTTTCAGAACGACTGCCTCTCAATGGATGGGAATCTGGCCTCATTTCACACTATAGAGGAGTACAACTTCATCAGAGACCTTATCTACAAAGCAGCTAAAAAACACACAGAAACTTGGGTTGGAGGTCATGATTCAGCACAGGTGAGAATTTAAAAACATACAAATATCTCCGTTTGGTTGATCACTTTTTCTGTCAAGATGCATTTCTCATGGATCTTTTTGTAAAAGCTTTTAGATGACATTTGTTGTGAATTGTTTTCTTCCGGCTGCTCTGACCAGCTGAGGGTTTAAATATCAATGATCCAAACACAGTTCATGTTTTCTATAATGAGTGACAGGAGTCTAGGTTGGTTCTGTGTGATTTGTTTGCATTGCAACTTCAAACTAAGATGTTCTTTCAGGAAGGCTACTGGATGTGGACTGATGGTTCTAACTTTATTTTGAAGTCCTGGGGCCCCTGGAGCCAGATAATAAGCAAGGAAAGGAACATTGCCTGTTGATGAACTCTTCTGGTATTTATTACTTCGAAATCATAACCTGTAATTTAATAATGTTGTTTAAATGCATGTTTTTATCTTTGTATCTGGTGTCTTAGTAAGTAGGAGTTTGTCCTGTAATCAGTGGGTTCCTGGTTCGAACCCCCACTCCATTCATGTCCGTTGTGTCCTTGGGCAAGACTCGTCATCTGCCCTGCATGCTTTCTGAAACCGATCAAATCATGTCAAAGTCTTTGTCAAAGGTTTGTGGTCTGGATTTGTCTCTTTGTTTTCAGAACAAGATCATACAGCAGATGAAATCTGTAGCAAGAAGTTTCCCTACGTCTGTGTTCGACCCCTGTAACCTTCCTTTGCCTAATAATCTGAACTGTATGGCTTTCCTGCTGGTGATGTCACTTCCACCTGGATGTCAAGTCTCGATGACATCACTGCTGGAAGAACCTGATTTCACTTTATTTGATCACTGAAATAAATGTTTTCTTTCTCTGAAATCTGATTGATTTAATTATATAATTGAAAATCGACCAGTGTTTCAGCCTCCCTGCCTTACATGTTTTAGATGTTTCCCTTCTGCCACACCTGGAATCTGTGGGTGATTAACAGCCCTGTAGTTCTTGATGGCTACAGAAGAGATCATGCAATCCTTTACTGAGCTATTCTGGAATAGAGACACATCAAAGCATATCAGTAAGCACATCAAAACAGAAAAAAATAAATCAAGCAATTTAAAATGATTTAAAGCCCAGCAAACCTGACACTTCCTCGTCCACCACATGTTCTCCCAGACCGAGCAAAAGGCCCCGTGTCAAACCATTAAAAACTCAAATCTCACAGCATCTCACAGAATTTCACACGTTGGTCTGAAGTGGTGGGAAGATAAAAAATACAAAGGGAGACGTAAACCTGTTAAAATATTTGTTGTGCCTCAATGTCCTGGGTTACAATGGGCACGAAATGCTGTTATTTTTTAATAAACACATTTAAGATGAAAGTAATGTTGCCAAACTTACCATAAAAGTTCTCAGAGCAGAATTCAATTTAGATCCCGGTTGCAAACAAGCCAGCAGCAAAGTGGCGGTTTGGTTGGGACCAACCACTAGTGTAAAACTGGGGAGGCAGACCGATCCGCTCCTTGTAGATGATTTTCAGCCAGCACATACTACACAGTCAGTAGTAATTTTTACAGACAAGCAAGAAAATGGAAAGAAAGGAATCACAATCCACTGTTCTCAACATATAGTGCTTAATTTAAAACAGTGGTTCTTAACCTGGGTTCTACAGAATCCCAGCGGTTCTGCAGAACCCCGGCGGTTCGGTGAGTCGGTCTCAGGGGTTCGGCGGATCTTCTGCCGCAGAGGTAAAGACACTCTTTTGTAAAGTCGTGATGATGCGCCCTGCTTGGCCAATCAGTGCTGCAGGGAAGTTAGTGCCCAGTAGTCAATGGATGTCGTCGTTGGATGTCATGTTGTTTCTTTCTCAATATTTGAATCCATACTAAACATGTCGAGCAAAATCAGAAAGTGGTTGGACGAATATGTACAAGAGGAATGCTCAACAAGTCGACTGTTCGATCTTGGGAAGGTTTTGAGTCTCGGCAGCAGGAAGCAAACTGAAGGCCTCCAGAACGCCGAGACCAGAACTTCCTTTCTGACTGGCTTATCAAAATATTCACCAAGATCCAAAACGTTAAATAATAATTGTAAAACAATCAACAAAATGTGTTAAAATTAATAATCTGTAATCTTTGATTCAAAATGGGTGACCAGTCTTTCCCAACCCTGGTCCTCCAGCCTGTTCATCAGTCATCAGTTCAAATCATGTGTGCTGAATTAGGGAACTACCTAAAACTTGCCTTGAGGACCAGCGTTGAAGAACTCTGGATTAGTCGCTGGCATTTCAATCATTAGATTTCAACCACTGAACAAAATTGATTCAATCTTTCCAACATCAGTTCATTGGCTAGAATTGGATTATTGTTTCATGGTTTATGCACCATCAATTGTCAACCTTAGCCAAAAATTCAACCTTTATTATCATAATTCAATGTTAAATGAACATATTTTCAAATCAAGCCAACAGCAGAGTGGCTGTGTGTTTGGGACGTCCAATGCATGTAAAAATAGGAGCCGGCCGCTTCACTCCTTGCAGTCACTTGTAGATGTCTTGGTGTCAATTTATCACGCACAAACAGTAATAATTTTTATGGACAAGTAAGAAAATGTATAGAAAGAAATCATAACCTACTGTCCAAACCTACGCTTATTACTGTGCATAATTGAAAACATGTTGAACCTGCTCAATAATAAAAGAGCAGGAGGCGGAGTGCGACAAGCAGCATTCGTTGATTGAATATGAAATATCAATATTCAATATTAATATTGAATATTGATCAGATATTGACATTTTCAACCACAAAACAAGATTGATTCAATGACATATTTTCAACATTGGTTACTTGGCTAGAATTAGATGATTGTTTGATGGTTGATTCACTGATAATTGTCGACCGCAACCAAAAATCAACCATTTTGACTGTAATTCAATGTTGAATTAACATTGATGGCTAACTAGGTGATGACAAGAACATGTGGTGTGGCTGGATGGCAAATTCATAACCCTGTATTGATTTACAATCAATACAGTTGATTGTAAATCACACATGCATCATCCTATTTGCATCAAACTGGATAAAAAATAATATCCAAAAATGGCAATAGGATTATATAAGAGTTTGACTCTGGTGCTACTGGAACAGAATATCTCTATGATAAAAATGAAAGATTCTCTAAATGCGCTGCCTGGTGTACAGCACATTAAAAGCTGTCTACCTCACATGTCACCTGAATAACATAGATCTTGAAGTGCTTTGAACTGTAAAATATTGACAGATGCCAGTCTGAAGAGTAGTAATCATTGGCCATATTCTTCTCATGGATGACTTAAAGCTGCATGCCAAGGATGAACTAGAAATAACTCACTGATCCTCATATATAGCAAACTCACCGGAACATCATTCAGATGGCAGAAGCTTTCTAATTGTTTCCAAAAAGTCGAGGTGATCACAGCTAAACACGGAGCAGCCAGCATGAAATCAAAAGGAATCATCTGTAGACCTCTGTGACTGGACTGTCTTGAGACACAAATCTGGAGAAGGATCCAGAACCTGCCCTCTTTTAACACAGGTGGACTGAAGCTGGTTTTTCAGTCTTCAGGACGGCCGACTGCTCTTGTCCTCTGCCACGGAGTCCTTCTGGCATGACAGATCCCACTTCTCACACCAAGCATGTGGTGGAAACTCCTTATCAAACAGGAAGACAAACTACTCAAGAATGATAAAGTTTCAACTTTATCTTTCAAGCGTTTTATTTGAAGGCAGTCAACAGACTGAATCCAACAGGTCAGGAAAAGCAGAGCAACATCTCACAGATACGTCCTTTTTTAATCCACTTCTGTCATCAGAGAGTACATTCCATACAAGAACACAGTTCTGGACAGAGAAGCAGAAGTGGCAACATCAGCCGGTTTGGTCCGGTTCTAATCACTTCTTACGGTACGTAACTCTTCACGCTATCAGGAAAACGTCCTTGGCCGAATCCTGGAAGATTCTGCAACAACTTGAACACGTTGTAAAAAAGTGACAAAAGCGAGAACAGACAGTGACTTACTCCAAAATGTCCACTTCACAGACAAACAAAGTGAAGGTATATAAAGTCTGTGTTTCCATCTCTGAGACATCCTGTGACCAGAAACTGCTGCTGGAACAGACTCTTCAACTAACCATCAGAACAAGGTAACATTTAAAGTCCTACTGCTCATGGTGATGTTTTATGTCTGGTTGAGTTGATCTGTGATGCTAATTATGAACTTTCCTAACCATTCTTTCTACAGATGGCTGCCGGTCTTCTCTTCTCTCTGCTTCTTGGTCTGAGCTTTGGACTCTGGGATGGAGCTGATGTAAGTATGGAGAAGGACTTAAGACAATGACTGGTATGTCCCCGTTGGGAGCTTTGGCTGACTGACGTAGATCAAATGGAGCAATCTGAGCCATCACTTGGTTGATGAGAAAACTTTGTTTTGTTGGGAATTTTGTCCTAAAACTTTGGGTTTTTCATCCACAGGCCGGATGTAACATGAGAGGTACGTACTTCGTTTATTGTTGGAGATTCTAACACCTAAAAGACAATTATATTGTGAGAAGTTTAAAAAAAAAAGATAGTAAACTTTTGCATAGATCAGCTATATTGGGTTGTGCTTTAGGCACAAGTACAGAAACATCCCATCCCACAAGGCCGATAGGCAACAGTAGTTTTTACTGAAGGCAGCTAGAAATGCTAAGGCAAATTATTTCTGAATAAAATAATCAGAACCAATAAATGTGTCATTTCAGAGGCTTTTCATCTGAAAATATTTTTGAATAACTTATCTGCTAAATCCTCTTGTTAAAGTGCAGTATTTTTAGTTGATTTTTCATTCAATTCGACATTGATTATGCTTTATCAATAAAGTACGAGTCTAAGTCTAAGTCTTTTTCACAATGATTAACTGACATGATTTCATAGATTGTAATTTCTGTTAATTGCTCATACTTTTTATGTATTTTTACCATCATGTTTGATGCTGTCAGGAAAGTGGGATGCTGTGTTTTCTCTGTGGTTCTTGCAGCTGGTAGCCACCTGAGGCTGCCATGGTTAGCAGCCATACTTGCAAGTCCTTCAGCCTCATCATACACAGAACCGGTCTGGTTGTATCTACGTATGATGATACAACCACTTCTGTTGTCCTGCAGTTTTTATATGTGCCATAGGTACAAAACACTGGAATGAAATGGCTTCATTACCTCCTTGTTCTCCAGAGCCTTAATGACCTAATTATTCTATTCAGGTGGTGCAGCAGAGGTACATGTAAACGTTGCAGGACACTGGCCTTTGAGGACTGGAGTTTGACACCCCTGTGGTAGATGAACCAGAGACTGTGGATAACCTGATTACCCAAGTAACTCAACTTGATCTGAGATTAAAGGACAGACTATGAGACAGACCAAGAAGAAACTACCTCAATCTTCCCATTAATTTTTCACTAACTTTCACTCTGTCTCTTCATCCTCCTCAATTGCTAAGTCTCCTACACAGAAACCAGAACCAATGCAAGAAGCATCTCTTGAGGAATGGTAGCGCAGGATGCAGACTAACCAGTGTTTGTATTGTGGAGGTTCTGATCACTTCATCAACACTTCAGTTAATAGCCAAAGTCCATAAATAACTAAGGGGAGTCTGAATCTGTGTTTTTTCCTCCGTGCTACACAGTTTTTTCAATAATACTCATTCCATATCAGCGCTTTGGTTGATCCAGGTTCTGAACAGACCATCAATGCCCCGTCCGTTATTCAACAACATGAAATAGTGACTATTCCTATTAGGAGCCCTCTTGAGACAAATGTCAATGGAAGACCCTTGCCACCAATAACCCATTGCACGAACCCATTCACTCTGATCATCTCAGGTAGCCATCATGAAATTGTCAATTTCTTTGTTTTCTATTCCAAACATTCATCCACCATACTAGGTTTTGGCTGGCTACAAAGACACAACCTATATCTCAATTGTGAAAATTGAGATATAGGTGAATCCTGGCCCACTGTCTTTCTTCCTGTCTGCAATCTGTCATCCCTCCTTGCCCAACCCCAGGAAATTCACCTGTTGATGAATCCCCAGAACTGAGCCAAGTTCCAGAGGATTATGGATCTTAAACAAGTTGTCAGCAAATGCAAGGCTCTATTGCTGCCACTCCACAGATCATATGACTGTGCCATAAACTGTCTCGCTGGAGCACCTTTGCCTTCTAGATGTCTCTTCAATGTGTCTCATCTTGAAAGAGAACCCATAGAGAAGTATATAAATGAATCTCTTGCTTCTGGCATTATTAGACATTCCTCTTCTCCTCTGGGGGGGGGGGGGTTCTTCTTGTTTAAGAAGGATGGCTCACTCCGATTGTGCATCAATTACCATGGACTAAAGCAAATCACAATCAAGAATCCTTACCCTCTGCCAGTTATCCAGATTTCGAACCCCTCCATGATGCTAAGATTTTCACCACCACACTTGACCTCCTCAATGCCTACCACCTAATCTGTGTCAGCCAGGGAGATGAGTGGAAGACTGCTTTCAAGACCCCTCTTGGCCATTTGGAATACCTTGTCATGCCATTTGGACTCTGCAAAGCCCTACGCAATCTTTCAGGCCGTCCAATGAATCTGGACCAATGCCATTGTTGCTCTCAACCAAACAGCAGAACATAACAAGAGATACTCAGACAAGACACATATTCCCTCCTCAATACACCCCAGGTCAGAAAGTTTGGTTATTCTCCCATGCCCTGTAAAGTCCATTTCTAAGAAACTCTTACCCAGGTTCATTTTTCCATCATAAATGCCTGCTATCCATTTTTGCCTACCCCAAAGTCTTCATATGCACCCAACCTTCCGTGTTTCCCAGATAAAACAGTCCATATGAGCTCCTTCTGAGAACCCTCCTCCCGTCCGAGTCATTAATGGGCATCCAGCTTTTGACATCCAGTGGATCGTGGCCTCCTGTCGGTGAAGTCTGTATCAGTATCTTGTTGACTGGGTATGGTACAGTCCTGAGAAGGATTCGTGGGTGCCCCAGTATATCATCTTGACTCAATCTCTCATAGCTGACTACGAAGCCTCCCTTGTGTCCACTTCTTTTGCCTGAGTGTTAACCCATGTTGTGACATCAAGCCCACTTTGTGAACTTCTGAGTTGCTTTCTGTGTGAAGTAACTGAGCCCAGTGTTACTCCTTGTTTCCCTCTCTTCAGGTCTTCCTGAGTACCACCTTAAATTTATCTGTGAAAACTCTCATGCATTGTCAGACCAGAAACAGTCAAAATTTTCAGCTTGGATTTTCTGACTGGTAACTTTAAGCTCCTCCATCAACGTTGTACCACCTTTCCGCTCTCCAACAGTTCTGCAGCAGCCACCGATCCTCAGCCTACTATTTTGCAGTTTTTACCTCAAGACCAACACCCCACTCACCTCTCTCTGGTGGACTTCCTTGTCATTCTCTGCAAGTTGCTTATTCACCATTTCCTCTTACCTTCATCTGCTCAACTAATTTATTTCTTCCAATTTATTTTTTCTTCCAGAGGTTCCCCACATTGCCGATGTACCAAGGACCACCTCCTCAATGCCTACCATTGCAAATAAACCCCATTTTACTGAATTCTGTCCTGAGTCTTTCTCTGTATGTGGGTCAGAAGCCAAAACAGAGATATGACAGATGCAACTGAACTTCTATACTGTGTCTGGTGTTAGAATTATGTTGATTATCAATAGGATGTATTTACCTTCTCTCTTCACATTTCCCAGTTGACATATGTGAAGGCTGCGAAAAGGATTGGAGCTGGCATGATGGTCGATGTTTTCTGTATGTGAATAATGCAAAATCCTGGGCTGCAGCAGAGGTACAACAGATGTGATGATCTCAGCAGATTTCCTACATTCAAAGGAAATGTAAATTTATTGATATAAAGACAATAAGATTCACCAACAATAAGGTTCCAGAAACTGATTTCCATTAAACAAATAGATCCATAATTTCTAAAGGTTGATATTCAGCTGCACCAACTGTCTCACTGCACAGAGGAAAGTTTAAACCAGTGTTGCCTTTTTCAGAGATTCTGCCTCACAATGGGTGCAAATTTGGCCTCATTCCACAGTGTAGCAGAGTACAACTTCATCAGAGACTTTACCTACAAAGCAACTGGAAAACACACACAAACTTGGGTTGGCGCTTATGATTCAGCAAAGGTGAGAATTTAAAAACATACAAATATCTCCATTTGGTTGATCACGTTTTCTGTCAAGATGTATTTCTCATGGCTCTTTTTGTAAAAGCTTTGAGACGACATTTGTTGTGAATTGTTGTCATATTAATAAACTGAATTGAATTGAACAGGTGTTCCTAATAAAGTGGTCAGTTCAGTCAAAGACATTCCAGTTGATTCTGGTTATAATGCAGTTAACTGCAGATTAGAATATCAGTTGGTCAACAGTTACCTGAGGAAGAAACCCAGTTTGTTGTATTGAATAACTGACTATGCTAAACTCCCTCATGCTGAGGAAGCATGTGGCAACAGTGGAGAGGAATGAGAGGAGACCTCCAACAGAACCAGAACCGGCTTCTGTTTTTCCTCCGGCTGCTCTGATCAGCTGAGAGTTTAAATATCAATGATCCAAACACAGTTCATGTTTTCTATAGTGAGTGGCAGAAGTCCAGGTTGGTTCTGTGGGATTTATTTGCATTGGAACTGAAAACTAAGATGTTCTTTCAGGAAGGCAGGTGGCTGTGGAGTGATGGCTCCAAGTTTGTGTTTAATTCCTGGGGTTTTCATGAGCCAAACAATGCTGGAAAAAGTGAACACTGCATGGACATCAACATACATGGTATTTATTACTACAAATGTACTAAAATTATTTTTTTAGTTAATGCATGTTTTTATCATATCTTTGTATCTGGTGTCTTAGTAAGTAGGAGTTTGTCCTGTAATTGGTGGGTTCCTGGTTCGAACCCCCACTCCATTCATGTCCGTTGTGTCCTTGGGCAAGACTCGTCATCTGCCCTGCATGCTTTCTGAAACCAATTAAATTATGTCAAAGTCTTTGTCAAAGGTTTGCAGTCAGGATTTGTCTCTTTGTCTTTTTACAGAACGAGATTATGTGAATGATTCTGACTGTTCTGAGAAGCTTCCCTTCATCTGTGCCAGACTCATGTAACCTGATGCCTAATAATCTGAACCATATGGTTTTCCTGCTGGTGATGTCACTTCCACCTGGATGTCAAGCCTCGATGACATCACTGCTGGAAGAACCTGATTTCACTTGATTTCTCACTTAAATAAATGTTTCCTTTCTCTGAAATCTGATTGATTTAATTATAGGATTTAAAATATATCAAAATTCCATTTCAGCAGCAACTAATTGGTAATATTTGTAAATCTCAGCTATAAATTTGTACTGAAAATTATCAGAATATCAATGCATTTGTAAAGTAATAAAAATCTATAAAATATGAAGTTTTCACAAACTCTGAATCACATGTTTTGCACAAATTCACTCGTGTCACAAATATTTTACACTAATGAAACCTTGTAAAAATGTTTGTCACCATAAACCTCTGGAACACCAGAGCATCTTTAGTTAAAAATCTGTAAAAAAAAACTTAAATTTATAAAAATAAATGCAATGTATCTTAAACTCTTTTGGCTGCGTTTCCATGTTGGAAAGTTAACTAGAAACCTAAGATTATACATGCAAAACTATTTTCAAATCCCTTAAATTAAATTGCATTATTTTTTATCATTCATCCTGCCATTGTCTACTCCTGCTTGTCCTGGAGAGACTGAAGAGGGCCTGGTGCGCCTGGTCAGAGGTTTGTTTCCTATTAGAAGCTGTTGGTGAAAACAGAATCTCCTCCTCAATCAGGTCATCAGAGGATTTGGCTGGCAGCCTTGATCAACAGTTTGTTGACATTTATGCTGATCACTGCACATCTCTAGTGTGCACACTTCAGAGAACCTGTAATTCCAGGGTTCCTTCTGCAGAATCCTAAGTAAACCTGGATTCCTTTGGGTGATGGTTTATTCCTTTGGCTGGGATTAAGAACTGGACAAACTCACAGTAACCTGTAGTTTTTGATCTTTAGCTCCTGGGACATGAAGGAGCCTTCTCTTTGCTGGTGTCACCATTCAAAATGGAGGATGACAGAGAATGTTTGTCCTGGTTGTGAGGTTTTAAGGTCTCCATCACATCACAGAGTTTCCTTTCTGAAACTCCTGCTCTTCAAGGGTTAACATAGTACATGATTGAATCTGTAGTTATAGTTATCAGTTCTTCATGGCCAACACTGCTAAGAGGCCTCGTTGATTCAGAAATGGTCGGAGTCAGAAGGACTCTGGCTAAAACGGACAAAGTCTCCCTCTCTGTGCTGAAAGCTGCTGCTGAACTGTAGAGCTCTCTCAGTGACAGACTTCAGAAAGGAGCGTTATCACAGATCCTTCCTCCCAGCAGCTGGAAGAATTTACAGCCATCACTGCTGTGTACATTCACATGCCGGTATTGTCAATTTATGCAGTTTTTACTCACTTCAAAGAACATTTTAGCTGATATCTGCAGCATAAATGTTTTACTGTGTGTTACAATCTTTATTGACACTGTAAACAGTCTGTTATTGTTGGAATGATTTTATAGTTTATTATCATGTATTTGTTTTACCTTTCTCCTATATTATCATCCATTCATTTGCCTTTGTATTTCCATTTTAATGGTGTGCTTTGAGTGTTTGCAGAAAAGGAAACTGTTTGAAGCGGCCTGCTGAAGAGTGCTTACTCTGACATGTAACCAGGGTATTTCTAACTTTCATAAAAGCAGGAAGGGGGCTCGACTGAAGCTTCAGAGCATAGTTTTGAATTCTGTAACTGGGTTTCAGCTGTGTTCTCCCTGATTCTTGTCCCTTCTTTGTGTCTGTATTCAGGTATTTATACCTAACATAAATTGGTCCTTCGAGCCAGATTCCAACATGCCTGCAGTTTCCAGGGGAGGAACGGACATCAGAAGACCGTGGCCATGGCAGAGTCTCACATATCCATTCCAGGACTGATCTCCACCCTGCCTGCTGGGACCCAATGGCTGATGGAAAGGAGCGAAGGAGACAAGAGTCTGTGAGTACTGTTTTGATTGAAATGTGAGCGAACGATTGAGAGTCATTGCGCGTTTAAACCTTATAATCCTAGACACTGATAGATAATAAATAAGAAGGACGACGGTGTCCACGTGAACTGAAAAATCCATAATACCAAGTGTGTGTGTGTATTAATTTAAATACCATTGGTATTTGTCCTCATACCAAATGGCAGGAGTGTAAATGGTGAACCTCTTGTGGATGTTTAAAGAATATTTCTGCTGATATCTGCAGCATCAATTTTCTATTGTGTGTTGCAATCGTTATTGTGACTGTTAATAGTCAATCTTTTCATGCTCAGATGCATTTACATATTTTGAACCTCCATCCATCCATCATCTTACACTCCCATACCAAATGCGGTCAGGGATATTTTTAACACCAATTAAATGAAACTGTTCAGTTGCACATTCCTTTGGACCAGGGTTTTCTATGTATAATAAATACATAGTATAAATGTAGAAAATTTGCCCTGACTGTACATTATTAAATTCTTGATTCTGTTTTTATATATGTAGGCCTTCGCAGTGACAGCGCTGTTATATTCATAGTGTTTATTAATATGATTCTTTTATCAAATGAAATGGTTTTATGGAGACCTTAACAAATCTGAAAACTCAAACTTCACAGAGACAGACAGATTTTTGAATTTATGTTTCAAAGTTGTTGCAAAAATTCCTAATAAACCCAACGGAGAAATTATGACAAATTTTACGCCACACTCACTGAGAACAGGAACTGTCATGTTTCACTCTAAATAGCCTCTATCTGACCCCTTTGACCTAATCAACTTGAAGGTGTGTCCAGTAACTGAAGACATGTTGACATGATGTGGTTTCCAGCTGACCCTGGTGTGTGCACTGTGGAAATGTCACAAATGACACCATTACCGTAAGTTTGGCTCTAAATTCCACAGATCCGAACTCACCGGGATCGATCCTTATCTGACCCCCAACAGAAGTCCTCAACCATCTTTGGTGAGCGTGGCCTAATTACAGCGCCCCCTACAATACTTTAAATACACAAACTTCAGAATCATTCAGCACAGTCTTGAGGCATTGAAGACCAAAAGTTATAAAAAATGTTTTGCACATCTAAGCATGTGGGCGTGGCCGACCCTGAAATCTGACCATTGCCCATGAAACATCAAGGTGCAATAACTTCTACATACAAGGTCACAGCTGCAGTGATCAATGCAATACTCTTAATGTGATGATCTTGGTCTGTTTAGGTTTGTGTCCACTTTGCTTTAGAGCTTCCTTGCATCTATTTCACCATCCTATGGTAATCATTCTACTTCCCTACGTTTGCATAGATGCTGTCTTCCACAGCTGTTCCTGATTCCATAACAAATGTATTTGAATTCAATGTCATTTTCTCCTTATTACTCAGTAGAAAAGGTCACTGGTTTTCATTGTTCTGGCTGGTTACTCACAATGGCCATACTTTATGTGATCCTTCTCATGGATGACTTAAAGCTGCATGCCAAGGATGAACTAAAAATAACTCACTCATCCTCATATAAAACTTTCTAATTGTTTCCAAAAAGTCGAGGTGATCACAGCTAAACACGGAGCAGCCAGCATGAAATCAAAAGGAATCATCTGTAGACCTCTGTGACTGGACTGTCTTGAGACACAAATCTGGAGAAGGATCCAGAACCTGCCCTCTTTTAACACAGGTGGACTGAAGCTGGTTTTTCAGTCTTCAGGACGGCCGACTGCTCTTGTCCTCTGCCACGGAGTCCTTCTGGCATGACAGATCCCACTTCTCACACCAAGCATGTGGTGGAAACTCCTTATCAAACAGGCAGACAAACTACTCAAGAATTGATAAAGTTTCAACTTTATCTTTCAAGTGTTTTATTTGAAGGCAGTCAACAGACTGAATCCAACAGAGTCAGGAAAAGCAGAGCAACATCTCACAGATACGTCCTTTTTTAATCCACTTCTGTCATCAGAGAGTACATTCCATACAAGAACACAGTTCTGGACAGAGAAGCAGAAGTGGCAACATCAGCCGGTTTGGTCCGGTTCTAATCACTTCTTACGGTACGTAACTCTTCACGCTATCAGGAAAACGTCCTTGGCCGAATCCTGGAAGATTCTGCAACAACTTGAACACGTTGTAAAAAAGTGACAAAAGCGAGAACAGACAGTGACTTACTCCAAAATGTCCACTTCACAGACAAAAAAGTGAAGGTATATAAAGTCTGTGTTTCCATCTCTGAGACATCCTGTGACCAGAAACTGCTGCTGGAACAGACTCTTCAACTAACCATCAGAACAAGGTAACATTTAAAGTCCTACTGCTCATGGTGATGTTTTATGTCTTGGTTGAGTTGATCTGTGATGCTAATTATGAACTTTCCTAACGATTCTTTCTACAGATGGCTGCCGGTCTTCTCTTCTCTCTGCTTCTTGGTCTGAGCTTTGGACTCTGGGATGGAGCTGATGTAAGTATGGAGAAGGACTTAAGACAATGACTGGTATGTCCCTGTTGGGAGCTTTGGCTGACTGACGTAGATCAGGTGGAGCAATCTGAGCCATCACTTGGTTGATGAGAAAACTTTGTTTTGTTGGGAATTTTGTCCTAAAACTTTGGGTTTTTCATCCACAGGCCGGATGTCGACTGAAAGGTATGTGATTCTTTTATTGTTGGAGTTTTTAACATGTAAAAGACAATTATATTGTGAGAAGTTCGTTGAAAAGATGGGAAACTTTTGCTATATTGGGTCATCCTTTCAGCAAAATTACAGGCCTTAATTTCTGTATAATGTAAATTAATAAATAGTTTATTTATTACTTATTGTATAGAAACATCCCATCCCACAAGGCGGATAGACAACAGTAGTTTTTACTGAAGGCAGCTAGAAATGCTAAGAAGGCAAATTATTTTCTGAATAAAATAATCAGAACCAATAAATGTGTCATTTCAGAGGCTTTTCATGGGAAAATATTTTTGTAATGACTGTCATCTAATAAAACTTTTGGGTTAAGTGCAGTATTATTAGTTGATTACTGATTTAACATTGATCATGCTTTTTTAAAATAATTATTAACTGAGTCCTTCTGGACTCCTAATTCCTATTTTCATAAGATGGAATTTAGATTAATTTCTCATATTTTTATGTATTTTTACCATAATGTTTGCAGCTGAACATCTTGACTTTGTTTTGTGTTTTAATTATGCTGATCAGTGGATGGATGCATTTACTTTCCCAGTTGCCGACTGTGAGGAGTGCACTCATGGTTGGAGATGGTATGAGGGTCGGTGTTTCCTGTATGTGAAGGTTAAAATGACCTGGGGTGATGCAGAGGTACAACAGATGTGATGATCTCAGCAGATTTTCTACATGCAAAAGAAATGTAAATTTATTGATATAAGAACAATAAGATTCACCAACAACAAGGTTACAGAAACTGATTTCCATTAAACAAATAGATCCATAATTTCTAAAGGTTGATATTCAGCTGCACCAACTGTCTCACTGCACAGAGGAATGTTTAAACCAGTGTTGGCTTTTTCAGAGATTCTGCCTTTCATTGGATGCAAATCTGGCCTCAATAAACACCTTACATGAGTACCACTTCATCAGAGACTTTACCTTAAATTCAACTGGAAAACACAAACAAACTTGGGTTGGAGGTCATGATTCAGCACAGGTGAGAATTTAAAAACATACAAATATCTCCGTTTGGTTGATCACTTTTTCTGTCAAGATGTATTTCTCATGGCTCTTTTTGTAAAAGCGTTGAGACGACATTTGTTGTGAATTGTTGTCATATTAATAAACTGAATTGAACAGGTGTTCCTAATAAAGTGGTCAGTTCAGTCAAAGACATTCCAGTTGATTCTGGTTATAAATATCAATGATCCAAACACAGTTCATGTTTTCTATAATGAGTGGCAGAAGTCCAGGTTGGTTCTGTGTGATTTGTTAGCAAAGAAACTTTGAACTAAGATGTTCTTTCAGGAAGACACCTGGTTTTGGAGTGACGGCTCCAAGTTTGTGTTTCATCGCTGGGGCTACAGAGAGCCAAACAATTTTGGTGGAAACGAGAAATGTATGGACATCAACATGCATGGTATTTACTACCTGTATTTTAATCATTTCGTTTAAATGCATGTTTTTATCTTTGTATCTGGTGTCTTAGTGAGTAGGAGTTTGTCCTGTAATCAGTGGGTTCCTGGTTCGAACCCCCACTCCATTCATGTCCGTTGTGTCCTTGGGCAAGACTCGTCATCTGCCCTGCATGCTTTCTGAAACCAATCAAATCATGTCAAAGTTTTTCAGTCAGCATTTGTCTCTTTGTCTCTTTACAGGACGAGATCATGTGAATGATAATGAATGCTCCAAGAAGTTTCCATTCATCTGTGCCAAATCCCCATAACATTTCTCTTCTGATGCCTAATAATCTGAACCGTATGGCTTTCCTGCTGGTGATGTCACTTCCACCTGGATGTCAAGCCTCGATGACATCACTGCTGGAAGAACCTGATTTCACTTCATTTCTCACTTAAATAAATGTTTTCTTTCTCTGAAATCTGATTGATTTAACTATAGGATTTAAAATATATCAAGATTCCACTAAATGGTAATATTTCTAAATCTCAGCTATAAATTTGTACTGTAATAAATAAGTGCATTTGTAAAGTAATAAAAATCTATGAAATATTAAGTTTTCACAAACTCTGAATCACATGTTTTGCACAAATTCACTCGTGTCACAAAAATTTTACACCCAATGAAACCTTGTAAAAATGTTTGTCATCATAAACCTCTGGAACACCAGAACATCTTTAGTTAAAAATCTGTTGACCCCAAGCAGGATACTGCAGATGGGTCGTTATTTACAGCAGGATGATGAACCAACATGGTAGAAAATTGGTTGAATCAACTTTCTACCATGGTAATCCCATCGCTCAGACCAAAGTCTGACATTACAGCCTCATTGACGACTGTTTGTTAAGCACTGAGGAGTTATCTGAAGTTTGTATATCAGATATTGTCCAAGTGTCATTTGGAGTCTCCATTTGGAGTCTCCATATGACAGTGGCGGAAAACTATTTCCCAGAAAACTGCAGAACCACAGCTTGGGTGGGAGTGCTACTGGCTCACCAGTCATTGATTGTAATAGTTATTGATTTCAGCTTGAACTCATGCAAATGGCATTTGGAGTCTCTAAGCGGAGACTCCAAATGGCACTTGGACAACATCTGTACATCCTCAAAAATAAAACATGTCCAAAATGACATTTTTTTGTGCTAGCTTGATCAGTCTTTAGATCCAAGAGCAGAATACTCTGTTCTACAGATTTATTGTATTTTCCAGTTCATACATTCAACACTCAAGGTGCATTTACAAGAAATAAACAGGAAAAATCTGGATGGAGCAAAATCTTTCAATTTCTTTTGTGTTACAAATGTAATGGCTACAAACTACTTACAATTAAAGTATTTTTGACGGCAAAAATAGAACATTTAGCTATTCATTTTCATAAAAAGAATAAGCTTTTGCATGTAGTCCAAATTGTTCAAGAACAAGCTGCTTAAATTTGGGTATACCTTTTCAGCCGTTTTGGGTGATTTTGGTACCGCCAGGTAAGGGATTAACAGTTTAGTCTTAGCTTGGTGTTTTGCATTGTAGTAATGACAGAAAGCAGAATAAGCTTATGACAATAGTGGAAGAAGAAATTCAGGAAGTTAAAAATCTGGCAGCAAGCTCAAGAACTGACAATGAGCAGTTGCAACAAGGATAGACTAGTTCAAGTGCTCTGCCGATCATTTCTTCAGCATTGCCTAATGCCCCTCGTACATATTTATCTTAGGACCCTTCTAAAATATTTGAGATGATCCAGGAATTGTGTGGTTGTATGTTGCTGTTCCAGAAGCCTTTTTTTTCCAGAAAACAGCAGGCAGAGAGTCTTCAGGAGTTCTCCTCACATTAATGGGTTTTATGGAGAGAGCGAAGCAGTGTGCACCTGCTGGCATGTTAAAATCTGAGACTCTGTTAAGAGACCAGTTTACTGTGTAAGTGTTGGACAGTTCCCTTTATGGTGAGTTGAAGCAGTTGGTGCGCACACAGCCGGATCGCTCTCTGCTTGATGCTTGTGCTGCAGCAATCCAGTGGGAGCATGAATGGAGGTGCCTCATGGTGTGAGGAGCCAAAGACAGTCGGTTCCGTCAGTCTATGGAGTCCAGTTGGGGGTTCATGGTGGTCCTCAGATAGCTGAAATGTGATTTATAATCAATAATTTACCTTGATGAGTTACAAGAAAACTACAAGTGGAGTCTTGCTTTGTCCTGCATTCCCTTCCCCAGTGTGAGTCTGACCTTTGGTAGCTTGATTTGCATAGGGAAGTGATAACGACATCCTGCAAGCCCTGTCCAAGTTAGAAGGCAAGAACCAAACTGTGGAGTAAACAGGAGATGAACCAAATGGTTGTTAATAGGCCTCAGTGGGATTGAATGTCATAGAGCAGTGCAGACCCAGGGTTGTGGTCCACAGAATTGAAAACTGTTGGGAAAGCAGATTGTTATTGAAGACAGTACTGGATGTACGAGAACTGTGAAAAAGGAAAAAGAGAAGAAAGAAAAAGAGGTAAGAGAAAATTTATAGGCGCTAATTATTCAAGAAGGGAAAGAAGTTACTGATGAAGTTCCTTTAGGACCATTGTTATTATGGGCCAGAGTCCAAGGATGTGCTGAAAAGTATGAGGAGGCAGGACAAAATGAAGACTGAGCTAAATTTTGTCAAAAGAGTACACTTAAAAACACAAAGCGATCCAGGAGAAAATTAGAAAGTTCTGTTCAGAGCTAGCAGAGCTTTGGCAAGGAACTTCACCTTTACAAAAAGACAGAAAGCATGGTGGAGTTGTTGAAAAAGTCATGACCTTGAACCCCCTCATAAATCCTCAACTCCTAGCTTGTATCTTGTTTTAACTGTTACATGATGCTGAGTCTAAGTTCAAACAATCCATTTACTTCAACTGGATCTCAGGGACCTTCTCTGTCAGGTGTCTCCAGGGGAACATCTAGTAGTCAGGGAGGTTATGTACAGCCATTTCATGATAGAATAGCAAGAAAATGCCGTTGAGAGCACAACCATTTTATAAAATGGTGGGCCGCCATTTTTACCAGTAGCTCGTCCCGTTCCACCACTGCAGATTGTTCCAGCAGAGGAGCTCCCTCCAGGGAGTACCCACCTCAACAGACTGGTAGTACAGCCCCTGTAATGCTAGAGGCTAATCTGCTGGGGCACTGGGTCCTGATACAGCAGCTAACAGGGTTACAGAGTCGACATTCAGCAGCATCACATCACAAACATCCAGAACAAGGATCCAGAACCTGCCCTCTTTTAACACAGGTGGACTGAAGCTGGTTTTTCAGTCTTCAGGACGGCCGACTGCTCTTGTCCTCTGCCATGAAGTCCTTCTGGCATGACAGATCCCACTTCTCACACCAAGCATGTGGTGGAAACTCCTTATCAAACAGGAAGACAAACTACTCAAGAATTGATAAAGTTTCAACTTTATCTTTCAAGTGTTTTATTTGAAGGCAGTCAACAGACTGAATCCAACAGAGTCAGGAAAAGCAGAGCAACATCTCACAGATACGTCCTTTTTTAATCCACTTCTGTTATCAGAGAGTACATTCCATACAAGAACACAGTTCTGGACAGAGAAGCAGAAGTGGCAACATCAGCCGGTTTGGTCCGGTTCTAATCACTTCTTACGGTACGTAACTCTTCACGCTATCAGGAAAACGTCCTTGGCCGAATCCTGGAAGATTCTGCAACAACTTGAACACGTTGTAAAAAAGTGACAAAAGTGAGAACAGACAGTGACTTACTCCAAAATGTCCACTTCACAGACAAACAAAGTGAAGGTATATAAAGTCTGTGTTCCATCTCTGAGACATCCTGTGACCAGAAACTGCTGCTGGAACAGACTCTTCAACTAACCATCAGAACAAGGTAACATTTAAAGTCCTACTGCTCATGGTGATGTTTTATGTCTTGGTTGAGTTGATCTGTGATGCTAATTATGAACTTTCCTAACCATTCTTTCTACAGATGGCTGCCGGTCTTCTCTTCTCTCTGCTTCTTGGTCTGAGCTTTGGACTCTGGGATGGAGCTGATGTAAGTATGGAGAAGGACTTAAGACAATGACTGGTATGTCCCTGTGGGAGCTTTGGCTGACTGACGTAGATCAGGTGGAGCAATCTGAGCCATCACTTGGTTGATGAGAAAACTTTGTTTTGTTGGGAATTTTGTTCTAAAACTTTGGGTTTTTCCATCCACAGGCGGCTCAAATGAAAGGTATGTGATTCTTTTATTGTTGGAGTTTCTAACATGTAAAAGACAATTATATTGTGAGAAGTTCTTTGAAAAGATGGGAAACTTTTGCTATATTGGGTCATCCTTTCAGCAAAATTACAGGCCTTAATTTCTGTATCATGTAAATTAATAAATAGTTTATTTAGTACATATTGTATAGAAACATCCTGTAGAAGCCTAAATTTAGTCTCTGGGATATCTTGTGAATTTGCATATCTAATTGGAGTGGAAGATTTGGGGTGTGGCTAAATTGAAGGAGCTGGGCAGTTGGAGTGGAGCCACACAGTTTTTTGACCTCACTTTTTCTTTCTCTTTTTTGCTTACCTTTTATTAGTGCGGAATGTAAAATTTTGTACTGTTTTTATTTCTGAAGTAAACCGTTCAACTTATCAAGAGAATTCAGTCTGTTTTCCGTTTTGGGTTTTTTTTTGTCATCGAGTAAGATGAAGGGAAAAGACGGAGGGCGTCAAGCTGATGGCTTCGACAATTAGGAAACAATACATCCCATCCCACAAGGCCGATAGGCAACAGTAGTTTTTACTGAAGGCAGCTAGAAATGCTAAGAAGGCAAATTATTTTCTGAATAAAATAATCAGAACCAATAAATGTGTCATTTCAGAGAGTTGGGAACCGGGGTTTTGGGACCTGTGTTGGGTTTTCTATTCCTTCTGGCTCCTCAGGTTCTCCACTAGATGGAGCCATGGGGCTGTTGTCACCGAATCTACTGTTTATTGATCGCACCTGCAGATAAACCCCGTTGTTATCCTGGCTTTAAGAGGAGCAGGCTGTCAGTCCTTTCACGCCTGAGTGTTATCTACTATGTTACTTCAAGCCTCAGAAGAATCACCGCTCTGGTTTTTTCCTCAAGTTTTTGTGATAACCTACAAGCTGACCTTTCTGATCTTTTCCCAACGTCCTCTCGGTGTTTGGATCTGCTCTTTAGTGTCACTCTGGTTACCTTCTCACGTCTCAAGATCTTACATCCATTTCCTGGTTACATCTTCCATGACTGACTACTCCCTAACGCCTCTTCTTCAAGTACTCCCAGTCCGCCCTCCAACTCCACCTCACTCTGGTTTACCTGAACAGAAACCCCACTTGATCTCAATCCCCGGAAACCTCCAACTTCCACCCTGGCGGATCATCTCCTTGATCATCATTGAGCGAGAGAATTTAGTTTGCAATTCTGTTGTCTCCACTACCTTCTCACCTCTCGTCTATTCTGTTTTCAGTGATCCATTTGTTCCCAGTCTGCTGGGTCGGCCAAACCTCTTTCAGAATAGAACTCTCTCATACAAGCTCATGATTCTGTTCTTAGGTGTCTCTGTGATCAACATAATCGATCTAAGCAATGTCTGGATCAATTAACGCACCTCTTGCACAATGTTCAAGCAGCTTCTCCTCCAATTCAAGTGTACCAGCGAGTTTTTCGTCTCCTGAGAGTGTTATGCATGTGGACCAAAAGCCTACCTAAAACCATGACACAGAAGTTTTACATGTAAACAGTCATCTACTAAAAACTTTTGTTGAAATGAAATATTTTTACTTGAATATTGACTTAATTTAATATTGATTATACATTTTTATTATTAACTGATATAATTCCCATTTTTAAAACATGTCATTTGGATTAATTTCTCATATTTTTATGTATTTTTACCATAATGTTTGATGCAGCTGAACTTCTAGACTGTGTTTGGTGTTGAAATGATGCTGATTATCGGATGGATGTATTTAATTTCTCTCTTCATATTTCCCAGTTGCAAACTGCAATCAATGCTCTTCTGGTTGGACTTGGCACAACGGTCGATGTTACGTGTTTATGAACATTAAAATGTCCTGGTCTACAGCAGAGGTACAACAGATGTGATGATCTCAGCAGATTTCCTACATTCAAAAGAAATGTAAATTTATTGATATAAAGACAATAAGATTCACCAACAATAAGGTTCCAGAAACTGATTTCCATTAAACAAATAGATCCATAATTTCTAAAGGTTGATATTCAGCTGCAGCAACTGACTGCACAGAGGAAAGTTTAAACCAGTGTTGCCTTTTTCAGGGACTCTGCCTCACATTGAAAGGACATCTGACCTCAATGCGCAGTACAAATGAGTACCACTTCATCAGAGACCTTATCTACAGAAAAACTGGAACAAACACACGAACTTGGGTTGGAGGTCATGATTCACCAGAGGTGAGAATTTAAAAACATACAAATATCTCCGTTTGGTTGATCACTTTTTCTGTCAAGATGTATTTCTCATGGCTCTTTTTGTAAAAGCTTTGAGACGACATTTGTTGTGAATTGTTGTCATATTAATAAACTGAATTGAATTGAACAGGTGTTCCTAATAAAGTGGTTCTGTTGGAGATTCTGGTTCACATTTTCTATGAGATGGCAGAAGTCTAGGTTGGTTCTGTGTGATTTGTTTCCATTGGAACTGAAAACTAAGATGTTCTTTCAGGATGGCATCTGGTTTTGGAGTGATGGCTCCAAGTTTTTGTTTCATCAGTGGGGCCAGGATCAGCCAAGCCATACCGATGGAATTGAACACTGCGTCAACATCAACAATTTTGGTATTTATTACTGGGAAATCATAACTTGCAATTTAATCATTTCGTTTAAATGCATGTTTTTATCATATCTTTGTATCTGGTGTCTTAGTAAGTAGGAGTTTGTCCTGTAATCGGTGGGTTCCTGGTTCGAACCCCCACTCCATTTATGTCCGTTGTGTCCTTGGGCAAGACTCGTCATCTGCCCTGCATGCTTTCTGAAACCGATCAAATCATGTCAAAGTCTTTGTCAAAGGTTTGCAGTCAGGATTTGTCTCTTTGTGTCTTTACAGGACAAGACTTTGTGGAGGATTCTGACTGTAACACGAAGCTTCCCTTCGTCTGTTCCAGATCCCCATAACCTTTCTCTTCTGATGTCTAATAATCTGAACCGTATGGCTTTCCTGCTGGTGATGTCACTTCCACCTGGATGTCAAGCCTCGATGACATCACTGCTGGAAGAACCTGATTTCACTTCATTTCTCACTTAAATAAATGTTTCCTCTCTCTGAAATCTGATTGATTGAAATAGAAAATTTAAAAAGTGTCAAGATTCTAATTAAGCAGCAGCTATAAACTAATTGGTAATATTTCTAAATCTCTGCTATAAATTTCTACTGAAAATTATCAGAGTATCAGTGCATTAGTAAAGTAATAAAAATCTATGAAATATGAAGTTTTCACAAACTCTGAATCACATGTTTTGCACAAATTCACTCGTGTCACAAATATTTTACACCTTATGAAACCTTGTAAAAATGTTTGTCATCATAAACCTCTGGAACACCAGAACATCTTTAGTTAAAAATCTGTTGACCCCAAGCAGGATACTGCAGATGGGTCGTTATTTACAGCAGGATGATGAACCAAAACACACATGAATACAGACATTTTTCGGCAGACAGAGAATCAACTTTGTAACGCTGGAGATATTAGTTGGGGCCTGCTCATAGCAATGCATAAGGAGAGCAGTGACTGACTTGCGTACCGCTGCGAGCCCACCTACAAAAGTGATATCAAAACGTGCGGCTTGGCGCTGGCATTGGAGCTATTACTTTTGGTGGGATTCGGAGTTATGATGAAAAAGTAAAAAGCGAAAAACCATCAAAAAATTTTCGTCAGTTAGAAACTGCCCAAACTAGAGTGTAATCAACGTTTCGTTAGTGTGGGAAGCAGTGCGATTCTGACCCCAAATAAATTTTGAAATCGCCGACACGCCCACAAATATCGCCCTATCGGTATCAAACTCGGTCATGACATAGATATGCATGCCTGCTCCGGTAAAATGTTTTCAAAATTTTCCTAGGGCTTACGGTTTTCTGTCTAGGGGCTTCAGAGCGAAGTGATGCGACAGGATTTCGACTCGCTCAGCCAGGATCACTTCCATGTATTTCTGAAAGATGTCAGACCTCAGCGCACACCATTTTTATCTTGTCGCTGTTATTAATGTGAGTGATGTACAGATATGAATCGCGGGACTATCGGAGACGAAAGATAGCCCTCTCATACGCTTCAAACGGTTTTCCGATACGTATCACAGTTTCCGAATGGGAAGGAGTTGTTCGGACTGCTTTTTTCAGTGAAAACTGACTGGGTGTCTCACAAAGATAGAATTCTTTCTGTCTCACACACATGACAGTTGCAGAGGATTAATTACCATAGCAACGAAGCACAGCAGGGCCGAGCAGCTAATTAGAACTACAAAAACGCATCACTGTAGTTTTTACTATGGCAGAGCTCTGAGGAAGGAGCTGGCCTTTAGAATTATAGATTAGAACTACAAAAACGCATCACTGTAGTTTTTACTGTGGCAGAGCTCTGAGGACTGAGCTGGCCTTTAGAATTATAAATTAGAACTACAAAAACACATCACTGTAGTTTTTACTGTGGCAGAGCTCTGAGGAAGGAGCTGGCCTTTAGAATTATAGATTAGAACTACAAAAACGCATCACTGTAGTTTTTACTATGGCAGAGCTCTGAGGAAGGAGCTGGCCTTTAGAATTATAAATTAGAACTACAAAAACGCATCACTGTAGTTTTTACTATGGCAGAGCTCTGAGGAAGGAGCTGGCCTTTAGAATTATAAATTAGAACTACAAAAACGCATCACTGTAGTTTTTACTATGGCAGAGCTCTGAGGAAGGAGCTGGCCTTTAGAACTGCTTGTGTTTTGGACATTTTTAACTGATTTTAACCAACCTTTGCTACACATGGGATTAGTGTGTCAATTTTACATTAAGCTTAATGAAAATTTCAAAATAAAAGCTGAATATTTCTCTCAGGCCTTTCAGAAAAACTAACTGCTTCAAGCATTTAGAATTTAGTCTCTCTTTGTGTGTCACACTGACATGAGAGTTGACCTTCTCTTTAGAACTACAATGACTGCAGGGTTGGACTACAACATGGCGGAACACTCCGTGCCTAGAGAGGAACTCTGAGCTGATTGGCAGAACTACAACATGGCAGAACTGTCAGTTACTGCTGAGGAGAAATGAGCTGGCCATGACAAGTACTTGTTTTTTGGGAATTTTAGAACTGATTTAAAAACACCATAGTTACACATGGAATTAGTGTTGCCATTAAAAATTAAGCTTAATGAAAATTTCAAAATAAAAGCCTTGACAATGTTTATATCAATTGCTGTTTGGAGCATTTTAGAACTGATTTAACCAAATTATTGTTACTTATGTGAATAGATTGGACATTTAAAACGAGGCTTACTGAAAATTTCAAAATAAAAGCCTTAAGATTCCTTTCTGGCTCATGCCTATTTTAGGGAAAATGGCTGCCTCAAACTGATTGAATTATGTCTCCCCCTGTCTGACTCAAAGCTGGCAGAGGATCCATTACCATAGCAACGGAACACAGCAGGGCCAGTGGTTAGGACTACAAACCGCATCACTGTAGTTCTAACTATGGCAGAACTCAGAGGAAAAAGCTGGACTTTAGAACTGCTTGTGTTTTGGGCCTTTTATAACTCATTTTAACCAAGCATTGTTACACATGGAATTAGTTTGGCAATTTTAAATTAAGCTTTAAACAAATTTCAAAATAAAAGCCTTGACAATTTTACATTAAGTGCTCTTTTGACCATTATATGTCTGATTTAACCAAATCACTGTTATACATGGGATTACATTGACCATTTAAAATTAAGCATTCTGAAAATTTCAAAATAAAAGCCTTAAGATTCGTCTGTGGCTAATGCAGCACCGCAGGCACTGCAATGATATTAGCTTGCATTATCTTTTCCTCTCAAGTTAGGGCACTGTGCATTAGCATTAGCACAAACATTAGCATTTCACTATTCCCCACTAGTGCACTGCCGTAGGCAGTGCAATAAGATTATCCTGCATGATCTTTTTCTCTCAGGCATTAGCATTAGCCTTTTGCCTTAAATGAGGTATTAGCTGTTTCCTTTACTTATTACCCATGTTCAATAATTCATGCTTGTGACTATCCACGTGCTATTGATGACATTGCAGCTTTCTTTAGCATGGATGCTAATGTTTAGCATCAGAACGCTGGGTCCAAACCGACGGGCACACTTTGGCAGGCCCCAGTTAAATTTCTTCAGGAATTTTCTAGTTAAATTATGTTAGTTTCTAATAGGCATCAGTTAAGTTAGATTTAGACTCATCAATATAATCAATATATAACTTTATCAGTAGGACTTTTGTCTTTAGATATAACCATAATTTGACTAGAATTAGTCTATGTAGAAGAATTTTTTTGTCTTACATCACTTTCTTAAAAGAGTATATGTCATCTATTCATCTGAAAAATGTTTCTAGTTTATGAAAATCATGGATGTAGAAAACTAATCAGAAAATATTGAGTGTTGTAGTTGTTTCAGTATTGAAATTATCTGTTATATGAGTTTAATGATATTATTGAAACGTGTGCTAATTTGTAGAATTGAAATCTGCTGTTTAATGTAGTAATGTTGGGTCAAAGGAGAGTCAGAAGCTGGTTGGGAGCAGCTTGAACAGATGAAAGTAAATTCTGTTCCACGCGCTTTGTGTAGAAAATGTTTTCGCATTGAATAGCTCATGCATTGTGCTTCGCTTGGAATAACTATGGTAAGGAGATGTGAGAGGATGACTTGGATAGCGGATAGATTCATTTGGGAATAAAAATACCAGTAAAACCAGTAAACCTTTTGTTGATGCAAACACAAGAAACTCCCACTTGGTGACTTTGTGTTTTTGTGTTTTATTATGATGTGAAGCACAATGAAATGCCTTGGTACTGAAATGTGCTATACAAATAAAATTTGATTGATTGATTTTGATTGATAATGTGACACCTGCATTGTATCCAGGCAGAAGTCTCACCCACTGCCTACGTGTTGCAGACGTTCTGCTGGGATGTAGGATGAGTCCACCTCCAAAGAGTAACATCAGACAGCAAAAACCCACCTTCATGTACTTGATATAAAAGTAGTTTTATAGCTCGTTCAGATCACTGGTCTGTTTTTTCCTGGGTCGCATCTTCAGGAGAAATGTCTTCCTATTTTGCATTTCTCTAAGGTAATGTTTTCTTTTGGTTTTGGTTTCTAAAGGCCATGTTGAGACATGACTTATCGTGCGCCATTACTGTCCACTGAGTCAGGAATATTGGTGGCCAGGAAAATACCACACACAATCACGCAAAAAATTTGAAAAAGAACACAGTGTTTAATTCAACACTACGACAGCCACTGATACAGTGCCTTGCGAAAGTATTCAACCCCTTGAACTTTACAACGTTTTGCCATTTTCAGGTTTCAAACATAAAGATTTAAATTGTTATTTTGTGAAGAATCAACAACAAGTGGGACACAGTTATTAGGTGGAATAAAATTTATTGGATATTTTAAACTTTTCTAACAAATAAAAAACTGCAAATTGTGATGTGCAAAGTTATTCATATCCATAAAATGTCTGGTTTAAAGACAAGCCACCTGGGAGACTCCAACCATGGAAGAAGGAGCTCTGGTCAAATGAAATCAAAATCAAACTTGTTGACCATAATGCAAAATGAAACACAACTCATCAAAACGCACCATCCCCACTGTCAAACATGGTAGTGGCAGCATCATGGTCAGGGCCTGCTTTTCTTCAGCAGGGAAGATGGATGGAGCCGAATACAGAACCATTCTGGGAGAAAACCTGTTAGTCTGCAAAAGACCTGAGACTTACCTTCCAAGTCTGAGGAGATTTACCTTCCAACAAGACAATGATCCAAACATAAAGCAAAACCTACAATGGAATGGTTCACAAAGAAACGCATCCAGGTTTTGGAGTGGCCAAGTCAAAGTCCAGACTTGAATCCAATGGAGAATCTGTGGAAAGAACGGAAAATGGCTGGTCACAAGCGCCCTCCATCTAACCCCACTGTTGTTCTGCAAGGAAGAATGAGCAAGAATTTCAGCTTCTTGATGTGTAAAACTGATAGAGACAAAACCAAACAACTTGCAGCTGCAATTGCAGCAAAAGGTGGCGCTACAGATCAGAGACTTCCTCACCAATAGGCCTCAGGTGATGAGAATAGGTGGCTCAACATCGTCCCCACTGGTCCTCAACACAGGCACACCGCAGGGCTGTGTGCTCAGCCCAGCTCTCTTCACCCTGTTCACACACGACTGTGTGGCCATCCACCCCACCAACACAGTCGTGAAGTTCACAACAGCAGGGGGTCTCATTTCAGACAACAAGACCCCCTGCAGAGAGGAGATTCAGCAGCTCACTCAGTTCAGCAAACAACTTGGTGCTGAACACAGGGAAGACCAAGGAGGTCATTCTGGACTACAGAAGGTCCAGGAGGACGGATCACACTCCCCTTCTCATGGATGGAGAAGAGGTGGAGCATGTGGACAACATCAAGTTCCTGGGCCTCCACATCACGTCTGACCTCTCCTGGAATACCAACACCTCCCACCTGGTGAAGAAAGCACAACAAAGGCTGTTCTTCCTCAGGAAACTGAGACGGGCTGGACTTTCCTCATGGCTGCTCCTGAACTTCTACAGATCGAGAGCGTCCTCCGTGTGGTATGGCAGCTGCACAGCACTGGAGAGGAAACAACTGACACGGGTGGTGAGAACGGCACAAGGCATTGTGGGATACCCCTCCCGGACCTGGACTCTATTTACATGGACCGGGTCAAGAAGAGAGCTGGATCCATAGTGTTAAAACTTAGAGGAATAACTTCACTTTGCTCGCTAATTTTCCTCTAGTTTCCCAGATTCAGGACTCTGCATGTGCAGTGGAAATAATAAGCAACCATTCGACATCAAACTTCAGAGATATCTAGAGCTTTATCCAGAGAATTCAATGCATACAGAATGTTTCATCAGCATCACCCCCAGATCATCAAGAAGTCCAACACATGACAAAATATAGAATTACCTGCAACGAGTTGAAAAGGAAAGACAAAAATGCATTTTTGGGAATTGCTCACTTGGACACAAACAAAGCAATTCGATCTTCTGCTGTAAAACAGACCTTTTTATAAGGACGCATATTCCTTCATTTAAATATATGCATTAGAAGGGGTGTCCTCCCCTTGTAGGGCTGTTTAATGTTAATTTTATTACCCTGCTTGAGACCTGCTGAAATCCAAAGGCAAATATATGGAGAGCACAAAGGTCATCCTCAACCAGTCTTCCCGTACCAATCTCCTCCTTTTTACATTCCAGACCAGAATTTATAACCTGCAACCTGGCCTGGTGGTTTTCTGCCTCAGTGATTCAACAAGAAACTGATTTCAATTTTAAACAAACTGGCACAAAAATCTAATGCCAAATAATAACTATGAGATTGGATCTAAAAACTGCAGGGTTGTCTACTTTTAGAAAAGCTCTTTTAGAATACCTGAAATATTTTAGAAGTAAAATAGTTTCCTAATCCTATTGTATTTCATTAATATACTGAAATTATAATATATTAGAATTATCGTTGGATAATTCTAACACATAGAGCGAGAGAAAACAGAATGAAAGTGGGTTTGTCTAGTTTTGTTCCTCACTAGCTTTATTGTGGCCCACTGCAGCCACTGCCATTTCTTAAACAACAAAAAATGAACTTAAATTCTCTTTTGTTCATAGAACATGACGAGGTTTACAGCAGTCATCAAACTGTGGCTCCTACAGCCTATTTAAGGCAAAATGGTTGAACAATATGAGAAAAATTAGCTCTTTGTTGCATTTTGACAGAACTAACAGAAAGCTATTTATAGATTTATATCAAAGAATGTATGCATTTGTCATGTTGGGTTCACTTGGACTTGAACCTTGCGAGCCACATAAAGACAGTTACAAAGTCGGCCTTCTATCACCTGAAGAACATCTCCAGGATTAGAGGACTAATGTCTCAGCCAGATCTAGAGAAACTCATCCATGCGTTTATCTTTAGTCACATTGATTATTGTAACAGCGTCTTTACAGGCCTGTCCAACAAATCAATCCTCCAGCTGCAGCTGATCCAGAAGCTGCTGCTCCTGTTCTCACTAGAACCAGGAAGATAGAGACATAACAGCAGTTTTAAAGTCCCTCCACTGGCTCCCTGTAGCTCAAAGAATAGATTTTAAAATACTGTTGTTAGTTTATAAATCACTGAACGGTTTAGCACCACAATACATCAAAGATCTGCTGTTGTTGTATCAACCTTCCAGACTCTCAGGTCTTCTGGTTCTGGTTCTGCTCTGCATCCCCAGAACCAGAACCAAGAGAGGAGAAGCAGCTTTCAGCATCTATGCACCAAAAATCTGGAACAAACTTCCAGAAAACTGTAAAACAGCGGAAACCCTGACTTCCTTTAAATCTAAACTAAAAACCAGCTGATAAGTTTTATTTGAAATGTAATATGGAACAATGTATTGTTTATTCTATGACTTTGTGTTTATGATGTAAAGCCCTTTGAAATGCCTTGCTGCTGAAATGAGCTATACAAATAAAATTAGATTTTTTTGTCACGTGTTTTTGACCCCTTTGACCTAATCAACATGAAGGTGTGTCCAAAAACTGAAGACATGTTTCCAGCTGACCCGCTTCGGTGAAGGATGTGCACTGTGGAAACGTCACAAATGACACCATTACCGTAAGTTTGGCTCTAAATTCCACAGATCCAGCCGAGCTCCACCGAACTCACTGGGATCGATCCTTATCTGACCCCCAACAGAAATCCTCAACCATCTTTGGTGAGCGTGGCCTAATTACAGCGCCCCCTACAATACTTTAAATACACAAACTTCAGAATCATTCAGCACAGTCTTGAGGCATTGAAGACCAAAAGTTATTGTTAGGGTTAACACCTGTTAAACATACATTAACAAAGACAGAAAAGACAAAAGAGTTAGATTTTTTTTTACTCGCGAGGAGAACGGACAGAGATGTGCTTCAGTTACAATCTCCTACCGCTCTGAAGCACATTTTGTCTGCTCCTCTCTTTTTATTGTTTCTAGGATCCCTAATCACAAGGACGCTGTAGCTCTAAAGGGAGGGGGCAAACAGCTACAGCTGTTTGTTTCCTACAGAGGAAACAACTGACACGGGTGGTGAGAACAGCACAAGGCATTGTGGGATGCCCCCTCCCGGACCTGGACTCTATTTACATAGGCCGGGTCAAGAAGAGAGCTGGATCCATAGCCATGGATTCCAGCCACCCGGGCCACAGACTGTTTGTGCCCGCTGCCATCAGGCAAGCGGTTCAGGAATATACGGACTACAACAAACAGACTGAGAAACAGTTTCTTCCCCACAGCCGTCAGAGCCATTACTCCCTGCCGCCCCCTCCCACACATATCATAACCTCACATACACCCCCCACCCCACACAGCCATATTGTTCTGCACTTTGCACTGTCACATCATCTGCACTTTACCATAATTGGACCTGCTGCTTCTTCTTTGGTGTGGTTGAGTGCCTTTAGTTAATTTTAGTTGTATATTTGTGTGTTTGTTTATTTAATATTGTTTTGACTTTTTGCACGGGAGTTGCAATAGAAATTTCGTTGAATCCTGTTCAATGACAATAAATGCTATTCTATTCTATTCTATTATTCACTAACTAACACACAATCATTCTGCACTAGATAATGTCCTTCCAGGCACAAAGATTAATAAATATGTAGTGATCTTAGCAATGATGGTTTTATTGGAGGCCAGCAACTCAACCGAAGCAGAGCTCTTCACCAAGAGGTAAACCTGCAGAAAGATTTTGTTTCTGCTCTCTGTCAGTGAGGCCTTCTGAGAAAGGAATCAGAGCAAATCAACAATACAAGAAACATTCTTAATTCTATAATGAGATTAACTTAAAGGAAAGCATAAAATAAATATACATTATAAAGATAAATGAGAATAACAAATAATTGATTAATAATATCACAATTTCTCCAACAGTTATGAAAAATGTTTTGCACATCTAAGCATGTGGGCGTGGCCGACCCTGAAATCTGACCATTGCCCATGAAACATCAAGGTGCAATAACTTCTACATACAAGGTCACAGCTGCAGTGATCAATGCAATACTCTTAATGTGATGATCTTGGTCTGTTTAGGTTTGTGTCCACTTTGCTTTAGCGCTTCCTTGCATCTATTTCACCATCCTATGGTAATCATTCTACTTCCCTACATTTGCATAGATGCTGTCTTCCACAGCTGTTCCTGATTCCATAACAAATGTATTTGAATTCAATGTCATTTTCTCCTTATTACTCAGTAGAAAAGGTCACTGGTTTTCATTGTTCTGGCTGGTTACTCACAATGGCCATACTTTATGTGATCCTTCTCATGGATGACTTAAAGCTGCATGCCAAGAAAATCTGGAGAAGGATCCAGAACCTGCCCTCTTTTAACACAGGTGGACTGAAGCTGGTTTTTCAGTCTTCAGGACGGCCGACTGCTCTTGTCCTCTGCCACGGGGAACACAGTTCTGGACAGAAAAGCAGAAGTGGCAACATCAGCCGGTTTGGTCCGGTTCTAATCACTTCTTACGGTACGTAACTCTTCACGCTATCAGGAAAACGTCCTTGGCCGAATCCTGGAAGATTCTGCAACAACTTGAACACGTTGTAAAAAAGTGACAAAAGCGAGAACAGACAGTGACTTACTCCAAAATGTCCACTTCACAGACAAACAAAGTGAAGGTATATAAAGTCTGTGTTTCCATCTCTGAGACATCCTGTGACCAGAAACTGCTGCTGGAACAGACTCTTCAACTAACCATCAGAACAAGGTAACATTTAAAGTCCTACTGCTCATGGTGATGTTTTATGTCTTGGTTGAGTTGATCTGTGATGCTAATTATGAACTTTCCTAACCATTCTTTCTACAGATGGCTGCCGGTCTTCTCTTCTCTCTGCTTCTTGGTCTGAGCTTTGGACTCTGGGATGGAGCTGATGTAAGTATGGAGAAGGACTTAAGACAATGACTGGTATGTCCCTGTTGGGAGCTTTGGCTGACTGACGTAGATCAGGTGGAGCAATCTGAGCCATCACTTTGGTTGATGAGAAAACTTTGTTTTGTTGGGAATTTTGTCCTAAAACTTTGGGTTTTCCATCCACAGGCCGGATGTCAACTGAAAGGTACGTGATTCTTTTATTGTTGGAGTTTCTAACACCTAAAAGACAATTATATTGTGAGAAGTTCGTTGAAAAGATGGGAAACTTTTGCTATATTGGGTCATCCTTTCAGCAAAATTACAGGCCTTAATTTCTGTATAATGTAAATTAATAAATAGTTTATTTATTACTTATTGTATAGAAACATCCCATCCCACAAGGCGGATAGACAACAGTAGTTTTTACTGAAGGCAAATTATTTTCTCAATAAAATAATCAGATCCAATAAATGTGTCATTTCAGAGGCTTTTCATGTGAAAATATTTTTGTAATGACTGTCATCTAATAAAACTTTTGGTTGAAGTGGAGAATTATTAGTTGATTACTGATTTAACATTGATCATGCTTTTTTAAAATAATTAACTGACATAATTCCTATTTTCATTAGATGGCATTTCTCATGTTTTTAGTATTTTTACCATAATGTTTGCAGCTGAACATCTTGACTTTGTTTTGTGTTTTAATTATGCTGATCAGTGGATGGATGCATTTACTTTCCCAGTTGCCGACTGCGATAAGTGCACTCAGGGTTGGAGTTGGCTTGAGGGTCGGTGTTTCCTGCATGTGAACATTGAAATGACCTGGGGTGATGCAGAGGTACAACAGATGTGATGATCTCAGCAGATTTCCTACATTCAAAGGAAGTGTAAATTTATTGATATAAAGACAATAAGATTCACCAACAATAAGGTTACAGAAACTGATTTCCATTAAACAAATAGATCCATAATTTCTAAAGGTTGATATTCAGCTGCACCAACTGTCTCACTGCACAGAGGAAAGTTTAAACCAGTGTTGCCTTTTTCAGAAATTCTGCCTCACAATGGATTCACATCTGACCTCAATAAACACCTTACATGAGTACCACTTCATCAGAGAGCTTGCCTTCAATGCCACTGGAACACACAGACAAACTTGGGTTGGAGGTCATGATTCAGCACAGGTGAGAATTTAAAAACATACAAATATCTCCATTTGGTCGTTTTCTGTCAAGATGTATTTCTCATGGCTCTTTTTGTAAAAGCTTTGAGAAGACATTTGTTGTGAATTGTTGTCATATTAATAAACTGAATTGAATTGAACAGGTGTTCCTAATAAAGTGGTTCTGTTGGAGATTCTGGTTCACATTTTCTATGAGATGGCAGAAGTCTAGGTTGGTTCTGTGTGATTTGTTTCCATTGCAACTTTAAACTAAGATGTTCTTTCAGGATGGCATCTGGTTTTGGAGTGATGGCTCCAAGTTTGTATTTCATCACTGGGCGATGAGGAGCCAAACAATTTTGGTGGAAACGAAAAATGCATGGACATCAACATATTTGGTATTTATTACTGAAAATACACAACCTGTAATTTAATCATTTTGTTTAAATGCATGTTTTTATCTTTGTATCTGGTGTCTTAGTAAGTAGGAGTTTGTCCTGTAATCGGTGGGTTCCTGGTTCGAACCCCCACTCCATTCATGTCCGTTGTGTCCTTGGGCAAGACTCGTCATCTGCCCTGCATGCTTTCTGAAACCAATCAAATCATGTCAAAGTCTTTGTCAAAGGTTTGTGGTCAGGATTTGTCTCTTTGTCTCTTTACAGGACGAGATCAAATTAATGATAATGAATGTTCTAAGAAGCTTCGCTTCATCTGTGCCAGATCGCTGTAACCTTCTGATGCCAAATAATCTGAACCTGGATGTCAAGCTTCGATGACATCACTGCTGGAAGAACCTGATTTCACTTGATTTGATCCCTGAAATAAATGTTTTCTTTCTCCGAAATCTGATTGCTTTAACTATAGGATTTAAAATATATCAAGATTCCACTAATTGGTAATATTTCTAAATCTCAGCTATAAATTTGTACTGTAATAAATAAGTGCATTAGTAAAGTAATAAAAATCTATAAAATATGAAGTTTTCACAAACTCTGAATCACATGTTTTGCAGAAATTCACTCGTGTCACAAAAATTTTACACCCAATGAAACCTTGTAAAAATGTTTGTCATCATAAACCTCTGGAACACCAGAGCATCTTTAGTTAAAAATCTGTTGACCCCAAGCAGGATACTGCAGATGGGTCGTTATTTACAGCAGGATGATGAACCAACATGGTAGAAAATTGGTAGAATCAACTTTCTACCATGGTAATCCCATCGCTCAGACCAAAGTCTGACATTACAGCCTCATTGACGACTGTTTGTTAAGCTGAGGAGTTATCTGAAGTTTGTATATCAGATATTGTCCAAGTGTCATTTGGAGTCTCCATTTGGAGTCTCCATATGACAGTGGCGGAAAACTATTTCCCAGAAAACTGCAGAACCACAGCTTGGGTGGGAGTGCTACTGGCTCACCAGTCATTGATTGTAATAGTTATTGATTTCAGCTTGAACTCATGCAAATGGCATTTGGAGTCTCTAAGCGGAGACTCCAAATGGCACTTGGACAACATCTGTACATCCTCAAAAATAAAACATGTCCAAAATGACATTTCTTTTTGTGCTAGCTTGATCAGTCTTTAGATCCAAGAGCAGAATACTCTGTTCTACAGATTTATTGTATTTTCCAGTTCATACATTCAACACTCAAGGTGCATTTACAAGAAATAAACAGGAAAAATCTGGATGGAGCAAAATCTTTCAATTTCTTTTGTGTTACAAATGTAATGGCTACAAACTACTTACAATTAAAGTATTTTTGACGGCAAAAATAGAACATTTAGCTATTCATCTTCATAAAAAGAATAAGCTTTTGCATGTAGTCCAAATTGTTCAAGAACAAGCTGCTTAAATTTGGGTATACCTTTTCAGCCGTTTTGGGTGATTTTGGCACCGCCAGGTAAGGGGTTAACAGTTTAATCTTAGCTTGGTGTTTTGCATTGTAGTAATGACAGAAAGCAGAATAAGCTTATGACAATAGTGGAAGAAGAAATTCAGGAAGTTAAAAATCTGGCAGCAAGCTCAAGAACTGACAATGAGCAGTTGCAACAAGGATAGACTAGTTCAAGTGCTCTGCCGATCATTTCTTCAGCATTGCCTAATGCCCCTCGTACATATTTATCTTAGGACCCTTCTAAAATATTTGAGATGATTCAGGAATTGTGTGGTTGTATGTTGCTGTTCCAGAAGCCTTTTTTTTCCAGAAAACAGCAGGCAGAGAGTCTTCAGGAGTTCTCCTCACATTAATGGGTTTTATGGAGAGAGCGAAGCAGTGTGCACCTGCTGGCATGTTAAAATCTGAGACTCTGTTAAGAGACCAGTTTACTGTGTAAGTGTTGGACAGTTCCCTTTATGGTGAGTTTGAAGCAGTTGGTGCGCACACAGCCGGATCGCTCTGCTTGATGCTTGTGCTGCAGCAATCCAGTGGGAGCATGAATGGAGGTGCCTCATGGTGTGAGGAGCCAAAGACAGTCGGTTCCGTCAGTCTATGGAGTCCAGTTGGGGGTTCATGGTGGTCCTCAGATAGCTGAAATGTGATTTATAATCAATAATTTACCTTGATGAGTTACAAGAAAACTACAAGTGGAGTCTTGCTTTGTCCTGCATTCCCTTCCCCAGTGTGAGTCTGACCTTTGGTAGCTTGATTTGCATAGGGAAGTGATAACGACATCCTGCAAGCCCTGTCCAAGTTAGAAGGCAAGAACCAAACTGTGGAGTAAACAGGAGATGAACCAAATGGTTGTTAATAGGCCTCAGTGGAGAACTCTGTATGCATGTTTGATGCTTCAAGTGGATCTCCAAGATATATCTTGTACTAATGAAATAAGTACAAGACTATGATTTTTGTTAATACCAGAGGATTAAAACTTTGGTGTATTTTATCTCACTGACTCTTCTGGAATCCCTTGCATCAACGAACCATAACTGGAGACGTGAAAGTCTCCAACAATTTTGGAGACCTCAGTAAGAAGCACAGAGATCATTGATATGGACAACTGAGCAGAACTTCACCGACACCATTCTCTGGGTCGACCCGTATGAATAAGAGGTATAACAGAAACCTTTAATTCTGTAATTGATTGAAACCAAATCAAGAGAGTTGGCGTCTGAGTTGTTGGGCTCCTAAAATCAAAGAGTAAAAGTGTAGCTTATTGTTAATTAACAGAAAAGATAATGGAATAAAAAAGTTTTACACCTCCCGTAACCGACACTCGACGGAGAGTCGGTCGGCCTGAAGGCCCGTTTGGAGTTGGACGCTCTAGAAACTAGGAATTTCTTAAGTCTGTGTTTTATAGAGAATGGAAAGCACCTAAATAAGGAAACAACAAAGGAAAACCGGTCTAAAGAATATAAGGAAGCTGACGTCACTTTTAATTTTGATGTTTTCAGTGTTTATGGAGGAAGATGACCTCACTGCATATTTGAGTGTTTATGTGGAGAAATGACCTCATTGTATGAATTTATGCTTTTTGTGTGTGTTGACGTGAGAAGTGTCAGGCATGTGTGTGAATGCATGTGTCTTGGTACAGAAAGTGACAGCCCTGCAGATCTGTACTCATGTGCCTGTCTAACAGGACCATTGAGTTGTGTGTTGCTGCAGCTTGGATTTGAGCTCTGTTATGTATTTATAGTTTTTGTTGTGTTGTTTGTTTGTCTTGGGATCGTCTGTGTTGGCGGGTTGTGAATAAAACATGGAAGGAGAATGTCATAGAGCAGTGCAGACCAGGGTTGTGGTCCACAGAATTGGAAACTGTTGGGAAAGCAGATTGTTATTGAAGACAGTACTGGATGTACGAGAACTGTGAAAAAGGAAAAAGAAGAAAGAAAAAGAGGTAAGAGAAAATTTATAGGCGCTAATTATTCAAGAAGGGAAAGAAGTTACTGATGAAGTTCCTTTAGGACCTTTGTTATTATGGGCCAGAGTCCAGGGATGTGCTGAAAAGTATGAGGAGGCAGGACAAAATGAAGACTGAGCTAAATTTTGTCAAAAGAGTACACTTAAAAACACAAAGCGATCCAGGAGAAAATTAGAAAAGTTCTGTTCAGAGCTAGCAGAGCTTTGGCAAGGAACTTCACCTTTACAAAAAGACAGAAAGCATGGTGAAGTTGTTGAAAAAAGTCATTGAACCCCCTCATAAATCCTCAACTCCTAGCTTGTATCTTGTTTTAACTGTTACATGATGCTGAGTCTAAGTTCAAACAATCCATTTACTTCAACTGGATCTCAGGGACCTTCTCTGTCAGGTGTCTCCAGGGGAACATCTAGTAGTCAGGGAGGTTATGTACAGCCATTTCATGATAGAATAGCAAGAAAATGCCGTTGAGAGCACAACCATTTTATAAAATGGTGGGCCGCCATTTTTACCAGTAGCTCGTCCCGTTCCACCACTGCAGATTGTTCCAGCCAGAGGAGCTCCCTCCAGGGAGTACCCACCTCAACAGACTGGTAGTACAGCCCCTGTAATGCTAGAGGCTAATCTGCTGGGGCACTGGGTCCTGATGCAGCAGCTAACAGGGTTACAGAGTCGACATTCAGCAGCATCACATCACAAACATCCAGAAGTAGGATCCAGAACCTGCCCTCTTTTAACACAGGTGGACTGAAGCTGGTTTTTCAGTCTTCAGGACGGCCGACTGCTCTTGTCCTCTGCCACGGAGTCCTTCTGGCATGACAGATCCCACTTTCTCACACCAAGCATGTGGTGGAAACTCCTTATCAAACAGAAGACAAACTACTCAAGAATTGATCAAGTTTCAACTTTATCTTTCAAGTGTTTTATTTGAAGGCAGTCAACAGACTGAATCCAACAGAGTCAGGAAAAGCAGAGCAACATCTCACAGATACGTCCTTTTTTAATCCACTTCTGTCATCAGAGAGTACATTCCATACAAGAACACAGTTCTGGACAGAGAAGCAGAAGTGGCAACATCAGCCGGTTTGGTCCGGTTCTAATCACTTCTTACGGTACGTAACTCTTCACGCTATCAGGAAAACGTCCTTGGCCGAATCCTGGAAGATTCTGCAACAACTTGAACACGTTGTAAAAAAGTGACAAAAGCGAGAACAGACAGTGACTTACTCCAAAATGTCCACTTCACAGACAAACAAAGTGAAGGTATATAAAGTCTGTGTTTCCATCTCTGAGACATCCTGTGACCAGAAACTGCTGCTGGAACAGACTCTTCAACTAACCATCAGAAGGTAACATTTAAAGTCCTACTGCTCATGGTGATGTTTTATGTCTTGGTTGAGTTGATCTGTGATGCTAATTATGAACTTTCCTAACCATTCTTTCTACAGATGGCTGCCGGTCTTCTCTTCTCTCTGCTTCTTGGTCTGAGCTTTGGACTCTGGGATGGAGCTGATGTAAGTATGGAGAAGGACTTAAGACAATGACTGGTATGTCCCTGTTGGGAGCTTTGGCTGACTGACGTAGATCAGGTGGAGCAATCTGAGCCATCACTTGGTTGATGAGAAAACTTTGTTTTGTTGGGAATTTGTTCTAAAACTTTGGGTTTTTCATCCACAGGCCGGATGTCAACTGAAAGGTATGTGATTCTTTTATTGTTGGAGTTTCTAACACCTAAAAGACAATTATATTGTGAGAAGTTCGTTGAAAAGATGGGAAACTTTTGCTATATTGGTCATCCTTTCAGCAAAATTACAGGCCTTAATTTCTGCATAATGTAAATTAATAAATAGTTTATTTAGTACTTATTGTATAGAAACATCCCATCCCACAAGGCGGATAGACAACAGTAGTTTTTACTGAAGGCAAATTATTTTCTGAATAAAATAATCAGATCCAATAAATGTGTCATTTCAGAGGCTTTTCATGTGAAAACATTTTAGAATAACTTTTATATATTTTTATCATATTGTTTTATGCAGCAGAACTCCTGGTTTGTGTTAAAATGATGCTGATTATCAGATCTATGTATTTACCTTTTCTCTTCAAATTTTTCAGATCCCACAGCATTTGACTGCCCTGCAGGTTGGAGTTGGTTCGACCGTCGCTCGCTGTTTTGTGGTTGTAACTTTTCAAAAATCCTGGGCTGCAGCAGAGGTACAACAGATGTGATGATCTCAGCAGATTTCCTCAATTCAAAGGAAATGTAATTTATTGATATAAAGACAATAAGATTAACCAACAATAAGGTTCCAGAAACTGATTTCCATTAAACAAATAGATCCATAATTTCTAAAGGTTGATATTCAGCTGCACCAACTGACTGCACAGAGGAAAGTTTAAACCAGTGTTGCCTTTTTCAGAAACATTGCCAGCATTTGGATTCACATCTGGCCTCATACAATATAGACGAGTACAACTTCATCAGACAGCTTATCTTCAAAACAACTCAAGCACACACAAGAACCTGGCTTGGCGGTTATGATTCACCAGGGGTGAGAATTTAAAAACATACAAATATCTCCATTTGGTCGTTTTCTGTCAAGATGTATTTCTCATGGCTCTTTTTGTAAAAGCTTTGAGACGACATTTGTTGTGAATTGTTGTCATATTAATAAACTGAATTGAATTGAACAGGTGTTCCTAATAAAGTGGTCAGTTCAGTCAAAGACATTCCAGTTGATTCTGGTTATAATGCAGTTAACTGCAGATTAGATATCAGTTGGTCAACAGTTACCTGAGGAAGAAACCCAGTTTGTTGTATTGAATAACTGACTATGCTAAACTCCCTCATGCTGAGGAAGCATGTGGCAAGTGGAGAGGAATAAGAGGAGACCTCCAACAGAACCAGAACCGGCTTCTGTTTTTCCTCCGGCTGCTCTGACCAGCTGAGGGTTTAAATATCAATGATCCAAACATTCATGTTTTCTATAGTGAGTGGCAGAAGTCCAGGTTGGTTCTGTGAGATTTATTTGCATTGGAACTGAAAACTAAGATGTTCTTTCAGGAAGGCATCTGGTTTTGGAGTGATGGCTCCAGGCTTACTTTTACCAACTGGGCAGCCGTGAGCCAAACAATGGTGGTGACAAAGAACACTGCATGGACATGAATGTACAAGGTATTTATTACTGGAGTTACACAATCTGTAATTTAATAATTTTGTTTAAATGTATGTTTTTACAACATCTCTGGGTCCAGTGGGTTAATAGAAAGGCATCTGTATTGTAATTGGTGGATTCAAAGTGTTGGAGACTTTCACATCTCCAGTTATGGTTGATGATGCCAGAAATTCCAGAAGCGTCAGTGAGTTAAAATCAACCAAAATGTATTCAAAGTACAATATATAACTTGGAGATCCAAGTATCAAACATGCGTACAGTGTTACCCAAAGGCAATCCCAGTGAAATCTGAAGCCCTTTGTCTGTGTCTCCCACTATGCATCCTGCCAATGACTGTCCTGATCCGCTCTGTGCCGCCTCTCCCTTGGCTCAGAGTTAGGTCATCCCTTTGTTTTAAGGCCAGTAATCATAAATAATTTTATTGGGCTACACAGCAAAGATGACCACTTTGAAGCAAACATCTCTGATCATTAACCAGTCTCAGTGTCATAACTGGGACACAGTTATTAAGTTAGTGGCCATTTGTTTCATTTCCTCTTTGATCCACATTTGGTTACTGTCTTGTAGCCTTGAGAAGTCTGCATGGTCCCGTTGTCACTTCCCTATGCAAATCCTTTACCAAAGGCCAGACTCACCATGGGGGAGGGAACGCAGAACAAACCAAGACTTGTAGTCTCCTTGAATCTTATCAAGGCAAATTGATGCTTATACATCAAAGTAACATTCAACACAAATCATTTTAGAATATTTCCACAGAACCCCCACTCCATTCATGTCTGTTGTATCCTTGGGCAAGACTCGTCATCTGCCCTGCATGCATGAAACTGATCAAATCATGTCAAAGGTTTCCAATCAGGATTTGTCTCTTTGTCTCTTTACAGGACGAGACTTTGTGAACGATGATGTCTGTTCCAAGCAGCTTCCCTTCGTATGTGTTCTGCAGCTCTAACCTTTCTCTTCTGATGCCTAATAATCTGAACCGTATGGCTTTCCTGCTGGTGATGTCACTTCCACCTGGATGTCAAGCCTCGATGACATCACTGCTGGAAGAACCTGATTTCACTTGATTTATCACTTAAATAAATGTTTTCTTTCTCTGAAATCTGATTGATTTAATTATAAGATTTAAAAGGTGTCAGGATTCTAATTAAGCATCAGCTATAAACTAATTGGTAATATTTCCAAATCTCTGTTACAAATTTGTACTGAAAATCATCAGAATATCAGTGCATTAGTAAAGTAATAAAAATCTATAAAATATGAAGTTTTCACAAACACTGAACCACATGTTTTGAACAAATTCACTAGTGTCACAAATATTTTTACACCTTATGAAACCTTGTAAAAATGTTTGTCATCATGCTGTATGCTGATGACCTGGCTCTTCTCTCACCCAGCAGTGCTGGTTTTCAGCAGTTACTGAATATCTGCTCTGATTATGAGTTGAGATTTGATGTGCAGTATAATGCCAAGAAAACTGTTTAGTAGTTTGTAGGACTAAAGCTGACAACTTTGTTAAACTAAACATCTGGGTCACTACATCACAGTCCAGCTCTCTGATGATGATGATCGTCAGTGTCACGCCCAGGCAAACCTTCTGGAGAGGAAACTCCAGATGTGCTCTGATGAGGTGAAAATACATGTGTTTAAAGCTTACTGTACATCCTTGTATGCAGCTCCTTTGTGGTGTAAATTTAAAAAAGCTAGTATGCAGAAGCTTAAGGTTGCTTATAATAACAGAGAATTCTGAGATCAGAATTCTCTGATCTGCCTGCCGCAGTTTCTAACAGAAAAACATCATTTTGACTGTGATACATTAACACATGTTGCAAGTACATAAATGGAACAATGCAAATAAAACATTTTTCTCTTTAATGGAAAATCTCCTTTACAATTCCTCCCCTTTTTTCAGAAACAATCATAGAAATAACTAAGTAAATGAAACCTAGAAATAATAAAATAAGGTAAATAGTGCTACAAGACAGTTGTGAAACAAAACATCAGTTTACATTCGTCATTAAGTAATGGTTTAAAGTATAAACATCACAGGAGTGTTTCAGCACGAAATTTAATGCTGTTTCCTCAAGGGACTGTCCTGACAGAGTGATTTTAAGCAGGATGAAAACCTGAAAATGCTACACTTCTAAAATGATGCAAAAACACAATAAAAGTAAAAAAGGAAGTTTAAATTTACCTGTACTTGGGATAATGAGAAAACCTTGAGCATTGCAAAATAAACTTAACCTCAACATCAGGAGGGTCAGGGAAAGGGACAGACCTCATCGTTTTCGATTTTGGGCCCATGGAATGTTGTTGTTGTTTTGCACTGGGAAGTAGCGGGAAACCAGGGGGTGAATCAGAGATGGAAGATGTTTTGGGATCCTCCACGTGTATGCACACTTTTTTGTAGTGGGGCAATAGCAGTTGTTTTTGATCGATTTGGCATCCTTTATCCATGTGGGTGTTCTGGTGCAGTGATGTCTTGTCCCGACCATGTTCTTAATGCTGCCTCAGCTAGATGCTAGGTGAGCTATTAAGTGGGCCTCCGGTGATGTCCCTATTTTTCCAGGGGTTCTTTGTTGGAATCCCCTTGGTGGGCCTGGTCTTGTTTCTCAGTGAACTTCTTACAGTGGCAGGCATGGATTCAGGTGGACCTCTCTGCAACTTTCACCCTGGTGAGGGTGGCCAGGAAGACTTGGAATGGTCCCTGCCAGTGGTGGGATCACCAATTCTTCCTCCTGAAACTTTTTAATAAACACAAAATCTGCAGGCTGGAGGTTATGCAATAGTTTGCTCGCTGGCACAGGTTGTCCTCCTTAGATCTGCTTTCTGATGGTTTTTAATTGATCTAGAGAAATACAATAGTTAATCACTTTGTCATTGCATATTGCTAAACTATCTCCAGGTTTCATTGGTGGTCCCATTGCCATGTTGGGTGGTCCTGCAAAAAGGATTTCAAACAGTCAGAGATTGTGTTTTTGTTGGTGGTGCATGTGCATGTACATCAAAGCAATAGGGAGAGCTTGAACCCAGTTAAGATTTTTGTTCATTTGAGTTTTAAAGTTCCATTATCTCATTTTATCACTCCCCCAGTTTGTGGGTGGTACAAACAATGTTTTTTTTAAAATCCAAAATAAGCATTTTAGAGAGTTGTGTTAGAACATGATTTGCAAAATGTGTGTCATTTTCACTGGAGATTGTTCTTGGCACTCCCCAGCAGCAGATCACCTCCTGTAGGAGGATCTTTTCCACTGTGAAGGCATCAGCTGTCTTAACTGAGAACGCTTCAAGCCATTTGGAAAGCATATCAACCATCACCAAACAATACTTTTTTCCTTCGGCAGAAGTTAGTTCAATGAAATCAATCATTAAATGTTGAAAAGATGCTGTGACTGTGGTGTGGGCTCCCACTCCTGTCAGTATGAGGCTTCTAGAAATGTTGTTTGAGAAGCAAACTAAGAGGTTTTCACAAAAGATTTGAGCAAATTTAGGAAAGTTGACTGTAAACCAATTTAGATCCATTTTTCTTAACATACTCCCTTGTGACGCATGGTCGACTCCATGGGTCACAACACAGAAGGATGAAAAAAATGTTTTGATAAGCAGAAATTTTGGTTTGGACCAATCCAAACTGAATGTTGGAGGGAAGACCTCTTTTCCCACCACTGTGTTTTCTCATGTTGAGTTGCAAAGGATTGGAAATCTGTGAGATCAAGAGTGGTTGGGGTGGAGGCTAGCGACATTGTGGTATCCAGAGGAAGTGTTGCTGCACATTTTGCCTCAGTGTCAGCTACTGCATTTCCTCTAGAGACACAGTCAGAGCCATTTGTGTGGGCTGCATTTTTGATTACGGCAACAGTTTTAGGCTGAAGCACCATGTCCAACATTTCAGCAACAAGTTTGTGATTTAAGATGGGGGAACCATCAGAACGAAGAAAAGATTGTTGTTTCCATAAAGCACCAAAGTCATGAACTGCACCAAAAGCATGGCAAGAGTCTGTGTAAATGTTCAAATTTTTGTCTTCAAAGAGAACGCATGCATTTGTCAGAGCCACTAGTTCCGCAGCAACTGTGGCCATTTTCTGCCAGGAAATGGAGTAATTTAATGCTTTCAGGAACACACAGATCATGAGTGGGAGCTGCCAGCAGAAGGTCATCAACATACTGTAAGCCAGCTGTTCGTGGTGCGAGTATCAGATGTGAAAGATTCTCATTCATTGCTTGGTGGAAAATGGTTGGTGATTCACAGTATCCTTGACATAATCTTATGAATGTGTAGAGTTTATCATCAAATGGAAATGCAAACCAGAACTGACTGTCTGGGTGAACTGAAACACTGAAAAAAGCATTTGCTAAATCAATGACTGTGAAAGACATGCTGCCTGTAGGGATTTGTGATAGGATGGTGTAGGGATTTGTGATAGGATGGTGTAGGGATTTGTGATAGGATGGTGTAGGGATTTGTGATAGGATGGTGTAGGGATTTGTGATAGGATGGTGTAGGGATTTGGGACAATAGGTTCTCTAGGAATGACGGAATCTCTGAGATCTTGAACAAAACGCAAACTCTGACCTGCTTCTGTCTTATTTGTGCAGCAACAGTTTGCTTTGGTGCACTTCCACCTTTGTGCCACAACCCTCTGAGCATGGATGTGGCGCAAAGTGCGCTGACATGAAATTATGCAGAAAAATACAGAGACCTGTTAAGGAAAGTTGTGAGCATGGAAACAGACTTTATTCTTAAATGATTGAGCTTCAATCTATCACCTCTCACCTAAAATCTCTCCTCTTCCACTGAAGCTACTGCAGATCCATAGCTCTAGCTTAACATTTCACATACTGTTCTGCACTGTTATACTTTTGTCAATGCTATCTTCAGTGAGTGTAGGAAATTTTAGTATCCAAGAGCTGCACAGGATCTGTCAAAGCCTCGGATCGCTACCCCTGCACCGAAGGGGTAGCGGGTTGTTTGTTGATGGCTCAGCAGAAGCTTTCTAATTGTTTCCAAAAAGTCGAGGTGATCACAGCTAAACACGGAGCAGCCAGCATGAAATCAAAAGGAATCATCTGTAGACCTCTGTGACTGGACTGTCTTGAGACACAAATCTGGAGAAGGATCCAGAACCTGCCCTCTTTTAACACAGGTGGACTGAAGCTGGTTTTTCAGTCTTCAGGACGGCCGACTGCTCTTGTCCTCTGCCACGGAGTCCTTCTGGCATGACAGATCCCACTTCTCACACCAAGCATGTGGTGGAAACTCCTTATCAAACAGGCAGACAAACTACTCAAGAATTGATAAAGTTTCAACTTTATCTTTCAAGTGTTTTATTTGAAGGCAGTCAACAGACTGAATCCAACAGAGTCAGGAAAAGCAGAGCAACATCTCACAGATACATCCTTTTTAATCCACTTCTGTTATCAGAGAGTACATTCCATACAAGAACACAGTTCTGGACAGAGAAGCAGAAGTGGCAACATCAGCCGGTTTGGTCCGGTTCTAATCACTTCTTACGGTACGTAACTCTTCACGCTATCAGGAAAACGTCCTTGGCCGAATCCTGGAAGATTCTGCAACAACTTGAACACGTTGTAAAAAAGTGACAAAAGCGAGAACAGACAGTGACTTACTCCAAAATGTCCACTTCACAGACAAACAAAGTGAAGGTATATAAAGTCTGTGTTTCCATCTCTGAGACATCCTGTGACCAGAAACTGCTGCTGGAACAGACTCTTCAACTAACCATCAGAACAAGGTAACATTTAAAGTCCTACTGCTCATGGTGATGTTTTATGTCTTGGTTGAGTTGATCTGTGATGCTAATTATGAACTTTCCTAACCATTCTTTCTACAGATGGCTGCCGGTCTTCTCTTCTCTCTGCTTCTTGGTCTGAGCTTTGGACTCTGGGATGGAGCTGATGTAAGTATGGAGAAGGACTTAAGACAATGACTGGTATGTCCCTGTTGGGAGCTTTGGCTGACTGACGTAGATCAGATGGAGCAATCTGAGCCATCACTTGGTTGATGAGAAAACTTTGTTTTGTTGGGAATTTTGTCCTAAAACTTTGGGTTTTTCATCCACAGGCATGTGAACTAAGAGGTATGTGATTCTTTTATTGTTGGAGTTTCTAACATGTAAAAGACAATTATATTGTGAGAAGTTCTTTGAAAAGATGGGAAACTTTTGCTATATTGGGTCATCCTTTCAGCAAAATTACAGACCTTAATTTCTGTGTTTGGTGTTAAAATGATGCTGATTATCAGATCTATGTATTTACCTTTTCTCTTCAAATTTTTCAGATCCCACAGCATTTGACTGCCCTGCAGGTTGGAGTTGGTTCGACCATCACTGTTTTGTGGTTGTAACTTTTCAAAAGTCCTGGGCTGAAGCAGAGGTACAACAGATGTGATGATCTCAGCAGATTTCCTACATTCAAAGGAAATGTAAATTTATTGATATAAAGACAATAAGATTCACCAACAATAAGGTTCCAGAAACTAATTTCCATTAAACAAATAGATCCATAATTTCTAAAGGTTGATATTCAGCTGCACCAACTGTCTCACTGCACAGAGGAAAGTTTAAACCAGTGTTGCCTTTTTCAGAAACATTGCCAGAATTTGGATTCACATCTGGCCTCATTCCACAATATAGACGAGTACAACTTCCTCAGACAGACTGTCCTCAGATCAACTTTAAAACAGTCAAGATTTTGGATTGGCGGTTATGATTCAGCACAGGTGAGAATTTAAAAACATGCAAATATCTCCGTTCGGTTGATCACTTTTTCTGTCAAGATGCATTTCTCATGGCTCTTTTTGTAAAAGCTTTTAGATGACATTTGTTGTGAATTGTTTTCTTCTGGCTCCTCTGACCAGCTGAGGGTTTAAATATCAATGATCCAAACACAGTTCATGTTTTCTGTAATGAGTGACAGGAGTCTAGGTTGGTTCTGTGTGATTTGTTTGCAAAGAAACTTTAAACTTTGACATTCGTTCAGGAAGGCACCTGGTTTTGGAGTGACGGCTCCAAGTTTATTTTTTCCACCTGGGGCTCCGGTCAGCCAGACAATGCTGGTGGAAATGAACACTGCATGAACATCAACGATCGTGGTATTTATTACTGGAGATACACCTGTAATTTAATCATTTTGTTTAAATGCATGTTTTTATCTTTGTATCTGGTGTCTTAGTGAGTAGGAGTTTGTCCTGTAATCAGTGGGTTCCTGGTTCGAACCCCCACTCCATTCATGTCCGTTGTGTCCTTGGGCAAGACTCGTCATCTGCCCTGCATGCTTTCTGAAACCAATCAAATCATGTCAAAGTCTTTGTCAGGACTTGTCTCTTTGTCTCTTTACAGGACGAGATTTTGTTGATGATTCTCCCTGTGATATGACCCTTCCCTTCATCTGTGCCAGAGCCGTGTAACCTAATGCCTGATAATCTGAACCGTATGGCTTTCCTGCTGGTGATGTCACTTCCACCTGGATGTCAAGCCTCGATGACATCACTGCTGGAAGAACCTGATTTCACTTCATTTCTCACTTAAATAAATGTTTTCTTTCTCTGAAATCTGATTGATTGAAATATAAAATTTAAAAAGTGTCAAGATTCTAATTAAGCAGCAGCTATAAACTAATTGGTAATATTTCTAAATCTCAGCTATAAATTTCTACTGAAAATTATCAGAGTATCAGTGCATTAGTAAAGTAATAAAAATCTATGAAATATGAAGTTTTCACAAACTCTGAATCACATGTTTTGCAGAAATTCACTCGTGTCACAAATATTTTACACCCAATGAAACCTTGTAAAAATGTTTGTCATCATAAACCTCTGGAACACCAGAACATCTTTAGTTAAAAATCTGTTGACCCCAAGCAGGATACTGCAGATGGGTTGTTATTTACAGCAGGATGATGAACCAAAACACACATGAATACAGACACACACACACACACACACACACACACACACACACACACACACACACACATACACACACGCACACACACACACACACATTCATAACATCCTTCCACTCGAGGTTTGTCTCGAGGTTTGTCTCCTTATGGGGACCTCATAAAAAAGGGACGGAGAAACTCCGACCTGCTCCTCTTTTTCTTTTATTTTATTTTAAACATTTTAGACCAAATTGGGACTTAAACCAATTGAGGATGGGACTCCAACCCAAATTAAAAATGCTTATCAAGTCATGTTTCTGTCAGTTTGCCTTGTCTGGTCGAATCTCTTCAATCCGTCGTTGGCAGACAAAGTCAGACATAAAGCGTGAAGAATCCCCTGAACATTGTCCTCCAGGTCTTGTCGACTCTTTAAGAGTGTTGTTTCTTCGTCTGTCAGCGAACGGGCATGTAGATATCCGGGTCATAACGCCAGTATAATAGGTATTTTGTTTACCTAAATAAAAAGAACCGCAGATGTTAATTAGTGTTCGATCAAGGTCTTGTTTGCAAAATGAGAAAACACAGAGAGCTGCTCCTCCAAACAGTGCACCATGTGTTCTGACACTGCAGAAATGTTTGTCTTTTATTACACAAAGCAAGAGTGAGGGGGCTACATAAAGGAAGGGGGGCTGGTGCTGATTACAAGACAAGCAGAAAACAGAAACTATATTCTGAACACAGACAGTTTTACGACTAAAGAATCCACAAATCGGTGACCGGCAGCGCCCTCCATGACTGCTTGTCCTGAACCGCTCCTCCTCTGGCTGCGGACCGACTCCCATCCTGCAGTAACTCCAGATCCATTTTCTTCTCTGGAACCTCCATGTTGACTCCAATCTCACATAATCCAGCTGCAGCAGCAGTCATTATACACCTTCACTTTTCTGTCCTCGCAGAAAACTTTCAGTCGCTGGAAATAAAATCTTTCACTTTATTTTTCTTTCCCAGAGTAATTTAGTTAAATGATAGACACTTCTGTCATTTACTTGAACAGTCTTTGTTCTGGATGCAGCCTGCAGCACTTTGTGTTTCATGACATATGACTGAAATTGAACCAGAACAATTCTGGGTTTTATCCTATGGTCCTGTTCTCTGGTCCAGGCCTCGGCCCCATCCTATGGTCCCTCTCCACATGGAGTTCATCTGTCACTCGCAGTTTTTTCTTGGCTTTATTCATTGATAAAGATAATCATGTCATTTCCTTCAGAGCTTTCTGGCACTGAGTAAATTCTCATATTGTTTCTTCTGGCTTGACTTTCCAGTTCCTCCCATGTATGTTCTGATTATTTTTGCATTTGAATAACATGTAAAAGCACTTTAGAGGTTTTCATTCAATAATCTTCAGATCCATTCTTTTTTTTAACATTTGAGAAATCTGCATGTAGCACATTTAACTCTGCCTTTAATGATCCAAAACTAACTATTGTTTCAGATCTAAATTATTTTAGTTATTTGACTATTGCAGCCACACCTGTGGCTTTCACTGAAAGGTGTCCTCTATTGATCTCCAAGCAACTACGCAGCACACCCTGGCCCTGCCGTATAGATAAATATGATTATCTACACACCTTGATCACCTTCAGAATAGTCAAACCTGACCTGCTTGGCATTAATTTGCTGATCCGACTGTTTTCTTTTTCAGTGAGAATGAAATGATCCTTTAGATAAAATGCATTTCATTCTCACGCATTTCAATTTTATGTGACAAAAACTGAGGACATTTACTCTTTTTATTAAAGTGAGGTTTTCAAATTCTTTTTGAAATGTTATTTATTTATTGTGTGTTATTGTCTGAGGACAAATGTGTTCCAATTTCATTGTTTCAGTTTAAACAACAAAAGATTAAAATCATGGAAAATGTTTGTTTTTCGTGATTTGCATTTAGGTGAGTTTTGTAACTTTGTAGTTTGTTATTGTCCATAAACAAAGTTGAAATCTCAACCTTCTTCTAAAAACACATCACTATTTCAGTGATGCAACAGAACAGTATAATAATAAAAAATGTTTAACAGAAACTCTGAATTTTATATTTACAACAAAAATAATTCCCCCCTAACTATCTCATATTAGAGTTTATGTCAGATATGTCATAAATATCTGACATGCTTGGAAATTTTAAGTAGAAATCTGGTGATGTGTGAAGATGGGTTGTCACTGGGTCCAACTAAGGTCAAAGATCAAAGATGCCTTCCTGATGTTCTGTGATATCGGGTTTTTCTGTGTGAGGAAACACAGACAGCTTAGAGTTTGTGTGCATTATGTCTTGTATGATTGTCTCTCCCTTTATACAAAATTGACAATTTGTTCACTTGAGATGTTATTTACCACTAATTTGCACCAAAATCCTGACGCTGTTGGCAGGATCCTTCCTGTGGCCACTGGGACGTCGTGAGCAACTGAAATATCATCCTGCTATTTTTTGTTTGAAATCTCAGCTACTTTTAACTCTTCTGTTGTTTTCACATTGTCGTCATGCAACTTTTTACCAGTAGTGGGCACTCTTGCATGTTCCAGCCTCCAACTTTGACAGAGTACAGAGATGTGTGAACTACACAAAAAGACTACCATGGACACTGCTGTGATTCATGTAAAAAATATGAAGTGAAGCTTCTTTATAATTATAATTTTAAATAATTGAAGGACACAGTGGTACTGGAGGGATGTAGGTAGCTGGGTTAGAATGCTACCAGGCTGTGGCCTTTGGACTTGTTGGAATTATTATAATAATGTTTGGAATAGCAAATCAACAGGACAGAGGATAGAGAGCTTGTTGGAGTCCTTGTAAAGCTAACTGTAGATAAGACAGGCGTTGCTGTTTAGTGCATGAGAACAAACAGTCAGAACACGTCACAAACCCACACAGAGCTTTGTGCAGGAATACCATGTGCAAGCTGGTTTGTTCACATCTGTGCACATAAAAAGCCCCCACAAAAAACAGTTTTTGTCATGTTTGAATCTTTTGACAAACCTGATGCTTTTTGTAGTTTTCAGCAACTGAATATCAAAATGATTAATTTTTTTTTCTACATCTAAGAAGATCTAATAAAAGTCCAGGAAAAATCTGACCATAGCAAGTTGAAGCCACATCACATGGAAACAACCCCACAGAGTGCAATAATTCATGCAAATATAGAATGGAAAATAACAGCTGATATTTATCAAAGAGCATTTTGATTCTAGTTACTATGACATGGTTGATTTATTCGAAAACCTTGTTTCTGTTCATATTTTCTCTAGTTTTTAAAGATGTTTTATTTTAGGATGCTGCCATTAACTACCGATATCAACTTGTAATTAGAAAGCATCTGATGTGTTTCAGTATGTAAATAATTTTATTCTGACATATTTTGAATGCAAAGCCTACAGTACTTTGTATATTTATGTTTAGCAGTTTGATCAGGATCATATTTGTAAAGTCTGAAATAACCAAAGTCTACCAACAATACATTAATAAATAATTTACTAATTACTTATTAATTCATAAATTATTCATTAATAATAATATATATTCATTAATATCAATAAATAAATATATTAAAGGAGATGTTTTACTGGTTTTACTCTGGTTCTGCTCTCAGTTACTGAACATTTAAATGCTTCTGAAAACGGAGTGACTAATATGTGAACAAAGACAACGACTGTCATGCCACCTAATATACCTGAACAGATATTTACAGATTCACTCCACCAGAAAACTATCTGGACGATCATTTCTATAAAACAAGTCATTGTTCAAGAGACAAAATGAAGATGTTTACGGTTCAAGGAACAAACAGAGTTTCTGCATTAATAGAAATAAATTTTACAATAAACATCAAACTGCAGCAAACTGAGGAATCAGCTGACTGTTTCCAAAACATTTTTCTTTTTTTGTTGTTGTTTTGCTTCCTTTTCTTTTGATTTCATCCCAAAGGAGAGGATTTAAGTTGTTTTCCTGTTTAGAAACAATTAGCAGTTAATAAATATAGTCAATAATCCAGATGAGAGGCGAGGTTCGTTGGTAGACGGTGTGCAGGCAGACATTTGCTCTGATCATGTGTTTCTGATTGAAGCTGCTCCTGTGTTCGTTATGTCGGGGCAGCAGAACCGGCCTGTTGGTGTCGTGATGTGTGAGTTGCAGTGGCGGAGCCAGAGGGGTGGCCGGGGTGGCACTTGCCACCCCCAACAGAGCCCTGGCCCCCCCTACTGCCACCCCACTGAAAATGGTAATTTTAAAATAAAATACTTATGAGATCGGAAAAGATTTGCCAGGAAAACTGTAATTTCCGACTGTCCCTGAAGGCAGCCCGATGGCCGACGCTGTTCATTGGTTAAACTGACATGTTGGTTCCTGCTTGATCCAAAACACATCAACGGCTTTAGAGTTACACCATCAGGAGTTTTGCAGGTATTTCCAACATTTTACCGCTCAGCAGTAACCGCTGTTACCTTCCTAATGAGAGGCGGCTCTTGTCATACATTTCTAAAAAGAAACAAAATGGTTGTGTACCGCTGCATAGTGCCTCGTTTATTATATTAGCCATGCTAGTGCTGGTAGATCGTGTTTTAGACAGATTCTTTTAACATATGTTTTAGTGACATGCTGCCCTCTAATGTTTTATTTCTCCCAGCTCTTGCTTGAAATGTGTGGTAAGAATATGTGAAAAACCATTAAGTTTAATAATGACTGAAATGTAAGTAGGCTATGTCATATGAAAGCTTTGAATTATAACCTCACTAGTTATATTAATTAATTTTAATTAATCTATTTTTAATTTAGTATTATTTTAGATAGCTACAGAAAAGTAAAAACTATAGTTTAAATAATAGTTAAAATGAAGAGAGAAGGGAATATCTCCCAGTTCTTCTTAAAGAGGCAAAAACCAGGACCATACAGAACCTTGCAGCAGTGACCAGGACCAGACAGAACCCTGCAGCAGTGACCAGGACCAGACAGAACCCTGCAGTGACCAGGACCAGACAGAACCCTGCAGCAGTGACCAGGACCAGACAGAACCCTGCAGCAGTGACCAGGACCAGACAGAACCCTGCAGCAGTGACCAGGACCAGACAGAACCCTGCAGCAGTGACCAGGACCAGACAGAACCCTGCAGTGACCAGGACCAGACAGAACCCTGCAGCAGTGACCAGGACCAGACAGAACCCTGCAGCAGTGACCAGGACCAGACAGAACCCTGCAGCAGTGACCAGGACCAGACAGAACCATGCAGCAGTGACCAGGACCAGACAGAACCCTGCAGCAGTGACCAGGACCAGACAGAACCATGCAGCAGTGACCAGGACCGGACAGAACCCTGCAGCAGTGACCAGGACCAGACAGAACCCTGCAGCAGTGACCAGGACCGGACAGAACCCTGCAGCAGTGACCAGGACCAGACAGAACCCTGCAGCAGTGACCAGGACCAGACAGAACCCTGCAGCAGTGACCAGGACCAGACAGAACCCTGCAGCAGTGACCAGGACCAGACAGAACCATGCAGCAGTGACCAGGACCGGACAGAACCCTGCAGCAGTGACCAGGACCAGACAGAACCCTGCAGCAGTGACCAGGACCGGACAGAACCCTGCAGCAGTGACCAGGACCAGACAGAACCCAGCAGCAGTGACCAGGACCAGACAGAACCCTGCAGCAGTGACCAGGACCAGACAGAACCCTGCAGCAGAGACCAGGACCAGACAGAACCCTGCAGCAGTGACCAGGACCAGACAGAACCCTGCAGCAGTGACCAGGACCAGACAGAACCCTGCAGCAGTGACCAACCTGGAGAATCCAGCCAGGAGACTCCAGGCCCAAGTGGATCACCAGCGGGTTAGAGGCTGACAGAGAGTTATTAAGTATTAAAATCCAATAAGCCTAATTCTAAAGGTTAGCATGATGCTTTTTGCATTTTTTATTGTGTCTGTTTATGCATTTCCAGTTAAGTTCCAGAGAGAGATGAGGGTGATACAGATTCAGAGTCAGACTCTGGGGAGGAAAATAGTGAAGCAGAAGGAAATGGGACTGAACTGCCCCCACCCAGCACAACCTATTGCACACCAGAAGCACCAGTTTATTTATTTATTTATTTTTGAGAATTTGTTTTTGGTCATATTCTGGGCTCTGAGTTTACATTTACATGTTCACTGTTCCATAGTGCCGTTTAACGTCTTGTTTGATCATGGCAAATCTTTGTTAAATAAACCATTTTAATTTGAGTGTGTGTGAGAAAATATTTGTTTCCTTTCGTTCATCATTTGTATATGGACCCTCTGATAAAGCCTTGCTCACCCTTTGGCCACCCCTTGAAAAAAAGTCTAGCTCCGCCACTGGTGAGTTGAACATGGGTCATGTTGAAGGCTCAGTGAAAAATAAAACAATAAAAACTGCAACAAAAAAACAAGGAGAAGACAGGAAAAAAATACTAAGAAGGAACTGAAGTAAAACTGCAGAACTAACAGAAAGAAACAGAAATAATAACCCAAAACAAAAGTGAACAAAATCCTGACCGTCGGTCTCATCACTCTGTCAGCGCTTCTACTCTGGATGAAGCCTCAAACACGTCATGATCCGATTGCTTGATTTTATCCCCATTTAAATCAGTTTAGATTTCAATCTGCTCAGGGAGTTTTGCCCATGAAAACCTTCCAGGTATTCAGGTCAAAGGTCAGCTGTCCAGAGGAAGAGCTGCCGTCGCCAGGCTGCAGAACCATTAGCTGCTGCTGGTTCACTGCAGGAGGCGTCGCTGCAAACTGGAGATTTCATCTCATCTTCACCGACTTCTTCATAAACTCACAGACTTCAAGAAAAAAGGAAATTAATTTCTCTGCATTTCCAACAGTTTTAGAACATTTGAAGATCGTGACACTCACCTGAAAAACAGAGCAGAAGATTCAGAAACCTGCTTTCATAACATCGACTTCTAGAGTCTGAACATAAACGACCCCAAGTTCAGCTCTACGTCTGCAACAGGACAAGACAAACGTCTGACCATCAGCTCATTTCAGGACTTCCTGTGAGCTTCTGCAGTGAAATCACAGCTTTTAGTTTTCACCCTTAAATGTTTGATGTTGACAATCAAACTATTACTTTTGACCACCAGAAGGTTTTTGATGTTTCAGAATAAAGGAAAATAAAAAGCTTTGAAAACAGAAAACTCAAACTTACAAGTAAAGTTATTTTAAGGTCTGAACCTTAAAACAGGAAGTTGAGGCGAAGGCGTCTAAACGCTCAGCTGAACGTTTCTGTTCACAATCTGATTCAGAAATAGCTCATGTAAGTTTGGTTTTAAGGTATTTTGGCTCCAGTGGTCCTTATAAAACAATAAATTAACAAATTATTGGGTGGAGGTCAAAGGGGAAATCCCAGACCGAGAATCGAACCACTGACCCACTCAGAGCTGAAACCGAGTCGGCTCAATGAGAAAGGAATAAAAAGAGAGGCTGTAAGAAAGACGAAGCAGAACCAAGTAATGATGAAGAGGAACCAACCAGAGCTCCTGCAGCTGCAGCTTTTAGAGACAAAGGAACATTTTCAAGGCGTTAAATTACTCAGTGCTGGCCCTTTAAAGGATTTTACTCCTTTAATGTCTTCCAGCTCATCTTGTTGCTTGTTGCAGCCGCCGGATGAATGAAGCACAAATCTGACAGATCTTATCAGAGCAGAGCTGCATGACATCTGATCAACTTCTGAACCCAATTAACTGTCAACTGTTGCAAATGAAGTTGTGTTCATGTTTCTGTTTGATTTCTATAAAGAACGTTTCCCTGCATGTTTTAGTGTGGACTGAGGCTACGCAGTCTTAGTTTTACTCCATTTCTTTCGGCCCAACAGCAGAGTTTTCTGTTTAGTGATAGAAAATAATAAACAGAAATGACAAGAGGCGGTTCGCTGACTGTAGAAATAATTTATTAAGCAGAAGTTTGAAAGAAAACCAGGAGAAATAACAGACATTTTTACAGAGCAGAGATGTTTCATCAGGCAAGACGATCTCTGACAAAACCACCAGGTTTTCTGATATGAATGAATCAAAAAGAAAGTCGACTTGAAAGATCAAGAGTTACATTTAAATTCAATATAATAACAATAATAAATGGACGAAAAGAAGTTAAAATGGATGAATCTGCCTGTTTCAGCTTTGAACAGACTAAAGCCGGTTTCTCTCTGCGGTCCTGACGCTACGCCGTGTTGGAGTACAGAGACTCTCCTCCAACATGGCTGCCAACAGCCACCCGAGGAACCGAGTAAACCAGGTCGTTAGAAGGTCTCAGCTGATTCTCCGAGCTTCTGTTGAGGAAGTTCACCTGGGTATAGGTTGGTCTAGTCAAATCATCTTCAGCCTGAAGAAAGAAAAGCAAGCGGTCAGGGTGAGCTGCTGGTCAGAGCAACAAGAGCTTCCTGTTCATTAAACTGGGTCTGAAAAACACAAAGCGGGTTTGGGACACCAAGGCACTCAGGTCATCTCCATTCCATCCAACGATCTTTTCATGTTTTTATTTGTCACGAATGAATGAATGTCAGTTTTTGCCAGTATTCAGGTCAAAGTTCAGCTTACCGTGTCCAGAGGAAGAGCTGCCATCGCCAGGCTGTAGACGCCATCAGCTGCAGCTGGTTTACAGAAGGAGGCGCAGCTGTAAACCGTAGAGATTCTCACAGGAACAGAGTTCATCTCATCTTCTCTGATTTCTTCATAAACTTCGTTAGTCTTCAGGAGAAAAGGTGAAATTGATGCATCTTTATTTCTGACCGTTTTAGAGTTTTTATGCTGAACTGTGAAGCTCCTCAAACTCACCTCAACAGCAGGAGTTTTCCTTGTTTTCACAGCAGGAGCTGAAAAACAGACCAGAAGATTCTGCACAGGTGGTGATGTCCTGGAGGTTCTGTCTAAAGAGGTCACAAAGGAGCCACTAACTGAACCTCCACAGTCCTCCATCCGTCCTCGACCAGCTGCAACTTGGTTGAACGGAAACAGATGAACCAAACTGGACCTTCGCTTGCTCACCAGGTTCTCCCTCCTCCTCAACTTGAGGGAACTGAAATGCTTTTCCAGAGAGCCGAGAGACGTGATTTCCAGGTGAGTCTCCTCTCACTGAGATGTGTCTAAAACATCTTGCTGAGGAATTATCCAGCAACCAAATGGCCTCAACCTGAAATCCAACTGATCTGGTTACATCCTGCAGCCTGACCTCAGATCTGCTGCAAGCTGGGCTCATGAGCAGGTGGACAAGAGTCACCAGAATCATATCTGAAAGGTGTTGAGCGTTCAGGTGAGCGCATCTGTGAATCTACTCTTCTTTCTGATTTGGAGCTTCAAGATGCAGACTTTCTCTTTTTCCACCTTCCCAAACTCACTCCACACCTGGGAATCCTGCATGTCTGTCCTCTTCCTGCCTTCTCAACCAAGATCTATCAGACTAAACACCAGAACACTAAAAACCAGAACACTAAACACCAGAACACTAAATACCAGAACACTAAACACCAGAACACTAAAAACCAGAACACTAAAAAACCAGAACACTAAACACCAGAACACTAAATACCAGAACACTAACCACCAGAACACTAAAAACCAGAACACTAAACACCAGAACACTAAAAACCAGAACACTAAACACAAGAACACTAAAAACCAGAACACTAAACACCAGAACACTGAATACCAGAACACTAAACACAAGAACACTAAAAACCAGAACACTAAACACCAGAAACACTAAACACAAGAACACTAAAACCAGAACACTAAAACACCAGAACACTAAAACCAGAAACACTAAACACAGAACACTAAAAACCAGAACACTAAACACCAGAACACTAAACACAAGAACACTAAAAACCAGAACACTAAACACCAGAACACTAAACACCAGAACACTAAAAACCAGAACACTAAACACCAGAACACTAAATACCAGAACACTAAACACAAGAACACTAAACACCAGAACACTAAAAACCAGAACACTAAACACCAGAACACTAAACACAAGAACACTAAAAACCAGAACACTAAACACCAGAACACTAAAACCAGAACACTAAAACACAAGAACACTAAAAACCAGAACACTAAACACTAGAACACTAAACACCAGAACACTAAAACCAGAACACTAAAACCAGAACACTAAACACCAGAACACTAAATACCAGAACACTAAACACCGAACACTAAAACCAGAACACTAAACACCAGAACACTAAACACCAGAACACTAAAAACCAGAACACTAAACACAGAACACTAAAAACAGAACACTAAACACAGAACACTAAAAACCAGAACACTAAACCAGAACACTAAACACGAACACTAAAACCAGAACACTAAACACCAGAACACTAAAACCAGAACACTAAAACCAGAAACACTAAACACCAGAACACTAAAAACCAGAACACTAAACACCAGAACACTAAAAACCAGAACACTAAACACAGAACACTAAAAACCAGAACACTAAACACCAGAAACTAAACCCAAGAACACTAAAAACCAGAACACTAAAAACCAGAACACTAAAAACCAGAACACTAAACACCAGAACACTAAAAACCAGAACACTAAACACCAGAACACTAAAACCAGAACACTAAAAACAGAACACTAAAAACCAGAACACTAAACACAGAACACACTAAAACCCAGAACACTAAAACCAGAACACTAAAACCAGAACACTAAAACCAGAAACACTAAACACCAGAACACTAAACACCAGAACACTAAACACAGAACACTAAAAACCAGAACACTAAAAAACCAGAACACTAAAAACCAGAACACTAAAACACCAGAACACTAAAAACCAGAACACTAAACACCAGAAAACACTAAAAACCAGAACACTAAAAACCAGAACACTAAACACAGAACACTAAAAACCAAACACTAAAAACCAGAACACTAAAAACCAGAACACTAAAACCAGAACACTAAAAACCAGAACACTAAACACCAGAACACTAAAAACCAGAACACTAAACACAGAACACTAAAAACCAGAACACTAAAACCAGAAACACTAAACACAAGAACACTAAAAACCAGAACACTAAACACAAGAACACTAAAACCAGAACACTAAAAACAGAACAAAACACACAGAACACTAAAAACCAGAACACTAAACACAAGAACACTAAAAACCAGAACACTAAACACAAGAACACTAAACACAGAACACTAAAAACCAGAACACTAAACACAAGAACACTAAAACCAGAACACTAAACACAAGAACACTAAACACAAGAACACTAAAAAACCAGAACACTAAACACAAGAACACTAAAACAGAACACTAAACACAAGAACACTAAACACAAGAACACTAAAACCAGAACACTAAACACAAGAACACTAAAACACAGAAACACTAAACAGAACACTAAACACAAGAACACTAAACACAAGAACACTAAACACCAGAACACTAAACACCAGAACACTAAACACAAAAACACAACATCACTCCACACTATCAGTCCTGGTCTTACATGCAGCTTCAGGTCCTGAAAGCTCAAACTTTAAGATCCCAGTCAGAACCAGTCAACCTGAAATACCTGTCATACTTAAATCAAACTGAAATATTGAAAAGAAAAGAAAAAAAACTTTGGAGATTTGGTCAATGGTAACCAGAATAACAATGTTTCCGAGTGTTTGTCCCGTTTCCTACCTTCAGGGTTCTGTGATCTGTTTCTGCAGAAAACCCAGAGAGCCGCAGTCAACATGATGATGATGAAGATGAAGGCCAGACCCACGATCAGCAGAACGTCTGCAAACAGGACGTTTTGTTGGGTTATTAGTGTTGATGTGGGTTTCAGAGCCCAGCTGGACAAATATTGATCCCAAACATCCAAAAAGGTTTCATGTTTCTGATGTAACTTCATTATTATGTAAAGTGTGATCATTGTGTATTTATGAATTATGTGTTATGTTTCTAATATGCATATGTAACTGTTTTTGTAATTAATGTTTTAATGTTTTAACCCCAGGAAGAAAAGCCGTTGTTATGGGGATCCAAACAAACAAATCCTAAAAACATAAATTAGCATCAAACTGAGCATTTCTGTGCAAACAGAGTAAAATCTCTGCATGTCCAGCAGGGAGAGCGGTTGGACCTGGAGGTGATTTATCGCCATCAGCCAGAGCTGAACGGTTGGTGGCTGCAGAGGAACCTGAAGAGGTGAAACTCGATGCACTGGAGCTGAAACTCCTGGTTGTTGTTGCTGTAGTGTTGTTGCTGTAGTTGTTGTTGCTGTAGTTGTTGTTGCTGTAGTTGTTGTTGTTATCGGTTGGACTGCTGGGAATTGGAAGAAAAGTTTAGCTCCAAATAAAACAGAACAAGTTTGAAATGAGCCAAGAAAAGCAGGTGGCTGGAAATCGCAATAATCAACAACAGTGTCATAATTTACATTAAAAGCAAATTTCATAAAATACCTTCAAATTACAAGGTGGGATGTTTTTAACACAAGCATTGTTACATTTTATTTTAGATTGAAGAAGACTTAATTTTTATTTAACAAAACTCACCATCTGTAACGGTCAGATAAAAGTCTCTGTGTGGATCAAAGTCGTACGCCACGTCCAGGTTACATCGGTACCGTCCTGAGTCAGACTGGGCCAGCGCTGAGATGCTCACAGACAGAAATCCTCCTACATATTCAATGCTGTATCTGCCTGTTTTAGCTCTGTCTCCATCAGTCTCAATAAGAACTTGTTTTCTACATTCTCCTCTGCAGAACTGATGTTTTCTCCCATCAGAACCAAAGAAACAGGCGACTGTCAGTGAGCTGCCAGCTTCTTTATAGAGGTGATGATCTTTGCTTCCATCCAGCAGAGCTGTTAAAATAATCATCAGTTACTTTCTGACCTCATCATAATAATCTGATCACATTAATCCCAGTGTCACATGGCAGTTGCCCAGTTGAACCAGTCTAAGTCTGGTGATCCAGTTCCACATTTTCTCTGGGATTTTAGCAGCTTTCAGACTCACCTTCAACAACAACCAGTTCAAAGTCCTGGTATAAATATCTGGATGAATATGTCCACAATCCACATCGGTACCGTCCTGAGTCGGACCGGGTCAGCGCTGAGATGCTCACATACAGAACTCCTCTTTCATATTCAATCCTGTATCGTTCACTTCTAGCTGATGTTTTATGTGTTACAATGAGAATGTGTTTTTCTTCTTCACAGTTTCCCAGCAGAAGATCTTCCATCCTCCAGATGAAGGAAAGGAACATCTAATGTTAATTTCTTGTCCAGAAACTTGATAAAAACGCTTCACAGACTCATCGGTTCTGCTGTTGGTGATGTGCAGAGCTGCAGAACAGACCAACAGTTAATGTCAGGACTTCCTGTTGTTCTGATTCAGTTATGGACCGGCTCCAAGCGAGAGCAAAACCTCACGTCTCTGTAATAAACTCCTGATGAATTTCACCTTCAACCCCCAAGAATCCAAACATTAAAACTAAGTTCTGAAACGATCCGATTGGAAACGTGGAAATGATCAAAATTAGATTCCAAGCTTAAATGTTGCAGCTTTAATGTTCAGGAAGCAGAAATCTCAACAAGCCTCTGTTTTGCTCTGGTTATTTTAAAACTTCATCTTCCTTTTTTAAAGCCAACCAAACGCTCAGCTGCCTGCTGAAGTTTTACAGTTTCTGTTTACATGAACAGAATAATAAATTAGTGAAAATGTTTGAATGAAGGAAAGTGACTCACGGAGGCAGACGAGGCAGAACCAGGTGAAGATCATGTTGAGACTCTGATGGATGGAAGTTGAACTTCTCTAAAGTGTTTCCTGTTCTAATGAAAATGTTAATTCTCTTCCTGCTTCTGCTTTTCAGCTGCAGCCTCATTTCTTTATAACTATGCAGCATCACTGTGTCTTCATGCTTATTTGCATTTACAAATTATTTTACATCTAAACATTATGTTTCCAAAAGAGCATCTGACTAAAAGCTGCAGATAGATAAATAAAAAGGATCTGATACAAAACTTATAAAACTAATTAATTACATATTACTTCCAGCTGAAATACTTCTGCAAATAAGCTCTTTAACTAAGGTTGTAAAGTTCAACTAAACTGAAAGTAAAAGCAAAAGATGAATAAGAAAAACTTTGGTTACGTTCACACTGCAGGTTTTAATAATCAATTATGATTTTTTTTTATAAAAAACACATTTTTTAGTTGTTCACATTTCCAAATTTAAGTGATCACTCTTCAGATCACTCTCCATGTGATCTGAAGAGTGAACTGCAAATGACCGGGCGCCACAACGCAGAGGGCGCCATAACGCAGAGGGCGCCATAACGCAGAGGGCGCCATAACGCAGAGCGCGTTCTGCCAACCCACATAAAGAAAACTGTTCTCTAGTGACACGAATTCTCTCGTTGATTTGTGGAAGTAAACATGGATGCTAATAATGCAGCATGTCTTATGAAGTTGTTGTCTGACTGCAGACAGGAAATGAACTTGATCCCTGCTACAGTTCACTCTGGTTGTTGTTTTTCTTTCCGTTGCACCAATCAGGATGCATTTGCTGAATGTTGAGGATAAATGTTCAGGTTGGACGGATGCGACCGGGTGGGACGGATGCGACCGGGTGGGACGGATGCGACAGGGTGGGACGGATGCGACCGGGTGGGATGGATGCGACCGGGCCGTTCGGACTCAGCTCTGTATGTCAGATCAGATTCGTGTCGGATGGAGAACCGCACATCCAAGAGGCCTGATCCGCGTTGTTCAAACTGTCATGAAAAACTGCTGCATTTAATAGCAACTGCTGTTCTGTGCATCGACCATCTAGTCCCAATAAAACTTTTAGAAGTCAACCTTTAAAACGAGTATTAGATCCAAGACATACAGTAGAATATTACCGCAGTACAATTAATGGGGTTGTGCTTTTGTCTTTTAATTTTGCTTTAATCTGTTTCTTTCTGTATCTAAACATTAGAAGTTATAGTCATGGAGAAATTGAGTTTTGATAATTGCGTCAGTAGTAATAACTGGTGATAATTATTCTGTTGGAAATGTTTATAATGTGTTCATGGTAAGGTTGGGGTCAGGAAGTGACTCAGATGAAGTGAGTGAAAAGGGGAAGCAGAGTGAGACTGAAACAGAACGAGACAACATTTAACCTGAGCATAAAGAAGAAGTTCGTCATGGACTTTAACACGTTTCAGAAGATCTAATGGTTTTATCTTTTGTTGTAGAGGTTGGTATTTGTGCAGACATGAAGGGATAATTATTTGCAGAACTGAACTGAGCGTCTGATGTCAGGGATGGGAGAAACGTGAAGGAACAAAGATCTTTGCAAAGATGTGCAGACCAGTTTCTGCTGTGATGCAAAGACAACCAGACAGTCATAAAACCACAAAACAGAAACTCCAGTTTCACAATAAACCAGGCTTATTAAAACAACTAACCCTTTTCTTTTCATGTTTTGATTTTTAAAAAGACTTAAAAACATCACGTCAGAGAAACCAACGTTAAAAATGATTCTTAACGGGTTGAGCAACAAAATATTATTAGCTTGAACCAAAATCAAAAGCAAAGTCTGATTTTCCAAGATTAACTTTAAGTACATTTTTATTTTTGCTTTTGTCAGTTTCAAGTTATTTCAGTGACTATCGAGGGGTTTTGGTCATAAACAAGAGAGGTGCCAACAATCTTGTCAATGTTTGAATAGAAAAGTAAACCAGGAAGTCAGCAGAGCAGATGAAACGGAGAACAGCAGCAGATTGATTGTTTCTTCTTAAAAATAAAAGCTTTTATGCTTTGGCTCAGTACAGTTGTATCCAAACACTTCACTTGTGTTTTAAACCATAAACGTTTAGAAACAATTGGATATGAATGCTGTTTTGGTGAGACTTCCTGGTTTCTAACGGCTTTCCGAAGTCTGCTGCTGAGGCGTGTTGACCTGAATCATCAGATAAATTAAGAAGCAGCAAAACTCCAGCACTCAGCGAATCCAACAGACATTATAATGGTCCCAGTTTGGGACCCTGGACCAGAACTAATGCTCAGGGTATTAACGGTTCGAGGAGAGGAAGATTTCCTGTTGACGCCTCTCTGGAATGAACCTTTAACTTATGTATTTATACATGTGTCCTCTCCAATGTGGACCCTCATGTGTCTGTTTAAATGAGGCTTTTGGTAAAATCTTTTCCCACAGACGTGACAGCCGTAGGGTTTTTCTCCTGTGTGGATCCTCTTGTGTTTATTTAAATTTGATTGTGGTTAAATCTTTGTCCACAAACGTGACAACCAAAGGGCTTGTCTCCGGTGTGTATCCTCTGGTGGATGTTTAAAGTCGACTTTTGATTAAAACTTTGTCCACAAATCTCACAACCAAACGGTTTGTCTCCAGTGTGGATCCGGATGTGCTTGTTTAAACTCGACTTTTGATTGAATCCTTTCCCACAAACATCACAACCGAAAGGTTTGTCTCCTGTATGAATTCTCATGTGTTTGTTTACAGCTGACTTATCACTAAACCTTTGACCACAAACATCACAAACAAATGGTTTTTCTCCAGTGTGGATTCTGATGTGTATGTTTAAATGTGACCTTCTGTTGAATCGTTGCTCACAGAAAAGACAACCAAATGGTTTATCTCCTGTGTGAATCCTCATGTGCTTCTTTAAATTAGCCTTAAGACTAAACGTCTGTCCACAGACATCACAAGCAAATGGTTTGTCTCCAGTGTGGACTCGTGTGTGCATGTTTAAATCTGCCTTTCGACTGAATCTTTTCCCACAAACGTCACAACCAAAGGGTTTTTCTTCCATGTGGACTCTCTTGTGTTTGTTTAAATCTGACTTTTTGTTAAATCTTTGCTCACAATCATCACAGTGAAACGGTTTCTCCTCTGAGTGGTTCCTCATGTGCAGATTTAAGCTTGACTTTTGGTTAAATCGAACTTCACATGCACTACAACTGAACGGTTTCTCTCCAGTGTGGATTCTCCTGTGAATTTTTAGGTGAGACTTCTGGTTAAATTTCTGTTCACAGACGTCGCAGTTGAATGGTTTCTCTCCTGTGTGGATTCTCAGGTGTCGGTTTAAGGAGTTTTTTAGGCTGAAACCTTTCCCCAGTCATCACAGGTAAAACCTTTTGAATCAGTCTGGATGTTTGCTGAGTCGACATTTTTAGCCAAACGGTTTTTTTTGAGCCATGTCTCTGGACGGAGCGCTTGTTACCAAACTGTTGACTGCACTCTGAGCAGCTCAGCGACTTGTTGGCGGCGTTTCCTCCTGACTCTGCAGCTCTAGTTTCCTTCCAGTCGTTCTCGCTGTCCTCAGTTTCAGAGCCAAAGTCTGGTGGGTGTTTCAGATGAGAACCAGGATGGTTCACATCCTCCTCCTCCTCCTCCTCTTCATCCCCACTGACCTCCGTCTCTGAAGAGCTGGAAGTGTCTGGGTTCCTGCTGGACTCTGCTCCTCCACTGTGCTCTCCATCCCTTTCTGCTTTCATCTGGCCAGCTGAGCTGCTGGTTGGAAGATCTCCAACTTCTGTCTGATGAAGCTGAGAGAACAGAGGTATATCTTCATCATCCTCACTCTTCATAAGAACCACAGTGAGTGGAAACCTGGTAGGATCCATCTCCTTCTTCACACTGAGCTCTTCATCCTCCATACTGCTCCAGACTTCCTCCTTCTTGATGTGGAGACGCTCTGCGTCCTGCTGGTCTCCACCAGGACTCTGCTCTTCATCAGCTTCTTCTTTAACAATCAGCTGCTCCTGAACACCTACAGAAAACACAGGAACACATTGTGAACAATTAGAGTTTAACATTTCTAACAAGATAAAACAGAAATAGAGGAAGAACTGATGCTGAGATCAATCACATGTTGATTAATGAAACTGGAAAAATGAAGGAAGTTCTGAGCTATAAAGAAATTATCTACCAGAGTTCTGACCAGAACCAGGAACGAGAACCTGGACTGGCTGCAGATGTTTGGGATAATATCAGGTTGATTATGGATTTTCCTCTTGACCATTTTTAATTCATGTGAAAATGTAAATAGACTATTTTTAAATGTATAATGTAGTTTTAACTACATATTATGTATTCTATATAAAACTTATTGTGTTAGTTGAAAACAGAATTCTTCCTTTAATAAAAACGATTTGAGTCGACTCAGGTTTGCCTTCTGAGTCGTTTTATTTGGTCATTTTAAAGCCAATGCAATTATGTACAAATCATATAATAAGATCCTTTCTGTAAATATCAAGTTTACAGTCAATAAAGTGTTGCAGGGAAAATATATTACAAATAACCCAAAGTTCAAATAAATGATAAACTTTGTCCTGGCAAATATTCACTGTATGATTTAAAAAGTCAGACAGATTTCATAATTGCGCAGCAGCATGTTGGATGTTTGCTGCATTAAAAACTGAACAACAATGTGACTTAAGATTAAAGATTTGTATAAAATCTATTGCTGTTCTGTTTGCAAGAGGTTGTAACTCAACAAGGTGTAAATTTGAGCTTATTCATAATCTTTTCTGCTTATTTGTATATGATTGTTGCCAGTTTCATTTGTTTTCTTCTGGAAGGGCCACAGTTCAGCATGTCTCTGGTTTTTATCTCTATAACTTGGTGCATTTTGATCAGGGATCCATGCAGACCCCTGCTGCGCAGCGAAGGTCCCCACATAAACTGGCCACCAGTGGATGTGACACACCGCAACAAGCCTCAAACAGACAGCAGCTTCTCGTTCCGGTACATCCGCCATCTTCCTAAAACTGCTGCTAAAGTCCACAGTGGATGTGAAAAAGGAAAAGCCACCGACCCGGAGTTTCCATCTGAGCGGCAGAGCTAAAACCAGAATCCATGTTTCTGTTTTTCTTCCAGTCGCTGTTTGAGCTGCTGCCTCTGCATTTCCGGTACCGTTTCTGTCTCCGGTCCGGCCCGTAAACCGTTACAGTTCAATTTAAACCCGCCTTACGACCAAAACCAGGAGAAAAGCCTCGGGTCACCGCGGCCGGACTGAAGAGGAGCTGGAGTCTGCGCAGTAGGAGCAGAGAGGCCCCGACACGCAGAAAGGAACAAAAACCCGGAAGTCCCGCCCACACAGGGCGTCAGCTGCGAGTTATTCTGTCCGCCATATTAGTAGGGCAAGGGCGAGCTATGTAAACATTAGTAATGGAAAGAATTGCGGTTTTAACCGGTAGAAAAGTAACTCACCTTGAAAATGCGATTTTAGACGTTTTTAATTGATCTTCCCGCAAAAATATTTTAATACTGATTTGAAATGCTACAAAATAAAGGATCTGTTATTTTTGGCTTAAAATAAAGCTAAAGAGATCATAACAAAACGTGCAAATATGCAAATTTTAGAATCTGAAAGGAAAATTACAGTCCTGTGCAAAACTATTAATACCCATAAAACCTTCTTTTAACGTGGTTGTTAGCTGATGTCAGTCTGAACCAACAGTTTGTACAGAAATGGGAACCAAATGTAAAATGAAAAGCAAAAAGACCCACCAGCAGTGTTATAACGTCTAAGAAAACTAGATTTAAAATATAAAATAAATTAATCAAAATAGAAATGAGAGTAGCTCCAACTGCAGCATATCTGAGGAGCTCCTCAGAACTGGAGCTGATGTTTTTCATGGAAACAACATCCAGACGACCACATGGTTGTTTCAGGTTATTTCAGCCTGCAGTCCTTAAATCCACCTGCTCAGTCTTCTGCCAGCAGCAGGACAGCAGAGCTACGTCTCAGCTGTGATGGAGTACATCGACTCTTCCTCGGATCGGTTCAAATCCGTCATTCGGACCGCGAATGAACTGACAGCTTCTAGTCTGTCTTATGATTTGTACTTCTGCTTAACTTATACTACAGCGAAGATGTTATTGCACATGCACCGTCCAACCTAACAGCTCTTAAGGAGACGCAAAAATCAACGCAAGAAAAACTTTTCTCAGGATTTTAACTTAATTGTTTTTCTGCTGCAAAATTTTAATTCAAGCACATCAGTAATTTATCTTCGAAAGAAACCAGCTTTAAAAAAAAATCTAAGTTGCAATTATAAAGCAGCTGAAGCACAGATAGAGTAAAGACTGAGGCCCAGATTCTAAATCAGACCTTCTTCAGGTTCAGTGACTAAACTGCAGCCATCAGGTCCACAACCCGAGTTCAGAACCCGAGTCCAGAACCCGGTTTCTGCTGGCAGGACAGACTCTGGTAGAAGAAATGATAGTTAAAGCTTTACAGAATGAAAGTTTGTTCCAGTTTAAGAACATTTTTACAATAATCTACTCTCAGGTTTTAAGATTTTACTGAAATAAAACTATTTGTACAAACTCTCTCCTCACAGCTTTATATTTTTTCTAATCAAAGAGAATAAAATCACCTCCATCTTTACTCCATCGTCTCGTCTCCTCCTTGAATCTGTGAAACAAAAAGTTTCATTAGGAGAAAACGTCTGAAGCCTGGAAGAAAAACATGGATTCAACAAGAAAACAGGTTCTAAATATGGATGATCATTTGAAAACAGTAAAATAAGCAACATGAGCTTCTGCACAGAACCACAGAGAGGATGATGATGATGATGGTCAGAGTTGAACCCACAACCAGCAGCAGATCTATAGAGGTTTGGGAAGATCCACAGGTTTGGTTAACATGGAGTTATGGTGAATTAATGAGTCAAATGAAATGACAAAACTATTCGGGTAAATTAAGCTCCCGGTAAGGAGAAAAAAAAAAAAAAAAACTCCATTGGTGAAAAACATGAGATGTGCACATTTGAATTAACTGCATTTTGGCGCAACATATTCAGCCTGACAAAATCATTTTGGATCCTTTTAAGCCATTAAGAGTGAAATGGTCCAAATCTATATTTTGTCTTTTACACAGATCGATTTAGTTAACAGGAATGAGATTTACACAAACGTATACAGTTGCACACAAACGTGCCCCAAAGTAAATTAAGTCATGTGTATCCAGCCTATAAGGGAGGGCAGCTTTGAAGGACTGGCTTTCACCCACCATAAGGAAAAATAAAAACAAAGAGACAATCACTGCAGCAAGACATCTTTATTTAACATTCAGAAGTTCAGACAATGATGCGTTTAATATTCTTCTCCTTCATCCTCATCTCCCAAGCTATCAGCACCAACCTCCTCGTAATCCTTCTCCAGAGCTGCCATGTCCTCCCTGGCCTCGGAGAACTCTCCCTCCTCCATTCCCTCACCCACATACCAGTGGACGAATGCACGCTTGGCGTACATCAGGTCAAACTTGTGATCCAGCCGAGCCCAGGCCTCTGCAATAGCAGTGGTGTTGCTCAGCATGCACACAGCCCTCTGGACCTTGGCGAGGTCACCACCAGGAACCACAGTTGGTGGCTGGTAGTTGATGCCAACCTTGAAACCAGTGGGACACCAGTCCACAAACTGGATGGAACGTTTGGTTTTAATGGTGGCAATAGCAGCATTGACGTCTTTGGGCACCACATCACCACGGTACAAAAGGCAGCAGGCCATGTACTTGCCGTGGCGAGGGTCACATTTCACAAACTGATTGGCCGGCTCGAAGCAGGAATTTGTGATCTCAGCTACCGTGAGCTGCTCATGGTAAGCCTTCTCTGCAGAGATCACCGGGGCGTAGGTGGCCAGAGGGAAGTGGATACGAGGGTATGGCACCAAGTTGGTCTGGAACTCAGTCAGATCAACATTCAGGGCACCATCAAAACGAAGAGACGCAGTGATGGAGGACACGATCTGGCTGATCAGCCTGTTCAGGTTGGTGTAGGTGGGGCGTTCGATGTCGAGGTTCCTGCGGCAGATATCGTAGATGGCCTCGTTGTCCACCATGAAGGCACAGTCTGAGTGCTCCAGGGTGGTGTGGGTGGTCAGGATGGAGTTGTAGGGCTCCACAACAGCAGTGGACACCTGGGGAGCTGGGTAGACAGAAAACTCCAGCTTGGACTTCTTTCCGTAGTCGACGGAGAGACGCTCCATCAGCAGGGAGGTGAAACCAGAACCGGTTCCTCCACCAAAGCTGTGGAAAATCAGAAAGCCCTGCAGGCCTGTGCACTGGTCAGCCTGAGGACAAATGAAAGACATGGAAAACTGGATGTTACCAGAGTACATTCCATTGTACTATAGAGCGAAGAAAACTCCCATGTAAATGTTCTCTTCCACATTCAACATTTTGCAATCTCCCCGTCTGAATTTACCCACCAGTTTACGGATCCTGTCCAGAACCAGGTCGATGATCTCTTTGCCAATGGTGTAGTGTCCTCTGGCGTAGTTGTTTGCAGCATCTTCCTTCCCAGTGATCAGCTGTTCAGGGGTGAAACAGCTGGCGGTAGGTCCCAGAGCGAACCTCATCTGGAAAACACAAATTTACAGAATGAGCATTTTAAAAGGTAGTTTTCAAAATTAATCACAAATAGTCAACCTTACCAATAACAGAGGGCTCCAGGTCAACAAAAACGGCTCTGGGGACACGCTTCCCTGCTCCGGTCTCACTGAAGAAGGTGTTGAAGGAGTCGTCTCCTCCTCCAACGGGCTTGTCACTGGGCATCTGCCCGTCCGGCTGGATGCCATGCTCCAGGCAGTAGAGCTCCCAGCAGGCGTTGCCGATCTGGACACCGGCTTGACCGACGTGCACCGAGATACATTCACGCTGAGGGGAAGAAAATATCCTGCTCAAAAAAATAAAGGGAACACTCAAACAACACAATATAACTTAGAGTAAATCAAACTTCTGTGAAATCAAACTGTCCACTTAGAAAGCAACAATATCACCTGCTGTTGTGAAAATGGAATAGACAACAGGTGGAAATTATTCATATTTATTTCATTCAGACCTAGGATGTGTTATTTGAGAGTTCCCTTTATTACTTTAGTTCTTGTAAAAAGTGTCTTTTCTGAAGAAAGCCACGTGTCTCCGATTATAGTCAACAGCTTGAAGGTCATAAGTCACATTGTGTGCACACTGCAACTCGCTTATGGGGAAAAAAAAAAAAAAGTCAAAACACGTTCTTTTATGAGGAATTAAAAACCAGAACAGGAAGACTGTGATCACTTGGGGCATTAGGCAAAGAATCACACCCCTAAGAGATAAATGTCTTTTTTCTGTTCACATTAGAGTTGGGTGATGGAACAGCGAACAGCACAGCTGCAACGGATTAAATGGGTCAATATGAAAATTCGGCAACACAAGCTGCCAGTTCAACCATGAACAGCAGCGAAGCCGAGAGCATTAACCTTTTGTCACAAAAGACAGACTGTGGTTTCAAAAGAGGCCCAGCAGGCCTCTTCAAAAAGGCGCTGAAACAGAGGAATGCGTCACGCTCTCCGACATGAGGCCAAACAACAGCCGGAAACACGCCCAAGACTCAACTTACATTTCGGCTGAGAGGCCTGGCCACTTTCGATAAAATAAATTAATATCCTCCCTTCTGAAAGATATGTCCAAATACATAAAACCATAAACAACCTTAAATAAGTAAATACCAAAATTACCTGATGCAACCATTGTTTAAGCTCAAATGACTCAAAAAACCACCACTATTAAAATAAATTTAAAAAACAGACTGATGCATTTATAGTTTCATACTCACCATGTTTCCACAAAAACTGAAATTCTAGGATAAGGACAAAGAACAAACGTAGTTTTCTCTCACGGAAAGACTGTTAAGAGTCTGTTGCAAGAGAGGAAACTGATAAAGAGAAGAAAGAAAGGCGGCGCCTATATACCGGCTTATCGAGGCAGGGCTTAATCTTATGGTTGGATGTCACATGACACGTATTCCTATTGGTTGAGATCAAATTAAATTGGCAGATAATGTTACGACACAGCACGAGGCCTCGAAAAACCAGCGCCTGTTCTGAGTTAAGTTGCGTCTGTATTAATTAAGGCTGCTGTCGTCATTTTAATTAATCATTTTTTGAAAGCATATTATTGCTTCGTTTAATTGGATGCTGGCTAATCACTAACATCATAAACGTTTTAAGCATCAGTTTACAAAAGACAATGACGTCTTATTAAAGAAATCTTAGTTATAAATGTCATGGAGGTAAATGTAGTCTTATCAATGTACACTGTCACAACAACACAATAACACGGTTTTACTCAGTGAAATAGGACAGCCTTGCGTTGTTTTCTGCGTTTTTAAAGATGCCCCTCACAATATGGCGCCGACGTTGACGTAAGGTCGCACATTCGCGCTCCAGTTCTCTGTGCCAGCGATTAGCCAACGGCCATAACACGAAACTGTGCTGTAACTTCTTATAACAGTGACGCATTACGGCTGTTGAACCCCGAAGGTGAAAAACACAGACACAAGTTTAAACTTATTTTAGATCAGGCGGACTTCCTGGTTTTTGAGCGAGATCACGTTGTGTCGTCACATTATCTGATTTAATTTTAACCAATAAGAATGGGTGTCACAAGGCATCCAACCAATGGGATTAAACCGTGCCTTTCAAACGGGAAGCCGTTATAAAGAGTGCGACCTCGCTTCCTGCTGCTTTTGCTCAAGGTTTTTCTATGGGAGAAACTAGTTTTTCTCCTCTTTTCTCATCCCAGCACTTTAGATTTCGTTCATAAAGATGGTTAGTGAGAATCTGTAGCTTATTGACTTAGTTGGACAAATTGTTTGTCTCTGCATCCCCAGAGGTACAACCAAACATAGAGGAGTACTGTTGTTTTTATGTTAATCTGAACAATTTCCAGTGAAATGTAAATATTTTGAAACACTAAAAATCTTTAGAGCAAAGCCAGACAAAACCCAGTAAAACTAAACATGGAAGAAATGACAAATATGTTCATTTTGTAGTGTCTTTTAAACTAGTTCTTCTAACTCTTATGTATTCAAACATTCCACAACTTGAAGTCAAAAAATTGTTTATACACAGATTTTAGATTGCAAAAGGCACACATAAAAAGTTTCACTATTTTGCTGCCAAGAGAACTTTCAGACCATTTCTGTTCCTTTTAATACTGATTGAATAAAAGAAAACAATAAGGTCTAGTTTTTATTAAGTCAGATTTTCATTAGGAGTCAAGTAGAGGAAGGGAATTAAAAAGCTATGTAGATTATGGAATATTTAGCATTGCTATCCAAAACTATAGTGTGTTTTGTCTTGTTTTTACTGTACTTCATCCTGAATTCATTTAGTTTCTCTTGCATGTCTCAAAAGGATTTCTAGTTCATCATGAAGCACTTTTACTTAAAAATAATTTACATATTCCCTCCAGATCTAAACACAGAATTGTTGTAACTTAGAATCAAGATCAGCTTTATTCATCAAGTTTGTGCAGAAACAAAATTTGACTTTGGTTCCTTTTTACCGTGAATGAAAACACAGAACTATGGGAAATCTCTCTCTAAGTCTTTTCTTCTCTGCCTTCGTCAGAGGTAGTAGTCTTCCTCCTCGATGTCTCCGTGCGTGTCCTGGAAGCCCAGCGCCTGGATGTCGTGGGTGATGTCAGTGATGCGTCGGTTAAATTCTTGAGACCCTGTTGCTAAAGAGCGTTTGTCGTACCTACTGAGAGAGGAATGGCTGTTATCTTGCTGACAGGTTTTTGTATAGATAGAAGAACTAAATCAAATCAAATGCAGGATCTGAACAAAAAAAAAAAAAAACAGGCCAGCAGAATTTAAGTCAAATGTCACACTTTTTCTTTCCACTGAATTTTCTCTTATAATAAGTTTGAATACAGCTCTGTTTTAGCAATGTTTTGTTGAAGCTTATAATTCTGACTGACTGTCAACACAACAGTCTTCTCTAAGTTGTTTAGGTCAGTTTCAGTATTAAAAATGTTTTGTCATCTTATAATTTTTGTTATAGAGAAACCACAATTTGTGTTTTCATTTGTTATAATCATCAAACTAGACAGAAATAAGCTCTTAAAATAGATCACTTTTTGTGTGATGAATCAATCATGAAGTGAATTATTGAAAATAAACTTTTCACGTCCGTTTCCACGTATCCTCTCATGGCCGTGGCTGAGGTGTTGCTCATGCTGCGTTTAATACGTCCAAAGCTGTCGGTTAAAATCCCGCCTTCTCGGATCCCGATGCTTTCAAGGAACTCCTCGAACACGCCGACGTCTTTGTCTGGAATAAACGGCCGCATGCCTGACAAAAAAACAAAACAAAGGATGAACATGTTAATGAGCCCAAATGAAACAAACCAGGATTCCAAGACAGGAACTGAAACTTTTCTGAAAAACAGACTTTCCCAAAACAATGTTGTATTTCCAATTAAGACATTAAAATGTTCAACAAATCACTCTTGGATAACAAAATGTGGAAGAAAATAATCTACATTACAATTGTTTTTCTCTCTGCTTTCCTTTGTTTACTTTTTTAGTAGCATCTTAACTGAAATATTTACATATTTTGCTTTGAAAAAGTCCTTCTGTGAATCTGCACATGGTTTTAGATATTAAATTTGAGGTTTCAGGACTTAATTCGCCTCTAGCTGTTTTAACCACAGAGTGCTTTAGATGTCAGCATGATAAATATTAAATTATTCAAGTTGGGCTTCAATTCCGGTTTATTTTTAAAATGATACATCATAAGTTGAAAACAGCCAGAGGTTATATATTCGAAACTGTTTGCTAGTGCTAATGTATGCAATTATCAAACCAGACATGCAACTGAAGGTGGACCGACTCTTCCAAACGTTCACACAAATTCTGTGAAGATGTCGGCTTTATTTAGAGGTATGTCCACCTAAACTAAATATATATCAGAGGCACATCAGGAGAATGAATTTTGAACAACTTTAAGGATATATGAACAAGATAAACAACTATACTGATGATTCTTCTTAGCCCTATATTGTGTTATATTGACTGTGTATCTCATATATGTGATGCTTGGCATGTTGAACTGAATGTCCTTTTGTACAATATTTTTTGTTTTCGTATATTTTATTTGTTTTGCTTTATGGCCTCTACTTTGCATTTGTTTATTTTGTAGTTACTTATATTTTGAATTTATGGAATCTACATACATATTTTTATTTTTGCAGTTACTTTTATTCTGTCTGTGCATGTTCAGTATTTTTAGTTGTATCTGGGCACCTCAGGAAGAGTAGACAGAGCGAACTGCAACCGATCCAAATAAAAGAAAACAATAACTCCGTCTCGGTCTCTCATCCAGCAGCAGGAATTTGCGCTCATCTCCGTACAGCTGCAGCAGCTCAGAGCAGAAGTGGTCGATGTTTGAACCCAGCCTGTATTCTCTCAGCAGGACTGCAAACTGCTGCAGCTCCAGAGGATTCAGCTTGTTCCTCAGCTGCACACACACAAAAACACACACAGAGGTTTATTTACTTTATATGCTGGAGATTCAGTTTCCTTCCATGGTTTCTGTTTTTTCGTCTTTCAAAACGTATTGGAGCCAAACCCGTTCCGCCTCGCTTTATGTTCTACTTGTGAAAATTGTGATTGTTGAAAACACTCACTGTGATCATGTACTCCTGCATCAGCAGCAGGGCGGGGTCGCTGTCTGCTCCGTCACTGGCTGATGCCAGGCTGCGATGGGAGTCCTGCAGCGAGATGGACGAGCTCTCACTGTACGTCTCACTGTAGTAGAGCTCAAAAGCCTCCTGGGAGCCGTCACTTACAGAGACAGGAGGACAATGGCTTCTTAGAGGATTGCAGCAATATTTTAAAAGATATAAACACACAGAAAGCAGTCATAGTTATTGTTCCACAGAGAAGTTTATTGCAGATGTGGCACCTCATGTAAAAATTAAATGTATAAGATCCGATAGTGGAACTGAATTTATGTCCAGAGAGTTCCAATCATTGCTTAGTCAAAATGCCATTAGACATGAAACTTCAGCCCCTTATTCTCCCCATCAGAATGGGACAGCTGAGAGAACATGGAGAAATGGCAAGATGCATGCTAATTGAGAGTAATCTGCCTAAAGATTTATGGACATATGCAGTTCAGACGGCTGCTATTATCCGTAATAGATGTTACAACAGACGTGTTGAGCAGACTCCATATTACATGTTAACTGGAAAGAAACCTGACCTTTCAAAAATGAGAACTTTTGGATCTGAATGTTATGCATATAAATATGACAAGAAAAAGTTGGATCCACGTTGTGAAATGGGATTTTTGTTGGTTATGACAAAAACAGTCCTGCATATCTCATCTTTTATCCAAATACAGGCGAGTACTTAAGAACAGGCTGGTAAAGTTTACCACAAAAAGTACCTATGAATGTGACACTCAGACTGACGATGACATAAATGAGAATATTTTACTCAAGAAGAAAGTTGAAAGTGTACAATTGAAACCAGATTTGAGAACAGTTATCTCACAAGAGGTGAAAACTGAGTCTTGTGATAAAGATGAGAACTTAGATCAAAGTGGAGGTAACCCTGGTGTACGTTATCCTAAGAGAGACAGGAGACCTCCTAAGTATTACAGATCAGGATTATGAAATGAAATGTGAGGATGATCAAGCACACATGAACATTGACTATTGTTATAGGCTTGCATGTGATGTGCCTAAGACAGTGGAAGAAGCTATGAGATCACCACAATCACAACTATGGGCTAAAGCTATGAAGGGTGAAATGGATTCTTTGATAGAGAATAATACTTACATCCTAACTTCATTACCTGAAGGTAAGCAAGCAGTGGGGGGTAGATGGGTATTTAATATTAAAGAAAATCCTGTGGAGACACTTTATAAGGCTAGATATGTAGCAAAAGGCTATAGTCAGGTTGCTGGTATTGATTATAATGAGACTTTTTCTCTGATATGACATCTGTGCGTGTTCTGATGCAGCTTGCTGCTCAATATGATTTGGAATTGCACCAAATGGATGTCAAAACGGCATATTTACACGCCCCTATCGATTGTGAGATATTTTTAGAACAACCCGAAGGATTTGAGGTGGTAACAGAGACAGGAGAAAAATTAGTCTGTAAGCTTAACAAGTCACTTTATGGTCTGAAACAGTCAGGACGAAATTGGAATAAAATGTTACATGATTTCCTTATTGAAATGACTTTGTGCAGAACCCTGCTGACTATTGTGTTTACAGTAAAGAAAATGAACATGAGAGAGTGATCTTGATTATTTGGGTGATGACCTTATTATTGCAGCTAGTAATGATCAAATACTCAAAAGTGTGAAGGAAATGTTGGCTGCTAAGTTTAAAATTAAAGATCTTGGGAAACTGAAATATTTTCTAGGGATTGATTTTACACAGAACCACGGTCAAGTAAAAATGAACCAGAAAAGATGCATTATAAAATATTGGAGAGGTTTGGCATGACTAACTACAAACCAAGGTCAACCCCCTGTGAAAATAAAATGAAGTTTGACAGTGAAGGTCAACCTGCTGATCATAAAAGATATCGTGAAGTAGTGGGAAGTTTGATCTATGTAATGATGAGCACTAGACCAGATTTGAGTTTTATTGTCAGTAAGTTGTCACAATACTTGTCTGAACCAAGAGAACAACATTGGGTTGAAGCAAAGGCATGTATTGAGGTATTTGAAATGTACACTAAATCAGGAATTATGCTTCAAGAAAAATGAACTAAATCTTAAACTTGTGGCATTCTGTGATGGACTGGGCAGGAGACCAGAAGGACAGACGAGTATGACTGGTTACTGTTTTAGTCTATCTGAAACTGGACCCATTATTTCCTGGAACCAAGAAAAGCCAGAAGGTTAAACAGCTGGAAACGGGTGAGTGGTGTATGAGGTTAGGATGTGCCTGATGGTTTAAAGACCGAATAAAAATGAAAACGTACTCACAGAGGAAGAAGCAGCAGAACAAAGTTAGACGAACGCTCATGGTGGAGCTGACACTCTGCTGGCCTCTCTTCTGTTTCATCGCTTCGGTTTCTCACCTGCAGATAACATCTTCTCTCAACGGAAAGGGGTCAGACGCTTATGAAAAATATCATTAAAAAGAAAATGATGACAGGAACAGACCAACTGCATTGAAGCCTTCAGCTGCAGAGAGAAAATAGGATGGGTTCGTTTTAAAATCATAAATAAATTTGGAAAAATTACTACAGGCTGATCTTTACAAACTTAAACCGTCCTTCTAAGTGAAAGCATGACAACAAACATTAAAGATCCAATAAACAGCAGAAAATGGTTTCCCAGTACTAATAATTCTACAGCTCAGAGTGAGGAGATTAAAATCTTCCAAATCATTTATTATTCTGAAATTTGGCAAATATAAAAAGCTCTGATCATCCAACCTGACCCAGAAGAGAAAACGTTCACTTTGATTCAATGTCAGGGAACCAAAATGAAGTCTTGTTTTTATAACACAAACAAATTTGAACAAGTTGCACAAAAGTCCAACGAAGGAAATTCTTTAAAATATTCTTACATGTACAGAATTTCTGGTACAAAATACTTTTTCATATTCAGCTGATAATCCCACCACACGAAGTCCTCAGTTTGTGACAGTTATCCATGCAGCAGATCAAAACAAGGAAGTTTGTGTCCAGACCAGGAGGCACGTAGAGGTTTCTCCAGACGCAACAAAAAAACAGATTGGAGAAAAAAAACAAAGAGCAGACGAGAGAATGACGTAAAGTTCATTCAATTACCTTCCAATCATCTGACAAAAAAATCTTTGTCCGTCACGACACACCAACTAAAACAAAAGTTTGAGGAATTCAAAAAACATTTTTTGTATTTACATGGCAATTTCATAGAAACAATTTAAACAAAAAGCATTCTTGAGAAGAAACCTTTGATTTGACTGCAGCAGGCATGTAGTTTTTATAAAGTCTAACAGAGAAAAGATGTGTACTGTAATATCCCATGTTTTTACTGTATAGTTTAAAGAATCATGGTTCAAAAGTAAAACGGCTGAACTTTAAAGCTTTACATTTAAATCTGAACACTTTCTCCATCCTTGTGGACATTACTGTGTTTGATTAAATGTGACTTTAGATTAAATCTTAGTCCACAGACATCACAGCCAAACAGTTTGGCTCCTGTGTGAAGGGTCATGTGTTTGTTTAAATGTGCTTTCTGGTTAAACCTTTGCCCACAAACATCACAACCAAAAGGTTTGTCACCTGTGTGGATTCTCAAGTGTCTTTTTAAAGCCGACTTCTGGTTGAATCGCCGTCCACACACATCACAGTCAAATGATTTTACCTCACAGTGGATCTTCATGTGTTTCTTTAAAGCAGACTTTTGTATTAAACGTTGTCCACAAATGTCACAAGCGAATGGTTTCTCTCCTGTGTGGGTTAGCTTGTGCAAGTTTAAATGTGACTTTAGGTTGAATCTCTGATCACAAACACTACATCTATATGGTTTCTCCCCTGTATGGATTCTTACATGTTTGCTTAAATATGACTTCAAGTTGAATCTTGTCCACAGAAATCACAGCCATACGGTTTCCCTCCAGAGTGGATTTTGGCATGCTTGTTTAAGTTGGATTTTTGGTTAAATCTTTGTCCACAAACATCACAACCAAACGGTTTCTCTCCTGTATGAATCCTCATGTGTATGTGTAAGTATGACTTCAGGTTAAATCTTTGTCCGCAGACATCACAACCGAAGGGTTTTCCTCCCGTGTGGATTCTCATGTGCTTGTTTAAATTAGAATTCTGGTTGAATCTTTGTCCACAAACATCACAGCCAAAAGGTTTCTCTCCCGTGTGGATTCTCTTGTGCCTGCTTAGATGATTTTTCCAACTGAAACTTTTACCACAGTCATCACAGGTGAATAATTTGACATCAGTCTGGGCTTTCCCTGGACTTAGTGTGTTGACATTTTTCTTCCCTTTAGTACTTTTACCTTTAGCTGCCCGGCGTGAAGACCTTCCTGTTGAATGATGGGTCATGTGTCTCTGCAGAGAGCGCTCGTTAACAAACCGTTTACGGCACTCGCAGCAGCTCAGTGAATTGACGGCGTTTTCTCCTGACTCAGGAGCTCTGCCCTCCTTCCAGTCAGTCCCACTGTCCTCAGTTCCAGATCCAGAGTCTGACATGCGCTGATGCTGGAGGCAGGATGGCTCCCTTCACTTTCACCACCAACATCATCACTGTCACCATCATCATCATAATCATAGTCACTATCACCATCATCCTCCTCTTCATCCTCACTGACCTCTGTCTCTGAAGAGCTGGAAGAGTCTCCATCAGCGTGTTGATCTGGGTTCCTGCTGGACTCTGCTGCTCCATCGTCCTCTTCTTCATTTTCTGCTTTCATCTGGTCAGCTGAGCTGCTGGTTGGAAGATCTCCATCTTCTGGCTGATGAAGGTGTGAGAACAGAGGTTTCTCTTCATGCTCACTTTTCACAAGAACGACATTTAGTGGAAATGGATCGGTCTGCTTCTCACTGAGGCGCTCTCCCTCCAGGCCGGTCCAAGGTTCTTCCTCTTCCTGCTTGATGTGAAGCAGCTTTGGATCCTGATGGTCCGCACCTGGATTCGTTTCTTCATGAGCGTCCTGACGAGAATGTAGCTCTGGGTTCCTGCTGGATTCCTCTTCGTCGGTCTCCATCTTGTCATCGGAGCTGCTGGCTGGAAGACAGCGGCCTTCTGCTCGTTTCTGATGAAGCAGTGAGAACTGAGATTCATCATCTGGTTCCTCCTTGATGCGGAGAGCTTCTGGTTTCTGCTGGTCCACGGCAGGAATCGGCTCTTCAACAGCCTCTTCTAGAGCAACCACAATCTGGGGAACATCTGCGAGCAACACCCAAACATGTTCATTACAGACAACTGCAAGTCATTTCAATTTATTGCAAGGTAATTAGTGTAGCTATGAGCCCTCTGGTTTTCAGAAGATAGGACAGGAGTACTTTTGAGGTTAAAGCAAAGTAAACCTGGTTGGAGAACATTTTGTTAGTCTCAGCTGCGTCTATGAGAGAGACTGAAGGCAACAAGTCTGCATGGAGCCAACACGGGAGTGAGAAAATGAAAAACGGAATGAGTTGTTTTGAGTTAGTTTTCCCACTGCACTAAATGAATCCTCCCTCGTCTCCAGGTTTCTCTAACGGACCGGTTCTACCGGATACGGACGGCATGTGAAGAACAGTCTGATTACGGGGATAAATCTGTGGTTCAACCTTTAATGGTTTGACAATATGTTCTGTAAATGACCTCATTTTGTTGGACATCCTCCATATAAAATCCAAACCACTGCCAGATTATTGATCCAGCTGTTTCTCTCCAGAACTAAACCAGTTCATCTGATTCCTCTTCAGTTTCCGTGTTTGTTTTCTCTGCGCAGCCTGATTGGTAGAAAATGTTCAGGTTGAGGGGAGGGACTAGTGATGCATTCGAGGGTGTTGGATAAACCATACTCGCAGTGAATTTTTACTTTGAACAACAATTTATACTCGATGGTTGCGATATCACCATTTTAACTATTGTAAATTTAAAATATCGCGATACATCGAGTATACTTGATACATCGCCCAGCTCTACTTCAAGGTCCACGAGAATTTGGTGTCCAATTTTTGATTTGAAAATTATTACACACTGAGGGGGAAGAAAGCACTTTTATCCTTAAAATGAATCATAATCAATAACAGAATTCAGTCTTGCCAAACGAGGTGCAGCTTTCCTAATTTAATAAATTAACAGTTTTCATCAGGAATGTAAAAAGCAGCTGTGATTGTTTGATACTCAATTACAATTTTAAATCAATTTCAGGCTCTGAAATTAATCAAAATGATTGGATTTTAATAAACAATCATGTTAACAAAATAAGCAACATTTTTAATTAGAAACAATTTGACGCTCAGTTATTATATGAGTCAACATTTCAGCTGAACAACAAAGATATTGATAGTTTTTAATCTGTTCTTCAACCACCACATTGGAGCAAAGTGTTTTTCTATCTGTTCATCTTTCCTGAGATTCTCTGATCATTCATGGAGATTCTTTAGAAATGCAGATGCTGAAATTAGAGTTCGCTGCTACATGTTTATGCAGCAGAAATTCATTCTGGCTCTACATTTCTGCATGCTTAAAGTCATGAGACATGCAATAAATTGCGCTAAAATTTTTAATGCGCTAAAATCCATGTAATTAGTTGAAATGATAAACATTGACACAAACATTTGCTTCTTACTCTGGCCCCTGCTGGCTTGTGACTTTAATGGCTGCTGTGTGCTGGAAGCTGGAGCAACGAACAGCACGCCGTACTGACGAGGGTCGTTCCGCATCACGGCAGTCAGGCGAGGGAAACCTCGCCCCGACGCCACCCGCTTCCCTACAATGGCCCTCTGAATCTGTGGGATGTAGCCGTAGTCCTTTTCCTCCTTTATAGCATACAAACACCACTTTCTGGATTTCCTGTTGTAAAGTTTGCGATATCTGAAATTAGATGTTAGACAAACAATAAAAAAACAGATGAAAATATTTATATCCAAAGTCCTTCTTGATAGAAATACAAACAAATAAAAGCTAGTACATACTCTACGGAGCCGTCGGGTTTTCTCTTGGGCGGTCTGTGAACATGGTGGTTGTAATCCAGGCCAGCCAGGAAGATCCGGGCTTCATAGACCGGACGGCTGAAACTGAAGTGTTTGCTGGCATACATCAGGATGTGGTTATGGAAAGATTCCAGCTCAGCCGTTGACCTAAAATTTCAATGAGACCTGTCAGGTCATAAAGCTTTTTCTCAAGCACAATATATGCAGAAACACAGAATAATTAAACATATTTATACCTAAAGTGCAAGTACTTGTGTACTTCCCTAAGCCAGCGTTGATTCAGAATAATTTCCGATAACGCCTGATGGGCCACGGAGCCGTTTTCTATCCAGGCCTGGTCTCTGCGGTCCCCGGACGGACGCTGACCGGCGTGCAGGGGCCACTCGTGCTCTCCTGTCACATGGTTAAGAAGGCCAGCCCACATGTCCTAAAAATAAACGGTTTAAACTTACATTCTTCAAATATACAATTGGTATAGCAGTTGCATTTTTTCCACAATGTTTCACTCTTGATATTACGGTTATCAATGTGCAGTAATGAATACCAACCTCTAAACTGGTTTAACACAGCAACAACAACTCAATGCTGAAGTGCTAGAAAAACTACATGCAGGATGTTTGATTGCGACTCACATAAAAGTTTTCATAGTTTTCAGTCATCTTGCAGCAGAACCAGAAGTAGTTGCAGATATCTTTGATCCACTGCAGCAGGACGGAACAACCCTTTTGCTGCCCTGCCTTAATCAACACAAATACAGAAATAACAAAATGAAATATTGGAGAAAAATATTTTTGATTTCTTAATTTTAATCACAGGAAAACTTACTGCATGCATCTTCTTGGCCAAGTTTTTGGAACCATGCCACATGTCCAGAGTGTGCAGCACGCCGCTGTCCTTATACTGTCCTTTGACTGGGTCTGTCAGACAACAGCATAACAGGAATGCAATTAGGAATACTGTTGCATTGACAAACAAAGTCCTGAGAGGTCAAGGATTTACCATAATTTCCAGATTAGTGAGCAGAACGAATATGAGATAAACCCACAAGCTTTGAAAATAAAGTTGTATGAATACTGGCCGCGCTCGTCTGTGAGCCACATCACAATGAGATATTGCTGTTGAATAATTTGAAGTTCATGCAAAAGCTTGGTCTCTTCATGAAGATGACAAGCTAAATTTTATACCCCTTATTGGCCCCCGCCCTCCTAACAGTGCCAGAGATCTTCGGTACAAACACCGTCTACAAGCTTCCCTAAACCCTCACAGTATAAAACTGTAGAGCTTCACACTGTAAAATCCGACAGTATGAATATTTAATATAAATCTAGTTTTATAGCCGACACATTGACCGGTTGGGAGGGGGGCTCCAAACATTCATCTCTCTCTGCAGTTTATGCTGTTCATCACGCAGCAGTCCAGCCTTTGCACCAATCCAATGTTCAAAGCGTGTGAAAAACATGGCGGGTTGTGGTCTGGACTTACCGAATAGAGCGGATATCTGTGACCGTGAATCTGTGCAAACTTCACTGAGTTTAACCTCTTGGTGGATTTGGTCAAAGCTCCTGATGAAGCCTTCTCTCTCCATCATCACAGAACTCCTCTGCGTCTCTCCCTTGTCAATGTTGACTATTGACAGGATTTCTTTGGTTTCGTTCTCCATGATGGTGTAGGTGCAGAACTGAGCAGAGGACCCAAGACTGTCCATATGACCATCAGCTTCAAAAAGTACCAAATGCACAAGAAAAAGATTTATCATCAAAGCAGGAGAAACAGAGTTGCATGTGAACATTGGCTGAGGTTCTAAAACTGACCATCAGACTCACCAAGTACAACAACATTTTCCTTTGATCCCAGCCTGGAAACCACGTCGGCTCTGCTGTTGTCCCAAAAGTCCTTGATGGTTCCAACACAGAATGTGTCCTGTATTTTCAAGAAGACTGACCAATCCACTATTCCCATCTTCATAAACTTGAAAAGCAACGCAACTTTGGCATAGTTGTTGCCCGACAGGATGATATTTGATGCCAAAAGGAAGTCGCCAGCTTGCATCCCGTCTTTGAAAGTGGGCTGGGAGTTCCACTCCCACACACAGTGATTGTTAGAACACATCTGGAAAACAGGTTTAAAATTATTTAGCATTACTTTCTAACCATCACAACAATAATACAACAGAGAGCAGCGTTTCCTCAGGGGCAACTCCAGGCCTGCAGGGCCTCCTGCAGCTTTTTGATGCGTCTCTACTTCAACACACCTGAGTCAAATAATGAGGTCATCAGCAGGACTCTGACTGCACTTAGGAGTTGATTCAGCCACTGGATTGATCAGCTATTCTAGTGTGTTGGATCAGGGAGACATCTAAGCGCTGCAGGTCCAGGATGACCCACCCTGCTGTCGGGGGACATTTCAGGGTTTGTAGATTAAAAGCCCCAGATTATTTAAGGTGATTATCAAACGGTCAATACTTTCATATAAAACTGATTTTATCCACTGATCTTTTTTCTACCAACGTTTGTTCAACAGTAGTCTTCCTGCTATTGTCAACTCTGAAACTTTTTGTTTAGACACAAATTGGTTTCCGGCTAAAATCAGATATGCTTTTTAAATATCTGTGATTGGCCAGAAAACTGCATTCGGTGCAGCCCTGCTTTCTGTCGCTGACAGCAGTCAGTCTGTAGAGCAATGGAGTAATGAGCATCAATTCAAATAAAATACATTTAACAGCTATTAAAGAAATACTTTAACATCTCTGGCATTGAGATTTTCTGCTCTGTTGTTTATTTAGAAATAGCATATCTCTAAGCATTAACATTTCAGTTATTTAGTAACTGTGATGTTACTTCAGTCATTTATTTAAGGATTTGTGATATTTAGTGATCTGAATATTATGTGTGTTCACCCGTGTGAACACAGCTGACTCAGCGCCTGTGAGAGTCACAGACACGGAGCATCAGCTCTTGTCAAATTTGGTGTTAGTGCTTTGAAAGCTCACAATCTGCTGGCGCTAGCTGAGCTAGCAGTGTGGCGTCATCGTAAAGCACGGCTGTAGACCGATGTTGAGAGCGCGCTACCAGTAGATGAATGACTGCGTACAGATGGAGAAAGCTCACAGCAGATAGTGTGCTGTGACAAAGTCAATATTAACTGTGAACACCTGCAATTCCTACATGCTGTGATCTTCTTGGTGCGGCAGGCGCTCTCGTTGGCTTGGCGCTCTCTTGGGGAAACACTGGAGAAGTAAATGAACATACCCACTGCATGATGACAGCTGTTCCTCTGGACTTCATCTGGACTTGGAATGGCCCAGTTGCCTGGCACTCCACCAGTGTCACTGGGTCTTTAGCCGAACACACCGGATGGGCAGCAGCAGGTACTGAGCGAGTTGCATCAGACAGACATGATAGGTGATGGCTGCCGGATGATTAGTGATGTCATCCTCACTCTGCGCTGGTTGGGACTCGGCTGACTCTGTGCCCAGGCTGTCATGAACTGTGTCCTCCATGCCGACGGCCGGAAGAGCATCCAGAGATAACTTGTGTTCACCGGCACCAGCAGAGCTGATCGAATACAAAACAACAATGAGAAAGGAAAATTATATTCATAAAAAATGACTTTTAGTTGGGAACTTACCGAACGCATAAAGGGGGGATGTAATCCTCCTCCTCCTCCTCCTCATCAGTGTCGACAAGGTAACTGCCTTCCCCATGCTGTTCTCTTCCTCTGAAGCTGAAACGTCTCCAGTGTCGTCCAGCAGAGGCCGGGTCCAGTCCCCAGCCCAGTCGATGCTACCAACCACAAATATTAGTCTGACAGCAAAAGGTCATTTCAGGTTAAATATGTATAAATGCTACTCACACAGAGTTCTGAATGTGATTGAAGTCACTTTCACTGATGTCCTCATGAGTGTCCAGCGATAAAATGCTGACAGCAAGAGCATGTAGAAATAAAAACACTCTGCCTGAGTTTTGTCTCTCTGTCTTTAGTAACTTGAAGAAATTCTGTGCTTCATCTTCCAACTTTACCTACATTATGTCAATTTTTTCCCTTCAATGCAGAGCAAATTCTGAACATCTAAATTTACAAAGAAATATCCACAACTTTGCTTATAATTTCTTTTGAATTGAAGTCTACTGCGCCAAGGCAAACGTTATTGTACATCTCTGTAATTGTATGCAGGAACTAAGATCATAAAATCTAGATTTGCAAGATCTAACCAAATAATTCACAATCCTGCAGAGAATTTCAGGTCCTGATCTCTGTAGAAAATAAAATACTTGAGGTTAAACCATCAACAGCTTTTTCTTCACACATTAAAATCTTCTTTAAATGATTGGCTCCATTTTCAATTCGCTTTTATAATTGTAGAATAGATTACAATCTGTCACCATGACTACTGCTCAGGCTGAACCATCGTGCTGAACTTGGTAATATAAGCTCCCAATATTTTCTCACCGATCTGATGATGCGACAGAACCAGGCAGGACGGTCTGATGGCTGGTTGCGTTTGATGAAGTCAAAGCTCCAACTTGACATCTACAATAAACCACAGCATGCAAAATTTGTCAGGCCAGTTTGGAAGCAGCTATAGACCTCGCTATATACTCGCCTTACAGAAAGATGATCTACAGACAGGAGAGAATAATGTCAAACATGAGCACATTATCAGAAGAAAAAAACTCACAAACACTAAACGTTTGAATTACAAACAGCCAACACAACAGGCTGGCGCTAATGTAAGCAGTTCTCTCATATTTTATTTGCTTTTTGTAAGTATTTCATTATATCACAATAATATACACAAATTAATTTCACTATTGACATCATTCTGATTCAAAAAAAATGTTGAGACAACTAAATAAAACTATGGCATAAATGGTGAGTGTGAAAGAGTTGGTAGTGATCGCTAACATTACTGCCAGGCTGCTAGCTAACAAGCTAACTGTTAGACTTAGCAACAAGCTACAGAGTGAAAAGAATGATGATGTAACGTCATAGTTGTGTCATTAAACAAAACAGCAAATCCAGCAGAGATACTTACTTGTCCAGCAGAAACGTGGCTAACTCTGCATCGGATTTGAAGCGTTTCAGGTAGAGTAGCTCCCTCCACCTCAGAAAAGCTGCTCCGATGTTTATCCTCGTTTTATTCCGGGCTCGGTCCAGTTCTTTCTTCTGCGCTTGCTTTTCATCTTTAGACTTCTTCCGCCTACCTCTCCTTGTTTTTTGAGCAGCTGCCGCCACTCGAGGAATTGGCAGTTTTCCTGCAACGTTAGGTTCCCTCTCCGCCATTAGCACAGCTGCAGCACACCAGCAGTCTTGAGCTCGAGTGACAGTAAAGGTTGCTGGGCAGCATGTACAGGAGCGTGATTGACACCCCTCCTGGCTCTTACTAGGGGTGTATTTCTGCAAATAGCAGCAAGATCACTGGGATGAGCCACAGAAGCTTGATATTTTTCATAGATCATTTGTCTCATATTGTAGTGTAGTTTTAACAGATTGCTGTTAAATTATTAACATGAATAGATCAACTGTTGTTCGAAAAGCTGTCTCAGCTAAACAGAAACTCAGAACCAGGCATAGAATCTACAGACATTAAGAGACAATATACAGAGTAGTGACGTCACTAGTGACTCAGGTGCGGCCATGTTGAAATGCGAAGTCGAAATTGCTTCCACATTCCCAGTGGAGAAAGTGATTTTTTCCAACTGGGAAATTTCCCAGTTCCAAGTGGAACTTGAACGCACCATAACGTTGAGCTGGTGCATTTCACATTTCACGGTTAAACGTTAGCCATTGAGTAAAAAAATCAAACTTTAACAGATTCTAGGTCTCCATCTAAGATTATTTAGCAGCTGGAGCAGAGGACAAGGGGCTGGCAGCTCTGCGACATGAGGAGAATCATTTCAGAAATCCTACTAAGATCATAGAAAACTGTAGCTGGAATCCAAGCAGCTGATATAATGAAGTAAAACATGCTAACCTAATCTGTCCATCCTAAAAGCAGCATCCATGTTTCTGTGTTCCTCTTGCTCTCCTACCTCTAGTCGCCGTTTGAGCTCCTTTCGCTACATCTCTGGTAGCGTTTCTGTCTCCAGTCCTTCATTCAACTGTCACTGAACGGCTGGGGTTCGGTTTTAATCTGATTAAATACACAAAAACCAAGAAAACACGACGGACAAAAACTATAGCCGCTATGTTAAAGAGAATTTGGCGTCTGCGCACTGGCGACGAGTGGCGGACCCCGGAAGTCCCGCCAGGATCTTCTGAGGAGTTGAATCCGCATGCGCATCAAGGACGTATGTCAAGAGTTACGCCATATTGTAAGTGGCATTTAGAATATTATACTTTTGTTACATATATATTTATAATGTTTTATTTTTTAAAGGATGAAAAACATTCAGCCATGTCAAATAGCATCAATATTTTTGTTTGCTTGTTTCACTCCACAGTTCAGTGGAATTCAGTTCAGTTTAATTCAAATATATAATTAATCCAAATGAAAATGAAATGTTGTAACTCACATTATCAATTTGTTCAAGGAGTTATAGATGCTAATGGCTATGGGTACTGGTGGGCAGAACAGTAGCAGCAGACAGTATCACAGCACTTCTGAAGATTCTTCTGGCCAAAAACACTCAACTATTGTATGAGAGTCTCCGAAGAGGATCTTCAGGGTTGTCTGTAATTTTATTGATTTCATGAAAAATCCTTTGCACCATCATCTCCACATATAATGGTCATCCTTAAGCAGAGTCAGTTGATACAGAAATAAAGATGGTGGGGCCATGCCAGAACAGCAAAGAGAAACGGTCCAATGTTTCTCAAATAAAATCTATTGCTACAATTAATCATGAATGCCGGCACCCTGCATGTTTTAGTCTCTCCTTGGTGGTAGTCACAACCTTTTTAGAATGTCAATGTTCTTCTTAAACTTCTGAGGAGCCACCATTTGACCCAGGTGCATTAAATCAGAGAGAGAACTAAAACATGCAGGATGCCGGCCCTCGAGGACCCACTTTGGGGACCCCTGCTATAAAGTGAAACATTCATGGTTCATAGAAAATCAAAGATATTACAGTTCTGTTGGTAGGAACTCTTTTACTGCTTGATTATTCCCCTCCTGTGTGAATTCTCATATGTCGGTTAAAATGGGATGTCTGGGTAAATGTTTCTCCACAAACAGCACAACCAAATGGTTTCTCTCCAGTGTGGATCCTGGTGTGTGCATTTAAATTAGACAACTGGCGAAACCGCTGACCACAGACATCACAACCAAAAGGTTTTTCTCCTGTGTGGATTCTCATGTGCGTTTTTAAGCTTCCCTTCAGGCTGAATTTTTTCCCACAGGCGAAACAACCAAATGGCTTCTCTCCTGTGTGGATCCTGATGTGTTTCTTTAAGGTCGACTTATCACTGAATCTTTGTCCACAGGAATCACAACCAAACGGTTTGTCTCCTGTGTGGATTCTCATGTGCCTGTTTAAACTTGTCTTGTCACCAAAGTGTTGTCCACAAACGTCACAACCTAAAGGTTTGTCCCCCGTGTGGACCCTTATGTGTTTGTTTAAATGGGACTTATCACTAAATCTTTGTTCACAAACATCACAACTGAACGGTTTCTCTCCTGTGTGAATCCTAGTGTGAATGTTTAAATGGGACTTTTGGCTGAATTTTCTGCCACACACGTCACAACCAAACGGCTTCTCTCCAGAGTGGATTCTCATGTGAACGTTTATGTTGTTTTTCCAGTTAAAACTTTTACCACAATCGTCACAGGTAAAACATTTAACCCCTGCCTGGATGTTCCTCAACGACTCAACAGTTTTCTTCTCTCTAACAATTTTCTTGCCAACCAAACAGCCTGCAGGTCTTGCTTTGGAAGTCTTGCTGTGAAGCGAGGACTTATTGAACTGTTGCCTGCACTCTGAGCAGCTCAGCGACTTGTTGGCGGCGTTTCCTCCTGACTCTGCAGCTCTAGTTTCCTTCCAGTCGTTCTCGCTGTCCTCAGTTTCAGAGCCAAAGTCTGGTGGGTGTTTCAGATGAGAACCAGGATGGTTCACATCCTCCTCCTCCTCCTCCTCTTCATCCCCACTGACCTCCGTCTCTGAAGAGCTGGAAGTGTCTGGGTTCCTGCTGGACTCTGCTCCTCCACTGTGCTCTCCATCCCTTTCTGCTTTCATCTGGCCAGCTGAGCTGCTGGTTGGAAGATCTCCAACTTCTGTCTGATGAAGCTGAGAGAACAGAGGTATATCTTCATCATCCTCACTCTTCATAAGAACTACAGTGAGTGGAAACCTGGTAGGATCCATCTCCTCCTTCACACTGAGCTCTTCATCCTCCATACTGCTCCAGACTTCCTCCTTCTTGATGTGGAGACGCTCTGCGTCCTGCTGGTCTCCACCAGGACTCTGCTCTTCATCAGCTTCTTCTTTAACAATCAGCTGCTCCTGAACACCTACAGAAAACACAGGAACAACGTAAAAAAGTTTAGTGAACAGAATTAAAAACTCAAGAACTAAACTAAGATTTCAAACTAAAACTGGCAACTGAGTAAATTTAAATTTCAAGACATTCATCAAAAAAATTCTGCTCTGAAGTGAGAGCATTAAACATTAGCTTCTAAAATAGTTAAAGGTTGGGCTGCAACTAATGATTATTTGAAAAATTGATTTTTCTATTTATTATTCTGACGATTAATTGAATAACAGAGTTGGGACATTTTGCAGATTTTAATTTAACTATTTAAGATGTTTTTATACATTGGAAATAGATTGAAATGCAAATAAAATTCTTAAATAACAAAATAAGCATTTTATTCCCTAGAATACAATAAAAACTTTCTTCTTCTAACATCAACAGGTGATCAGCACAAGAAATATGTTCTTTATTATCTTAAATGCAAAAATCAATATGTATACAAACATCTATAGAACGATAGATCAATGTATGTTTTAAGTATTTTTGTGAATCAAGGAGGTAAAAGTGTATATTATAAAAATATACTAATTAGTGTCATTTAGTTTCCTGTTCCATCGTTTTACACCACAACAGATTTTATGCCTTTGGTTCTGATGCATCATCATTTGGCAGTTCACTGTAAATTATGACAGATTAGATGTAAACTTCAGTTTTCCTGATGTGAGATACTGTTTACTGGACTCAGATGACCACATTTCCTCCAGCAGCAAAAAACAGATTCTACTGTAAATCATTGGCTGTTAAAACAGGAAGGAAACGTCCTTCTAAGAGACACATGGTCAAAATGTTCATTTCAATCCCCAAAACTGCTGAGGTTGGAAATAAACACGCATCCCGCTGAGCTGAGATACAAACAAAGACTAAAACTCAGCCAGCATCTGCAACAGCTGGAAAGAAAACAGACAAACCTGATCTGTGCGGCTGGACCAGGAGGCTGAGAGCGGCGTCCATGACTCTGTGCCAGTCCTCTCTTGCAGCATCCCGGCCCTGTTGGACCTGCAGTTGGACCTGCTGTCCCCACATCTCTGACTGTGACTCCTTGCAGGATCTGCTTTCACTGACTGCTCCAGAACCAGAACCAGAACCGAGTCAAGACTTCGGACGAGGATCCGACTGAGTCCCCTCTGCTGATGAGAAGCTGGAGTCAGCGCACTGGAGCCCACAGGCCGAAAAACCCGGAAGTCCCGCCTTGATCAATCACAATAGCGTTTAGCATATCCACCATGTTGTGAGTGGCATGTTCTCATTTAAACCAATTTGGCAATATTTAGAAACAGTTTTCCCATCTCTCCTTAAAATGATGTTCAACTAATTGCATTAAAAAGTAGAACAGAACAGAACAAACTAGAATAAAAGCTTTTTTAACTTATGCTCAGTGAGTGAAAACTTGATTCTCAGGCATCATAAAATACAATTTAAATCAACCCATAAACAAACAACAGAAAATATCAAGTAAAATTCACAATCTTCATCAGAACAAACTAAACCTCCGACAGTCTAAAAACAGAAACAATAATAATTTTTGGTGGATTATCACCATCAGTGATCTGAATTATATATTTATATTAATATTGAATTTTGCTTCCTGTTCTAAAGTAGAAAATGAAATAATTTAAATTCCTCTTGTGTTGTACCAAAGACCTAAAACCTAATGATTGGTCAACCCCTATACAGAACCACAGCAGCAGAGACTGGAGACTCATTGCTGAGAGGCCTGTAAAACATGGTCTGTAAAATATGTTCTGTAAAATATGTTCTGTAAAACATGGTCTGTAAAACATGTGCACATGTTCTGTAAAACATGTGCACATGGTTTGTAAAACATGGCCTGTAAAACATGGCCTGTAAAACATGGTCTGTAAAGCATGTGCACATGGTCTGTAAAACATGTGCACATGGTTTGTAAAGCATGTGCACATAGTTTGTAAAACATGTGCACATGGTTTGTAAAACATGTGCACATGGTCTGTAAAGCATGTGCACATAGTTTGTAAAACATGTGCACATGGTTTGTAAAACATGTGCACATGGTCTGTAAAGCATGTGCACATAGTTTGAAAACATGTGCACATGGTCTGTAAAGCATGTGCACATAGTTTGAAAACATGTGCACATGGTTTGTAAAACATGGCCTGTAAAACATGTGCACATGGTTTGTAAAACATGGCCTGTAAAACATGTGCACATGGTCTGTAAAGCATGTGCACATAGTTTGAAAACATGTGCACATGGTCTGTAAAGCATGTGCACATAGTTTGAAAACATGTGCACATGGTTTGTAAAACATGGCCTGTAAAACATGTGCACATGGTCTGTAAAGCATGTGCACATAGTTTGAAAACATGTGCACATGGTTTGTAAAACATGGCCTGTAAAACATGTGCACATGGTCTGTAAAGCATGTGCACATAGTTTGAAAACATGTGCACATGGTCTGTAAAACATGTGCACATGGTCTGTAAAACATGTGCACATGGTCTGTAAACTATGTGCACATGTTCACATAGTTTGTAAAACATGTGCACATGGTCTGTAAAACATGTGCACATGGCCTGTAAAACATGTGCACATGGTCTGTAAAACATGTGCACATGGTCTGTAAACTATGTGCACATAGTTTGTAAAACATGTGCACATGGTCTGTAAAACATGTGCACATGGTCTGTAAAACATGTGCACATGGTCTGGGCTTGTTTTTACAGACCATTTGCTCATCAAAGGAAAATTATGCTGCATGTTGAAACCATAAGTTATGGTTTTAAGCTCCTCTCACACTTCCTGCTTCTGCTCATCATAGATCATCTTTTGTCACCTGGTTTTAATTTACTTTTGTTTCTGAAACTGACCAGCCGCCTGCTGACCACAGGGATGTTCTGGAACCCGACCCGGTTCCTGACGGCCCAACAAACTGTTTGAACTTAGTGTCAAAGTTCATTCATCACCATCAGAGAGCTTGATGGTGGGTCTGTGTCTGTATGAATCATTTACATAAAAACACAAGAAGTGAAGAAAAATCTTGTTTTATTGTTATACTTGCAGCAGAAGCATTTAATTTTATTAGTCACATGATTTTACAAATTGCTAGAAAAAAAAACAAAATTACAGACTTATCATCTTGCACGAATAAAATCCTTCCAGTGGATTTGACTGAACCTGACTAAAGATTCAGAGACGGGAGGATCCGACCTCCAGCTTCCATCCACTGCACTAAAACATGGCAGGAATAAAAACAACAGAAAAAAGGAAAACCAGAAACAAATCTGAATCATTCCCAACAATTTAAATATCCAATAACAGAATAATGTGCAACAATAATCTGACAGAGAGAAAAATGCAGTAAGATTGGCAGGTCAGCTTCCTCCTTCAACTTCCTTCTCGCCCTGGATGAAGGCGGATGCTGCTTTCCTCTGCTCCCTCCCTGCCCTATTGCTCTGTTTTATCTTAGTACTTAGAAACAGTTTATTACTCATTTATTACTCATTACTTTTACAAAGTCCAGAGGATGCTAACTCACACTCATCCAGCGACCCAGAACGGGGATCAGAACAAACTTAGTATCCAGAAAAATTATCTTAGCAATAACTTTATTCTCCTGTTCTTCCAAACCAGCAAAGGAATCAGACCAGTGGATTCTTATTTACACTTATACTAACCTATCAACCCTGAATAGGAGAATCTAGTTCATTAACTTTGGATCAACATTATGAGCTTTTTCTTCTTTTGCTCTTTCCTTTGGTTTATTTTGTTTCCTTTTAATTCCAGTAAAGCACTTTGTATTGCCTTCTTGCTGAAAATATATAAATAAAATTACCTTTTACCTTTAAAAAGTAATTTCAAAATGACAGAAGTAGAAAAAAAGCTGCCACAAGGTGGCAGTACAGCTAAAGCAGAAGAAGCTGAGAGAAAGTTGAATTGTTTTAAATGCATTATGTTGCTTGTCTTAAATTTTTGAATCACTATAATTTTTATAGATTGATTTGAATTGAAAATGTGGAAGATTAAAATCAATAAACTGCCAATGCTATTTAAACACAAACTTTTTCTCCAGAAAATCAATAAAAAAAATCTGTTCAAATTAATTTCTAAATAACTGAAATTATCCTTTAATTTTGTTCTTGTCTTAAGGCAGTTTTCATCTTTGATGAGCAGAACCAGAATTTAAGTTTGAACCCAGAGTTTCATTTGGGTCATAACTTAAGGAATATTAAAATTTTCTGAGATTTTGGGTTTTTATTCTCTGTCAACAAAATAATCAAAATAACAAGAAAAAAACGCTTGAAATATTTCTCTGCTTCTATGAGTTTCTCTTTTTAATGAGCGATAAAAAATGTGAATCTTTTTCTCAATATTGAATTTGTCTAAGATGTGGTTGTGTCTGAGCTGCTCTCCTTGCTGCTGGCAGGTTCGACGTCCTCATCAATCAAGTCTGCATCGTGGCTCCAGTCAGAGGCTACAGTCTAGAATTATAATAATAAAACATCAGACAAACTGAGCCTTCATAAGCCAGATGCAACATTTTGGTCCAGATTTTAATTTTAGAATAAATCACCTTCGTCTGTTGGCCGCCATAACTTCTCATCTCCAAACCTGTGGAGCAAATACTTATTTATTGTGATGAATCATTAAAATAACATTTTAGATCAACAAATTTTCAGTTTTGAAATAGAAAAACAACAAAGATAGAAAAACGAACATCATTTAAAATAAATCCTAAGTATTACAAAGCATCTAAAGTAATGAGACAAAAAGAGGATGTGCAGAACGTCTGGGTTTCAACACTTCATTAAGTTTTATTTTCATTATTCATTTATTTGCAAATCATAACAGAAAACCTGTAAGCATGAAGAGCAGTGTGGGCTGCGTTCTCACCTCTCTCAGATCTCTTCCTCCTTCTGGAAGCGATCAGAGCTGCTGATAGCAGGAGGACGAGGATGGACAGAATCACAATGACCACAATCAGAGTATAATCTGCAGAGATTAACAAAACGGTTTTACTGACACCTTCAGGCGGATCATGGTACTGACTATCCACATCTTATACTCAATAATTCTTTATTCCAGACTTCAACCAAGGTAACAAATCCCAGCTGTGTTGAAAGTCGCCCTCCGGTGAAAAAGTCTTTAACTGATACTGAACTGATGTACCTGTAATTCTGCTCTGTAATGGTCCACAGGTGACATCATCAGTGCTGATATATTTGTTTGTTTGTATATATTACTTAAACTTACCACGTAAGATGATGATATTGAAATCCACATGTGCTTTGTGGCGTAGTCTGAACTTGAAAAGCATCTGTATCGTCCAGAGTCAGACCTGGTCAGATTCTGAATGCTCACATAAAAAACATCTGAAGATTTGAAATAGCTACGTCCGATGCTGTATCTGCCGCTCTGAGCTCTGACTCCATGGGTGTAAAGAAGAATGTTTTCTCTTCTTCACATTCTCCTCTGCAGAAATATAACCACCTTCTAGAGGAATTGAAGGAGCAGGCGACTGTCAGTGAGCTGCCAGGTACTTTATAGAGGTCATGATCTTTGCTTTCATTCAGCAGAGCTGTTAAAATAATCATCAGTTAGTTTCTGATCTCAGCATGATGCAGTCTGATCACATTAATCTGCTGCCCACTTCAACCAGTCTGGAAGAGTTAAACCAGCAGAAACTGGATTCATATAAATCAATTATTTATATCAAAAAGTAAAGACATGTTTTACTTTAATACAAAAATATATTATTGTATTATTGTATTTTTACTTAAATTTCTTCATTTCTTTGGGAACAAAAATCAGCTTTATTAGAAACTCACCTTCTCCAACAACAACCATGAATTTACAAGGAGTGTCTCTCAGACCAGCATTGTACAGTCCTGAGTCAGAAGGGGTCAAATTATCGACTGTGACAGTCAAATTGTAAGCCTTCTCACGAACTCTTTGAGAAAATTTAATGCTGTTTCTTCCTCTTTCTGCTTTATTGGATGTTGTGTTAAAAAGAACATTTTCTCCCTGACAGTTTTCTCTGCAGAAAA